ATTTCCATGATTAAAGTAGGTTGATCCGAGCTGATTTGACTGAGCTGTGGTCAAAGAGAGATTACATCACTCTGGACATAAAGCACGCTCGATGTAGCTCAACCGATGTAATCTTGTGTGAGCGTAACTCAACGAAATCAGCTCGGATCAACCTACTTTAATCATGGAAATGAATGTCTGGAGCAGGGGCATCGTCCACCTGCAATAGAATGCACAAAAGCTGGGAATGCACAAAAGTGGCTATTAGCTGCCAATGTATGACATAAAAGTGAGGGTTGCGTACCTTTCATGCATAGTCCCTGAAGTCCTGACTTTTTAGCTGAGTTACCCAAAGAAGTCCTTCTGCATCTTTGGCTCTTCAGGGTCTAGCTACTTGGCAATGAACAAAGACCACTTCCCATATAGCATCACGCTTACAAACATAAAGGTGCCTGTATCTCCGAACTTTACAATGAAACGTGGGGTTTTTATTAGAGCAATGTGCTCGGCTTGGCCAACTGCACCTTGGGTGCCAGTTTCACGATCAAGCTTGCCAATCCCAGATTTCGCAATGTCGCCACCAGCCAAACTGGATCTGGGGGTCGACCTCTTCGACGACGACGACCAAAGAATATTTTTTGGGCTAGTTGCGACATTGAACGTGAAACTTTCACACAAGGTGCTGTTGGCCAAGCCGAGCCCATTGCTCTATTCAAAACCCCACGTTTGATTGTAAAGTTTGGAGATACAGGCACCTTTATGTTTTACCTATGCTGTAAGCGTGATGGTATATGGAAATAAGTCTTTGTTCATTGTCAAATAGCTAGACCTGATAGAGCCAAAGATGTAGAGGGCCGTGTTTGTGTAACTGAGATAGAAAGTCAGGCAAGGGTCAATGCATGAATAACTAACATGTGCACTATTTGATTGCAGCTGACAGCCACCTCTTCCCATTTCCAATTGCTCCCTCAATCCACTGCATGGGAACGATTTTCCTGCTCCAGACCAGCACTTCCATCCTTCAACTTTCTTGATCCGAGAGGATTTGACTGAAGTGCGCTCAAACAAAGAGATCCCATTCAACATCAGACAGGTCAACTCACTTAAATTTCCAGCTCTTCCATTCCCAGCTTCTTCCCGCTTCCACTCATTCTCAACTGTTGACCCATTCAAGTACAACTGCCACCTACGAACGATTGCCCTGCTTCAACCCATCATGTCAATCCTGCGACGGTCTTGATCTGAATGCCTTCGACTGAAGAATGGCGAGTCCATGGCGTGTGCATCCCACTACAACACCCGCGTTTCTTGATGCTCCACCCTCGTTTGTACATTCCTCTCCTTTTAACTCACCATTCATGGCATCCAATCGCGCCAAGGTGTGTATTATACAGTATTCTCTTGTTGGTTGTGTATTAATATTCATAGGTAGGGAGTGCAGTGGAGGTGGTTGTAGCCAAGGTTACTTTATTCGTTGTCATGCCGTTTCACGCTTGGTGCAAGAGGTACATTCAAGGCCCCATTGTAGCAGGAGAACGTGTTCCATTGACGTAGCTTGTATGTATAGACGGCAAGATTCGGTCGCAAAGACGTTGGCCCATTTCTCTCTTTGTTTTGGCTCGACAACGCTACACCATGGTTTCGGCTTCGGTAACGCAACAACACAGATCTTCTCGTATATGAACGAGGTGTGTACAGTGAACGGAAACAATGAAAAGGGCGTTATTGTATACGTATGCTAATAATGAATGATGCTATTATAGAATAGTTTCATGGTCAGGCAGTGCAGCTTTGGGCATCATCATCTCTCCTGGGTTCGACTCCCAACCTGTACCTTTTGGCCATTTGACAGCAATGCTCTCGTGATAGGCTGGTGTTTACCCTTCGAGGATTGGAAAGGTGGAGGATCATTCTTTCTCTTGAGGGGATGAGTGAGAACAACTACGTCCTTTCTTGTCATGGATCAAAAAGGCCCTGCATGAGAGGTGAAGTGTTTCCTCCAAAAGAGATTGATCCGGTGTGGCTCGTAGATGGTGATCTGGCGATGTGATTCCTGCAGATTTGCTTTTCCCCCAAAGATGATCGCCCTTCCTTCCAACACAAGACTTATTGATGCTAAAGGAGTCATTGCGTGATGAGTGATGGATCGTCATTGTTCATGGTTGCCGTATCGACCGAATATCCATTGTCAGCATCCTCTTGGAATTCCTGCCGTTACCATGCTGATACAAGTCTCTTGGCTCAGTCCAAGGTTGCTACTACCGGTTCTCGTCGCCATGGAGATCAGGAACGAGGATAACGATGACAAGCTTCACCTTGACACCCCCAACATGGCAACAACATTCAGCTGGGTTGCCATTCATGAACATGGAGATGGTTACGGTCCCAAGGTGGCTACATGGGATATACATACGAGTCTACAAGTACAGTATGGGGATCCAATAGTAAAATAGCCTTATCTTGGATGAAGAACAAGCAGCTGCAGTAATCAACACACGGCCCACATTGACAACAATGAATACCCTGAATCATGATGTATACGACTCCCGATTCGCTACTGTACCAGTATTTCTCTCCTTGATCAATTGATGGCATTGGCTTAGCTTTTCCTTCTCTCTGACACGACCACTCGCACAAATATGGAATTTGGGCACAGCAAGTGATTTGTGGTAGTAGATGTATGTCATTATTTGATAAAGGATGTTGCCACCTTTGTTTATCTCTTACCTGATTTATACATGGACATTCAATCACACCAGCAGGTCTCTTTGTGAAGGCGTCCCATCAATCTATCGGCTCATTACCATGCACTTTTCCTCTTTTTTTTTGGTGGCCACAGAAGCACCCACGCCCGCCATGCAGATATAAACAAGAATGTTGTCGCCCATCGCTTTCTCTCCCACATACCTCTTTCTTTCCATCATGACTCTTGATTGCTGAAATCTTCAAAATCTCTTGGTGAGTATCTTGGTTGAGAGCTCTTTATGTGAGCAATCCACGTGCTAATATTCGTTGTGTTCGTTAAGGTTTCATTGTTAGCCTGGTGGTGATTCCATTTTCCTTGTGGTCACTGTGATATTTGTCTCGTTGATAAGGTAAAACCTAATCACCTCACTTGATGAAGCACATACTCATATACATGTCATGTCCCTTTTGATGTAGCTGCCTCGCGAGATGCAACTGAAAAGATGGGTTAGCCAAGAAAATAGATGTATGCTGAATCGAAGAAGGTTTTGCGATCATTTTACTACTCGAGAAGGATGCGACGAATGAATCGATGGAAGCCAAGGCGGCATATTGTACCACTGCCCGTATGGAGGTCCTTTCAAACCCACTTCTCAAATCTTAGCCTGTTATCATCTTTCTATATCACCGTTTCTCCATTCAACCCAATTGTATACCTTTTCCCAGTCTGACTCGGCATCACCACCTCACACAAACACTCCTCATCCTTGCCTTTCTCAATTATCCACATTTTCTTTTGATACTGCAAAGTATCTGGTGCTCACTATTCACAACTACTACATGCCCATGCAAGTGGCGTGGAACGACATCCGGGAATAAGAAGTACGAATACGCGGACTTTGCAGCTCTAGGTGAAAGATTTCCACTTAGCAGGAACGTCAACAATATGCTGCTTTACGAAACGGGCATTGCAAGCGGGGTGCAGCTTTATCAAGGTTCCAGTGTGGGTGGACCCAGAAGGACGTGGTCATTTCACGGTGAAATTCGAAGGCAAGCTATATCGTCACCTAAACGGCTTGACAACTGTGGCTGGTACGGGAATGAGATTCACTGGTAAGCCATTCGTTTACTTTTTATTACAGTCTTATTGTTGTCACATCAATATTTATTTGTTTTTACGTGGTCAAAGTTATGGCGAGGATCTTCTCCCCAACAGCACAGTTATGTGATAATCTCTCCATGTTATATCTATGCGCACCCAGAACTCTATATGGTATGTCGAGGTCCCAGCAAAGGTAGTACAAGTGGCAACCTCACCTGCTGAAGATCTGCAGACATGGGAGGCTGAAGCTTCATCATCACAACCACAGCCGTCGTTGCCTTACCCAGAACAACCTTCAACACCACAACCAGAGACTTCATCGAAAGGAAAAGAACCTGCCGTAGAACCCCACCACTCGTATCAGTAGCATATACCATATTTTTTTTCACACATTGTATTCATGATTTGTTTGTATTGCATAAATGCAGCTTTAGCATATAAGTAAAAGCTTGTATGATCAAAATAAGAACACCTTCTTTGCATGAATCCACCAAAGTCCTCTTTTTTTTGTTCATTACCACTGTATTGTTGAAAATGATCTGATGCATTTTACAAAAGAAAGAAAGATAAAAACAGAAACGATGACTATTTACATATAAAGGTAAGAGGGGAAAAAGGTGATAGAGGTGAGGATGGGATGGGAGGGAGGGGGGAGAAAAAGGGATGGTAAAGAAGGATAATATCAGCTTCGCTTGAGAAGAGTAAGGACAGCGGCAGCTTCAACGGCATCGACGCCAGCAAAAGGGGTGTCTGATAAACTAGCCATGTCGACCGTATGGCGTCGGTGTTGAACAATGACTGATAGAGGGGGTGAAGATCCTGGTGAAGATTCATCCAATGGGCTGTACGATCCTGACATGGATGATGATAAACTATGTGCTTCGTAAGGCATTTGTGTTGGCTGATGTGGTTGATGTACAGGCCATGGTACAGCAAACGATGAATCACTGATGCTTAAATTCTGTGCAGCCGTAATATTATTCTCCATATCATCATCACTCATCCTTGAAGATGCTGCTGCTGCTGCTACTGCTGCTGCTGCTGTGGCCTTTGTTCGTCGCGTTGAGCCCATTGACTTTTTTCGTTTCTTGTCACTGCCTCTACGTTCTCGAGTAGAAGTTGAAGGTGTTGATAACGTGGCCGTTGTAGTAGGTCCCGTGTCATTGCTGCTATTGCTGCTGCTGCCACCGGCAAGAATCTTTCCATGCTTCCATTTGACACCACATGCATTGCATAGAGTACCTGCACCTTGTGGGCCACGTCTCCACATGGGTGTGCTTTTAGATCCACAATACAAGCATTTCTTCACCGCACTCCCAGTACTTGCTGATCGTGCATGTTTGTTAGGCTGTTGTTGTTGTTGTTGCGATGGGGTGGATGTTGTAGCCCGGTCGTTTTCCTCTGTGACACCTTGTACGACATAAAGTTAAAATAAGCAAGGGGGAGAATGTATGTGCGTATTGCATACCTTTATCATCACGTTGTTGAAAAGTCGTTTTTGGAGTAGCACAAAGCATTTCTTCCCATTCAGTTTGGGGATGTTCTTGTTTGAGGGGAGGTGAAGTGATGGTGGTAGTGGTGGTGGTAGTTGTAGCCATGGTCGATGATGACAATGTTCTGACGCCATTGGTTTGCTGTGTGTGAAACTTCATCTGCATGACAGAAATACACATGTCGGTTATACTCTTCCATTGGCAACCTTTTTCCAGCGACTTACCAATTGCACCATCTTTTCACACACGTTCTCGAATTCTGATACTGTTTGCTTGATGGCAAGGAATAATCTTCGAGACACTCCTGATAAACGCATGTTCACAACCCTTGATCGTGGGTCTTCAGTCTCTGCCGTGGATGATCGACGACGAGCCGCTGAGCTACACACGGCAGCAAATTCTTCCAGTTTGGTTGCATAGGGTCGATTACTCTTTTGTTCATCCACATCCGCATGAAAGGAGCATAACACCTAGATGGATTGGATATAAGATTAGCATGTAAAAGATTATCATATATCATCTCATGTACCTCAAAAGGCGGGTGATCATTCATAGCTTCGGTGATGGCATCATGTGGGAAAAGATAATACTCGAGATCTGTTGACGGCTCATGGTGATGTAATGAAGAGGGTGGATCCAAACAAAAGACCACATCATGTCGAAGCACCTTGTGACGCCTACGTTTCTTTGGTGGAAGGGATGTCTCTGGAGCAATAGGTGGTGGAGCCATGGGTGATGATAAGGATGAAGAAAACAATACAGGGCTCGCCCGTTTTACAATAGTGTCGGGATGATGATCGATTGCTTGTTCGTCGCCATGATCCATATCCATCATCATGGTATCGAGATGAGTCGTGTTGGATGAAATCGATTTGGATGGCTCTGGAACGTCATTCTCGGTGACTTCATAGAAGGCTGCCGTGGATACCAATGTGCCGTATTGCAGGTTAGCAACACCCAAGTAGTGGATCTCGACCCGATGACACCCATCGCAGCACGATGAAGCAGCTGGTAACTGATAACGTTGAAACAGATCGCTTGCCCAAGGTCTATACACAATCACGCCCCCAACATGTCACAGTGAGATAAAAGAGGTCCGTCTCATCGTCGAGTAGATTTGAGCCGGTGCATTTACCCATAACTCTGATTAGTGCTTGATGACACCTCGCTATCTGTTCTTGACCGTGCGATAAACGTCATGATGCGGCCAATGGACAAGACAAGTGACAAAGGAGAATAAAAGACGAGTAGATCTGCAAGTGGCTCAAGTAAGTGGATTGTAACAGGCTCATAAAAGAGGGGCCGATGACCACATTTACCCACACGGATAGATTACAAGTAGAAGAGGAGAATAGTAGTAGATCGTTGTTCTTTTTGGAATAAAGGGATACTGAGACACAATAGAGCAAGAGCCTCAAATGAGTTGTATGCAACAAGTGTGTGTGTGTGTGTTTATGTGAATAAGAAGCGAGTGAGAGTGAGTAGTGTGAGAAGGGGGGAGCAAAGGAAGAGAGTACAAAGAACAAGGCAGCAGGTGCCAAAAAAAGCGGGGGAGAGAGTTGGAGGAGTTAATGGGAACTAGACCCGCCCAACACTTCTTTTTCTTGGGTCGACCGGTAAAAAAATGGCATCATTCATTATCGCTTACAAACAAAATGACCCCCAAAAGGGATCATCTTTTTTATTCTCTCTATTTTGTCTTTGAACAAAATGATGAAATGATATGTCTATGATGCTGTATTATGAGATGGTAGTCGTAATGGGATGATGTAATGCAAGCTTAGAACTTCTTGCCAAAGAGGATTTCTTGAAGGGCATCATAACCAGACAAGACACCAGCACCAGCAATGGCACGGAGGATGTTAGCACCAGCACCCTTGAAGAGAGACTTGGCACCCTCGTTGGCAACGATTTCCTTGAAGGCGTGAAGAGAAGAGTCATACTTGACAGCAGCACCAGAAGTCATCATCATACGTCTGCGGACGGTATCAATGGGGTAAGAAGCAAGACCAGCACCAGTGGTAACAGCCCAGCCAAGCAAGAAAGAGGCCAAGAAGTTCTTTTGGAGGTTCTCAGGAAGAGCGGGCTTGAGGGAGTCGTACATACCAAAGTAAAGACCACGGTAGACAATGATACCAACACAAGAGATGGTGAAACCACGGTACAAACCAGCAATACCATCAGACTTCAAGGTCTTGCGGTAGACATCAACAAGACCATTGAATTGGCGGTCTCCACCACCCTTGGCAGCCTTAGCATCGTTAGCAAGACGAGTACGAGCATAATCAAGGGAGTAGACGAAGAAAAGAGAAGAGGCACCAGCAGCACCACCTTTAAACAAACATGTCAACAAAGCCCATTCCTCTTTTTAAAATCCATGTTTCAACTTACCAGAAGCCAAGTTACCGGCGAACCAGGCCCAATAACCATCCTTCTTCTTATCCTTGTTGAACATACGCTTGAACTTGTCCTTGAAAGCAAAGTTCAAGGCTTGGGTAGGGAAGTAACGGATAATGTTGGCAGTGTTACCGCGCCAGAAAGAGACAACACCTTCATCCTTCATGGTACGAGCAAAGCAATCGCCAATGCCCTTGTAGGGAGTAGCAAGACGACCTTGCTTGATCATCTCATCTTGGTTTTGGATCAAGAGCTTGATACGTTCAATAGGGGCAGCAGCAGTCTTGGAGACGGCAGCGGAAACACCACCCATAAGGAAGTCCTTTACGATATCGGTTGGCATCATGCACATACATAGACACACATTGATAAATGCCTACTTACAACAACGAATTGGTTTTGGGACTTTTCACCGGCCATTTTGAGGAAAGATTAAACAGAGAGAGAGGGGTTAAAGAAAAAAAAACAATCGGATCGGGAACAACGGCTGCTTTATATATGTGCCTCATGGGGCGGAATTAATCTGAAAGCGGGATCTTCCGGTTGGTGTCTGTGTTGCTTGGTTACAAGTGCCTGACCAATGTTTAAAAGGCTATTGATAATCGTTTTACACCCATACATTCGATATTGCTACTCCCCCCATCATTCATCAAGCACCTTTGTATACAGCTCAAATATGTACTTGTTATTTTCAATGTGCAATAAAAAGAGAGATTGGATGTTTTGTGCGTGTGTGTGTACGAGTGTGTGCAAGGATAAAGATGATATGGATAAACTAATATAAGCAACGTGCGGGGAATGGAGAATGGTGTCAATTGGGTGTTGTCTCGTTTTTGAAACAAAGTTACTCTTCCTTGATATCCTCCTTCTTCATGTCGACAATATCAGTAAGGGCTTGTTCGATGATACGAGCACCTTCCAACAACTCCTCTTCAGTGATCACCAAGGGTGGAGCCAATCGGATAATATTCACGTGGGTTGGCTTGGCCAAAAGACCGCGAGACTTGAGCAACAAGCAAATCTCCCATGCAGTCTTATCAGACTTAGATTCATCAATCACAATAGCGTTGAGCAAACCACGGCCACGAACTATACAATGCATTGACATTAGAAATCCACCTGCATATATAAACACCACGTTTTTGTTTACCTGTTTGCAAAAGAGGACTCTTGATTTTGGAAAGAGCATCTCTAAAGACCTTGCCCAATCGCTCAGCACGTGCAGGCAAATCCTCTTCCTTGATAACCTCCAAAGCAGCAATCGAAACAGCACATCCAAGTGGGTTGCCGCCATAAGTGGATCCATGCTCACCAGGCTTAATGCACATCATGACATCTTTATCAGCCAACACAGCTGATACAGGGTACACACCACCCGAAAGAGCCTTGCCCAACAATACGACATCAGGGCGAATGTTGTCGTGTTGAGTGCACAACATCTTGCCAGTACGACCCAAACCGGTTTGAATCTCGTCAGCGATAAAGAGCACATTGTGCTTCTTGCACAATTCTTGGCATTGCTTCAAGTAGCCATCATCAGGGACCATGATACTATTTATCACCCCTTGTATAAGCAACATGATGTATAGCCTATCCATCACACACGCATTGTACTTACCCAGCTTCACCTTGAATAGGCTCAACAATGAAAGCAGCAACCTTGTCACCATGTGCTTCAAGAACCTGCTTGAGATCATCAACATTGTTGTAGCGGATGAGATGACCAGTAGCCTTGGGGCCAACAAGAGGAAGGTAAGGACCAAAACCACCATAGGATTCAGGATCAGTGCTCATGCTGACAACACCCGTGGTACGACCATGGAAGTTGTTTTCAGCGCTGAGTACAATAGCTTCGTTCTCTGGAATACCCTTCTTTTCATAACCCCACTTGCGTGCAAGCTTGATGGCGGTTTCAACAGCTTCAGCACCCGTGTTCATGGGAAGCACCATATCGTAGCCAAAGTATTCGTGAATGTATTTTGCAAACGAACCAAACACGTTGTTGTAGAATGCACGAGACGACAGCGTGAGAACTTGAGCTTGGTCACAAAGGGCCTTGACAATCTTTGGGTGACAATGGCCTTGGTTCACAGCCGAGTAGGCAGACAAAAAGTCCATGTATTTACGACCCTCAGGGTCCCAAACCCACACACCTTGTGCCTTGGAGAAGACAGCAGGAAGGGGATGGTAGCTATTTGCATGTTGGCGTTAACATAAACAATAACATGTGTAAAGAGGTGTGAGATGACTTACTTGTGTGCACTGTATTCGTGCTCAAGGTTGATTGCTTCTTTGCTAGTGGCAGCCATGTTGTATTTGAGAGAGGTGAAAAAAGAAAGAGAGAGAGAGTTGTGAGAAGAAAAGCCCACATGGACCCAGAAAAAGTGGCCACATTTATGCACTTTGCTGTGCCCGACGTCATGCATCGTGGGAAACGAGGTTCGTGATTCGTGGGCTATTCCCCTTTTTTGCCCCTTTCCATCTTTAGCACTCTACAGAATTGTAGTGCTACATCCATCATCCAAGCTTTTGTCCACCCATCGTGATTTGAACGATCTGGAAAAGTTGACTCAAATAACCACTTTTAGTTATCAAGCTGAGATCCCGCGGTTTTATCAGTATCCTAGTCTTTTGGCAGCACACATCACTGGATATGCAATCATGTCCCGCTAAGCATCCCATCCGGATTTATGGGTGGTTCAATGTATGCTGTGTGATGCCATCTGGTGATCTTGCATCGATCCTATTGAAAAACTTTGTATGTAATACGGAATGGAAATAGTCATAGATCCCGGAAACGAGTATACCTCATGACCTTTGGTGCCCTTGATAAATAGTGACACTGGATCTCGAGCTTGTTTTGCTGTTAAAGGAGATCAAGTAGTTAAAATAGAGATCTGGTTTTCCCACACTCGACGTACACGCACTTTATCCATCACAATGTACGACTGGATCTTGAGCTTGTTCGTTAAAAGCAAGAGATCCGACTCGTTTTCGCACACACAAAAGCCATATGGGATATCGATCTCTCACCAATAGCTTCGTTTATGGCCTTTGTGTCATCATGCTGCAGGTATCCATGCACTAGGCGATTGGATAATTGGTACATACTCAGCGTATACGCGGGTCGTGGGCCTGTCACACTCATGGCTAGAGTTTATGGCGTGTGTGAGAAAAGAATCGATTCTTGATAAATTGAAAAGACTACTATCAAAGGTGTGGGATGATGCTTACCATGTAAAATGAGGCATTGCACTATGCACCAAGTTCCTGCAGCGGTGATTTTGTCACTCCACGTAACCAAACAATGATCCTCCTTTTTGCCCATCTGATATTGCGTCAAACAAATAATACTCTTGGATAGAATTCAGCAGGCGATTAAAATCAGCATACAATTATGGCAACACAAAGTAAATCCACCAACCGGAATGATCAATGACAACCCTGCACTTTTCTTTTTTGAGCCCTGTTTCTCTTTTTCCTCTCTTGTGAATATACCGCACCTGCCCAAAGTTTGCTGCCAAACTAAAAAATTATCAGCGTCAGCAGCGACGACGACGAAAACGAAGAAGCATGGATCATCATGATGGTACTACACCACCAACACCACCCGACAATCTCGGTTGGCCAAATGTCTTTGGTGCATCCATCTTTGTATTATTAGCTGGTATACTACGCGTTACTATTTCGCTCCTCTTTCATTGCAATGTTATCTGACATTGTTAAACATCCATGCAGCCTACATCAGCCATGCATTGGGTACACGTTTAGAGATACCTCTTATCATTTCGGGTGTACGTTGTGCATTGCAGCTCACATTGATGGTAATGTGCCGGACAATTTTTACTCGTTCCCTTCTCATCACAAATGTTACAGGGTTTGGTGCTTGATGATGTACTTCGTGTTGACAATGGATGTGTGATAACCATCATCACAGGTATAAAAGATCATTTCGGATCGGATAGTGGGCGGGGATCGGATATAATTGGAAGAAGGCTGATAGCTGAGCCACGTGGGGCAATGTCATCTAGTCGCCTTGGTGCTTCTCGGTGCATATGAAACGGTCCATCATCGTGCCAAGCAAACAATTCAAGGATTGGTAATGCCACATGATATACAAGGAATGCATGAAATGAATGATGACTTTTATACATTATTAGCTTCCATTGATGATTGCCATCCTATTGCTGAGCAATGGTGTAATGAGTATCTTGTGTGCTGGGTTCACGCTGAATGAGTCGCCGCCATGGAAACCAGTAACCTTTATCCCTGTAATGGGCATGTTGCTAGGTAGCTCTATGGGCAGCGTTGCCATGGCGATCAGCTTGTGTGTAGAATCGGTGTTGTAAGTGATGATGAATGTACATGCACGTGATTCCTTAAGCTAACCTTATCGTCAAATAGGATACATGCTCCTATTATTGAAACCAAGTTGTCCTTTGGTGCATCACGCTATGAAGCCGTCAAGGTTGCTGCTTTGCTTACGATTCGAACGGCCATGTTGCCGCAGCTAACGCAGCTATCAGTGATGGGCATGATCAATATTCCTGGTATGCTTGCAGGCCAAATTCAAGCTGGTACCTCTGCCAAGCAAGCTGTGCTATATCAGGTGTGCATCATGTTTGCCATGACGGCGAGTAATGGTATTGGTGTACTATTGACAGTTTGTGTAAGTATGGGAAGCGAGGCTGGTGTAATGGGGATTTGCGTGGCTCATTCCTTCCAAATGTAGGCATGCATGAGATTGCTGGTTGATGCCAATCATGTCATACGCAAAGATAGAATTATCCAATCGCACTCTACATTTTACCAAGTGATAATACGAGGATTAAATGACATGGTACAATGGTGTGCTGGATGCGGCAATCGACGTCGTCGTCGTCATTACCACCAACTATGACCTCCGCAATGCAAAGCGATTGGTGTTGAAAGTCGACTTTCCATTGTCTCCTCGTAGAAGATTCCTATTGCTCATGTGCCAATCGATTTAGGATTCCGCAGCAATCCACCAATCCCCATCCATTTGAAAAGGATATGAAAAGAGACCAAAGCTTACCTCATTCATTTACTTTTTTTCTTTCACTCGCTCTTATTTTTCACACACCCACACATATACGCACAAAAGCGATGGGTCTATTTTCTAAATCATCAAAGGCATCATCAACACCGCCTGCTCCTCAAGAAGCACCTCCACCTTATACATCAACACCTCAACAACAACCACAACAGCAACAATACGCTCCACCACCACCTCCATCAGCACCCCAGAATCCGGATACCCGCCAACTATCGCAGGGATGGATTACGCAATTCGATCCCTCTTCAGGTCGATGGTTCTATGTTTATACACCTATGGGTCATAGACAATGGGAACATCCTGCTGATCGTCCTCTTGGCGCTACTCCTCCACCTCCACCACAACAACAATATGGTGCACCTTATGGTGGCTATCCTCAGCAACAATATGGTGGTTACCCTCAACAACCTTATGGTGGATATCAACCTTACCCACAACAACAACCACAAATGATGATGGCCAACCAACGTCGTGCCGGTGGAGGCATGAATCCTATGTTGGCGGCGGGCATGGGCTTAGGGGCTGGTGTTTTGGTACTTTTGAATCGATAACTCATTAGGATTTACACTAACATTCATTGTTTATAGGGTTTTGCGGCAGCCGATGCTATCTTTGACGACAACGACGGTGGTGGTTTCGATGGTGGCGGTGACTTTGGTGACTTTTAGGCGCTCTTATTAGGTGCGCTTATCTCTCTTTTCTCCCTTTTCCCCGATCTATTCACCCATTCATTGTATCATAAACGATAATGTAGCCCCTATCTCTATATATAGCATACTTTTATGCAAGCAGCAACATGATATCATTTTTCTGTACAAATATGTAAAATCCAGTTGTCTATTGATTGGTTTGAATGGCATATGAAAGAAGAACGGGTTGTGATGGAATTGCTGATTGGTAAGCGGTATAATATCATGTGGGTGGTGGGGTGGGCAATGTAATAATTATTGTTGTTGCAAAGGATGTGCTGGTGGGATGAGGCTGTAGACATATTCCAAAACGAGAAATTGGAGCGAATGGATAGGAAATGCACGTATCAAGGTGACGTTGAGACCACGGTATAGACCACGGATACCATCCTGCTTGATTACATCAGTTGCGCAAGCACGAATTGTGTTGAGTCTTGGCTCTGGCATCATGACATTCTTTTGTAAACGTGATTTGACGAGGTCGACTGGAAAAACAATCAGCCAGCTGAGAACGCCGCAAATGCCTCCTGCCATGAAATGGGTCATTGGGCTTGCAGGTGTGTTGTTTTGGTTGCCATTCAATACACGTTTAGCCGTTTCATAGGTGCCAAAGTAAATCGATGTGCCAAGCGTTTCTCGTATCGTGTGACATCTTAATCCACTCCACAATCCAAAGATGCCTTTGCGTCGTACAATTTGTCGTGCTGCATGCCAACTGCTGCTGCCGTTGGTGTTGTTGGCGGATGATCCGGCAGTCTCCTTGGCAACCATTTGTTCCAATTGACGCTGAATCTTGACAAGTTCGAGAGGACAGCTGAGAACAGCAATGAATGCACCACTTGAAGCACCACTGAGTGATGCCAACATACTCAAGGATCCAAGTGTATCACCCTCCAATCCACGATAATGCTTGAGACGATGTTTGGTGCCTTCGTATACAGAAAATGCCACCGATTTGATAGCACTCACAGTCACCAGGGGTGGGATCATGCCTTGATACATGCATTACATGAATATCATTGGAATAAAGGGGGGGATGATCCATCATCATATGCATACCTCTAAAGAAGCCTCTTGCGCCTTCCTCTCGATAAGTTGTTTTTACGCAATCGAGTAAGGAGTCATAGTGATGGGTTTGCATTCGGGTCTTGACTGAATCAAACTAGGGATTTGTATGCAGACACATGTCAATCTCACGTCACATACGATGAAGCATATGCACGCCATCTTTTCCATCTCGGAGCTTACCGGAAAACCAGAGAGCACAGATGTGATTGCTGCACTCGACGCTGCCAATACTGTTCTGTTCTCTACCTCATGTCGTCAATAAAAGCTATCATCGATTCTCCCGTAATAGTAAACTTACCCACTAAAAAGTTCCATAATCGTGGATGATTTACAGGTAGCCCACCATGCACTGCCTTTCGAATGGATGGCGAGGGAACGTCGAGCAGAGGATCTTTTCTGTTGATATAGGCAAGAGTGTGTGAGTGGGTTGTTTTTCTTCTTGAGTACAAAGTGCAGTAATGGCAAACGCACACATGCGGCACACACACGCATATATGTATTGTGATATTGCTACCTGAGGTTTTCCAAAGTCATGTCCGTATCCGCATTCGAAACAGCTTTGCAATGAAGAGTGGAAAGAAAAAGACGTACAAAAAAGGTACCAGTGCAAGCTAACCCCTTCAAAGAAAAAATCGGAAAAAGGGAGCGGGTTTAAAAGTTTAAGCCCGTACAGCTCTCTTCCCTTTTGTCGCGTACAAGCTACTATGGTGGCTCCTTCAGTCGACACTCGCAATCATGTCTTGACCCTCATTACCAATGTACTCACTCGTCCTGAGAGATATGGCGATCGTTTCTTTGTCCAGATCGTGCGTGGTGCCAAGGGCGGCTACGTCCCCATTACGCTTTTACGGAGCATGGTGTCCGACTTGAATGACATTCCTGCTGGTTACTTCCAACATTGTGCCGACAAGGAACCCGATCGACTCGAGCTTAGTATTGATCGTAGCAAGGTACGGTTGCCGAGACAAGACGATGGTACCATGGATACCCAAGAAACTGATCCATATGGCTACCTCGCATCATCCACCAGTGACAATGATCCTACAACCGTAACCAATGACAACAATCATCCCACAACATCATCAAGTCGATTTCAGCCATATTCACCATCATTCTCTACTGGAAAATCAGTACTACCTGTGTACTTCAAAGATGGCAAATTCTACAGCGATAGCGAACCTGATAAGGAGCCGCATCTCGATCGACCCGCTATGGAAGTGCCACCTTACGACAAACTCGAGATTGAACCACTTGGTGACGATAATGGGTAATTGGGTTATACAACATGAGATGGGAACCATGATATTGACTATGGCTATTAGATCATCATCATCAAAAGGAGGGCGTGTGTGTTTCAATTGTGGCAAACCTGATCATGCATTACGTGATTGTCCAGAGCCAAAAGACGAGCAGATGATTCGAGAACGAAGGAAGAACGTGAAAGCACCTCCATCCATGGGTCGATTTTTTGTGGAGCTCGAGTTGCGTAATAAGATTGCTCATTGTGCACCTGGTCGATTGTCAACAGCATTACAAGATGCATTGGGCATGAATGGATTGCATCCCGAACCCCCTTACTATGTCAAAATGCGTGAGCATGGATATCCACCTGGCTACTGGGGCAAACCATCATCTTCACAAGAAGGTTAGTCAAGGATTGTGTTATGATTTCAAGTACTTACATAATGATTTGTAGCCAAACAGACCATGAAGGGATGGATGGACGATGTGGCGTATCGAGATGCACCCGATATCAAGATCTACAGCGATGACAGCTCTTATCAAGCGACTGATTCAGAATCACATGATGATACACTTTCAAGCAAAGTCAAATTGGTGTATTATCCAGGCTTGTATGACAATGCACTCAAGGAAGAGCAACAACAACAACAACAACAGCAACAGCATACATATCAAGAACCGCATATCCCCTATACAGACTATTCCTATCAATCACAACCTTACACCACCCAACCAACCTATTACGATCCATATTACCACTATTACTATGCACAGCAATATTATCGCCCTCCTCCTCCAGCATCATCTCAATATCATTATCCTGGGACAACGCCTGTCACTATGCCCTACAATCATGTTGACATGGAACAGCATGTTGCAGCCCAAAAAGCACCTGTATCAATACCAAATGCACCACCACCACCCTCCTCCACATCCGCAGCCATTGCAGCATCAGACGATGATATGGACATATCTGATGGAGAATAAAACGTCTGAGCCACCTTTTTGTAATACTGTCAATGTCGTTCTTTGGCCATAGTTTACTTTTTGGTAAGAAAGATGTGCGTGTGCGTGTGCGTTTATCATATTTCTAATCTCATTGTCCTTGTAGCATGCAAGCACATGATCATTTTCACATCACTTGATAAAAGCTCCCATTCTTTAATGGGCACGCATTTCCTTTTCTTCCAGTGGATATCCCAGCCCATGTACGACATGCCAACAATTACAAATACGGATCGGCAAATCATCACAACGTCATCGAGCAGCAGCAAACCTTTATGAGCTATGGGAGCTTTCTTGATGGTCAGCAATAGCGATGAGCATTAATCATCTCTCGGCGATGCGATGCAACCAAAAGATCTTTATGGTTCTATCGTTGCAATTTGTGTATGGATGTCAAAGCTTTCTATGTGGATCATAATCCTCTGGCACAGGTGAGAAATCAATAGCATACACCAAATTCATGTTACTTATCGGGTTGTTTCATAGCAACCACTCCCAAGATGAAGAAGGAGGGCCAACTCATACGCGTATGATCAACCAAGAGGCCGAGAATATACCCCACATTGCTGGTTCAGACGAGGGGATAGATGTTTGGCAAAATGGACACGTGACGTTTGACGACATCAACACGGCTGTCGAGAGGTGTTCCCCCTTATTGAAGGCCTCCATCTTAGTTGAACACTACCAACGTGTTGGATGGGATCATGATAGGATGTGTTAAACGGCTATACTTTATTTCACGCTAGGTATCATTGTCTGTGGTTAGCTATATAAACCGTAACCATGTTGGTGGTCATTCTTTGTTGGTGAAGGATTCATTGAAGGCCTTTTCTTTGTGTTGCTGCTTGTGTATGGTTGAGAATGATAGAGCCTTTCTTGATACTTTATGACTTCCTTGTCGTGTTTGCAGTGGGTACTTTAATGTATGCAATCGGCATCCGAGCAAACATATCTCTTGCCACAATATCGAAGAAGAATATCGCAATATCATCGTCGCTGCTGAAACGTCCAATGTTATCCTGGTACGCTGTTCCATAAATGATGTCCAAATATGATCCTTCGAAGATAGTGCTTCAAAGGTGGCGGATGTGATAAATGGTGTCCATGTAATAGAGGTCGTGAAATCATCAGCATTGGGAGGCTCTTCGTTGCATACAAGATGACCTTGGCATTGTGGGTATTCAGCGATACAACAGCCGTTTGCGCAAAGGATGTGTCCTCGTGGCTTCACAGGACATAGCATGACACTATACACATGAGCCCATTTTCTTCGGCCACTTCAACAATGGTGAGGAGTCCTCCTTCGAAATATAGGATATCAGGGCGCTTTTTGAAACCGCATGCTTTGTAGACTAGCAATGTTTCTTTTCACCACATCTTGCAAATGCTTCGAAAGGTGCATTGCATTTTTGCCCACAAAAAGGACCTTGTCTTTGTCTCAGCACTGTCCGCTACTATGTCTCATGATGTGTCCACCTTCGATTTTCTTGGAACAAATTGTTAAAGCGCCTATGCCAATGTTCTTATGCCATCAAGCAGTCGGACGATTGCCATGCTTCTTGAAATCCTAGCTCGGGGTCATAGGAAAAAGTCCCTATCAGCGTAGATGGTCTTTGCTATTTGCACCAGGTCAAATACAAGATCTAAATATGACGATGATGATGATGATGAGAATTGGAGAACAACAATGAAAAGCTATGAAAATGACCATGAGGACCCAAAGGGTTACCAAATACAAGGGCTGCTCATGATATGCACCTACTCTTGCTCTCGTAGAAAGAAAGGAATCGAAAAAGAGATATGATAAAGAAAGAGATGCGGCGTGTAAAATGGACGACAACATCCTGATTTATGTGGGCGTCATGGCGTGCGAATTTCATCGTGCTCAACAAAGAGCTAAAGTGATAAATCTCTGCAAAGGATGGTATATAGGGCGATAAAATGGCGGCGTTGCTTATCATAGAGGTTACGTGTGATGATGTTCGTACAGCTGAGATGGCGATTTTTGCCATGATCAAGTACAAAGGAAGCGTCCTACTACTTGTGTTCGAGAAAGAAATGCAAATCCTGGAGCAATAGACGTGGACATGCTTGTCAAGGAATCCATAGATCATGCCATTAGAGCATGTTGTCATGTAACAATAACACACCTTGCATGAAATCAATGTCAAATGTCATGTGATGTTTCATCAACACCAGCAGCACAGCGACGACAACATTCTTCTTTTCCTAATATGAATCACAGTATCACGTCTTGTAAAGTGAATCAAAAGCTCAGCGATGCGTCGGGAATGCATGACATTGATATGACCGAGCAATCGGCAGTAGCTGTAGCACCGCCTATCCTCCGTCAAATTGGGACAACATGCGATACCCTACCCCATTTGCATCTTACACTGAGACAAGATTTAGATCAACAGTATACGCTAAGGCTAAGCAACCAATACACAAGGATCCCTTTTTTCTTGATAAGATGCCTCCCTTGTAGTATTGCACCATGTTGTAGCACCCTGCACACACACATTTCACACATGATCTCCGCACAAGAAGCGCGTTTATATATATCCCGAACCGGCGGGTCGGCTTCAAAAAAGGTATTTAAACGAGGCAGAAGTTTCCTTTTTCTTTCCCACTAAATCTTCAACTTTATACATGGCTGCGGGATACGATTCTTTATCTTCACACGACGGTGGAGAGTCGTCAAACAAGCCTTTGTCTGCTATCGATCGTGCCAAGTCTTGGTGGAAAGGTGGTGAAGAGAGCCAACCTCTTCTTGGCTCACGACACGTGACAAACGATCAAGGATCAGCCAAGCAATCGACTGCCAAGAAGGTCGCCTTGTATGGTGGTATCCTTGCAGCATGTATAGCATTGGCTGGTTCAGCTGCTTGGTTGTTGCTGGAAGAGCATGAAGCATCCTTACCATGTAAGTTGTTGAGGTGATGGTGTTACGCATATTGCTCATCATGCACAACAAAATATAGCCACCGTTCCCAAGATGAATGAGATTGAGAAGGTCATGTACGACCTACCAGTGGCTGAGAACATGCGTGAATACCTACGACACTATACCTCTGAGGCACATCTTGCTGGTTCAGAAGGTGACAAACGCCTTGCTGAATGGACCCGCGACAAGTTTATCGAGTTTGGCATCACCAATTCATCCCTTGAGACATACTATCCTTTGCTCAACTACCCTGTCAAACACCGCTTTGGTATCGTATCCGGCCCTGAAGAATTCCAATACGAAGCTACCCTCACAGAAGATGTGGTGGATGAGGATGAGACAAGTCATACGCCCGATGTTGTGCCTTCATTCCATGGTAATGTACACGTACGATAGAAACAAAATGAGGTTCTTTATGCTTACATGCAAGTGTTACAATAGGCTATTCCAAAAATGGTACAGCGCGGGGTCCCGTTGTTTATGCCAATTATGGTCGTGTGGAAGATTTCCAATATCTTGTGGATCAAGGTATCGAGCTGAATGGTACCATTGCTTTGGTGCGCTATGGTGGCGCTGTTCGTGGCTTAAAGATTCGTGCTGCAGCACTATTTGGTTGCGTTGGCACATTGATTTATTCGGATCCTCTTGACGACGGCCCGATTGACAAAGAAGGCTATCCTCACGTCAACCCTGCTAAATCTTATCCCGAAGGCCCATGGTAATGCAATTACATTATTTGTTTGTGTATATTTATGCTAAACGTGTATAATAATATAGGCGGCCCGAGAGCTCTGTTCAACGTGGATCTGTTTCTTACATCTCCTTTGCCTCAGGTGACGCATTGACTCCTGGCTATGCTGCTACAAAGGATGCACCACGTCTCAAGCAAGAAGATTTGAATAGCTTACCTAGCATCCCTTCTTTGCCACTTTCTTATCGTGATGCACTTCCATTGCTTAAGGCTACTCAAGGTCGCGGTGTCCAAAATGGTGACTGGGCTGGTGGTCTTGAAGACGTTGGATACTTCTCAGGTCCCACTGAAGGTGAAGCTATTCTTGAAAACATTGTCGACTACAAGGTTACTCCCATTTGGAATGTGATTGGCACCATCGAAGGCTCTGTAGAGCCTGATCGTGTGGTTGTATTGGGTAAGCGACTCCTCATATTCTTGATGAACCTCTTTTTTTGACGTATTGGTTTGGTAGGTAACCATCGTGACGCTTGGGTGTATGGTGCTGTGGATCCCAACTCTGGATCTGCAACTATGGTAAGCTTTTGGATCTATTAGCAAGAAAAGTACCATTGACAAGGTTGCTTTTATAGCTTGAACTTGCTCGCTCTTTTGGTGAATTGCTCAAGACGGGATGGAGACCTGCACGCACTATCGTGTTGGCTTCATGGGATGGCGAGGTTTGTTAACAAAAAAAACGGCAAGGGAAAAATCATGGATTTTAGTCATTGACATGTCATTTGATTATGTATAGGAGTATGGTTTGATTGGCAGTACTGAGCACACCGAGGATCATAAGGAATGGCTATCCAAGAATGGCGTAGCATACATCAACGTGGATGTTGCTGTTTCTGGACCCAACTTTGGCGCAGGTGCCTCACCCTCTTTGAACCAGCTCCTTTATGATGTAACATCCTTGGTAGAAGATCCACGTACTGGTGGCAATGTTTATGATGCTTGGCATAAGTTTACCAACTTTACGGTGGAACCCGCAGCAAAGCCTTTTGTGAACGACCTTGGCTCTGGTTCTGATTTTGTTGGCTTCCTTAACTACATTGGCATGGCTTCTATTAGCATCGACTTTTCTGGAGACTACGGCGTCTACCATTCTGTATATGATAGGTAAGCATTGGACATTTACGTGTACGTATACGCACGTTGACATGTAAAACCTATCCTAGCTTCCACTGGATGGAAAAGTTTGGTGATCCCGGTTTCCTTTATCATCAAACAATGTGCCGAATTTGGGGTCTTATGGCATTGCGCTTGGCTGATAGCCCTATCCTTCCCATCCATCCCGCTGATTACGCCGAGGCACTTTCTGGTTACGTGGATGTCATTTCATCTTACGCAGTAGATGCTGTTACCAAGAACAAGATCGAGATTGATGACGAACAGCAACGTTTCCCCGTTCTTTCAGCAGCAATCGACAAGCTCAGTGACATTGCTACCAAGTTTGAAAAGAAGCTACAATCGCTTGAGATGCAAGTGCACGATTACTCTCATTTGGATAGCGTTCCTCAATCATTGTTAAGACGCCTCCGCAAGATCAATGAGCAATTAATGTACTTTGAGCGTGGCTTGTTGGATCCTGAAGGTATCCAAGAACGCACTTGGTTCAAGCACATTGTATATGCACCTGGCTATTGGACTGGATACTCATCACAAGTCTTCCCTGCTATCGCTGATGCGCTGGATGCCGGCGACGCAAAGATGACCACCCATAAAGAAGGTCGCGCCGCTTTGTGTGTTCAAGAGGCAGCAAACACCTTGGCTTAAAAAAGTCTTATACGGTGTCTTTGATTCCCATACATTTATAATAAACAGCGCCAAGTTTTATGTATGCAACAATCCTCATAGTGGATGTGTGTGCTATATTGTTGCAATGGTTATGGGTTCTTGTGCTGGTTGAATGCAAAGCCCAAGCTAGCGACCATGCTTTTATGTAACTAATGATGGGCTACGTAGCGGTAGGGGTTGTTTGCTTCACTCGTAAGCTTTTGATTTCTTGTTGCAATGCTTCTACCAATACTCCTCCATTCATTGTTTCTTCTACAATACATCCTCCCATTCAATTTTTCATAATGAAACATGTAGTCTTTTTGAGAACAAGGATGATCAGCGTGTCCAAAAGCACCTTGTGTGAAAGTTTGAGGTTGGAGAGGGGCAATCTCACTATCAAGGATTGATGTACAATGTTCATGCATTTATAGAGATGTTTGATCTATTTAATTTCCACTTCTTCCACTCTCATTTATTGTCTCTTCCTCCCATTCTCAACTGTATACAACTACCACCTGCGAACGATTGTCTTGCTTCAACCCATCATGTCAATCCTACGAATGTCTTGATCCGATTGTCTTTGACTGAATGGCAAGTCCATGGCGTATACACAGCCTTCATGTCGCTCTTCTTCAACACGCGCTTTGTCTTGGCACTTCGTCTTCTCTTGTACACACTTCTTTGCCTCATCCAATCGTAACAGCATTCATTCCAGCAGTTGCTATTAGCAAGGTCTCTATTCCATGGACTCAAACAGCATTCACAACCTTGTCCCTCTACTACAACACACGCTCTTGCACACTCCTCTGCCACCACCAATCGTAACGGCAGGTGCTATTCCATTGACTCAGCTACTTGCAGTCTTTTTTACGTGAAAAGCCAATAGCCAATGTATAGAGGCAGCTTTATTTACATGCAGCAACTTGCTTTGATACTACGAGCACAAGTGGATGGGATGCCATATCAGCTATCAAGTACGCTGCAATGCAAGCCTTCATCACTAGGTTGAGCAGCGATGGAAACCGAACAAGAATGGAATTGACCCAACAGCCGGATGGAAAAGAAAGCATTCCAGCAGCAATATTGGACTTGCAATGGTATGGATGGATGGATGCATGCAATCAAGTGCAGTGATGAGAAACAAATCCTGGAAGGTTGCTTTGGTTACTCGTCGCGTCGTCAACATGACCCATGGATCATGTCACGTGGTTACGGCTGAGGATGGTGGTGGATTGGATGGAATTGACAAAGGGGTTGCATCTTTGACGAAAGGTATCGTACAACCATGGATCATATTGGAGTACTTGATTCAATGTACGCAGCAGCTATTTACAATCATGGATGAAGGGTGGTTATGGCAGCAGCAACCAAGAATTCAACGATACGATTATCCCTGTTGCCTCTATGTGGTTTCTTATTCAATTTTCAATCCTGTACCTTTATTTGATAGACGCCCACAGTACTATGTGCTATTCCTCGACCTTTTTTATTGAATGAAAATCGGATTCAACGTAATACATGGGGTATCATATTATCAGCTCATAAGAGTAAGATGTGGATCACTTTGTTGGTTATGGATAGAAAGGGGGAAATAGTAATTGAATGTCGGGAAGTGAGGTTGGATCATTTACATCGTTGTTTCGAGATGCTTTTGTATCAGATCTTGCTATAGGCGCATAAGAGAAAATATTCATCATGCACTCTCCACCAATAGGAGTGACCTGTCCTCTCAGCTTGTTACACAAACAAGTCCTTCTGCATCTTTGGCTTTAGTACGAGTGAGGCGAGTGCGCGAGTGACAATGAACAAAGGCCACTTTGCATATAGCATCACGCTTAAAGTATAGTCAAAACATTAAGAGGCCCTTAACTCCGAATTTCACAATGAAACGTGGGGTCTTCAATAGAACAACGCTGCTCAGCGTGCCTGAATACACCTACTGTCAAACTCTCAGGTTCGTCATGGGCAACCCCAGATTCGCCCAATGTCGCTCCCCGCCAAAAAATATTTTTGCTCGTCGTCGAAAAAATTTCAAGAGGTCGATCCACTTTGGCTGGTGGCGACATTTGCGAAATGTGGGATTGCCCATGATGAACGTGGAGCTTGCACACAAGATTCCTTTGACCCCACCGAGCAACACTGTTCTATTTAAGACCCCATGCTTCATTGTAAAGTTTGGAGGTACAGGCACCTTTATGTTTGTAAGCGTGATGCTATATGATAAGTGGTCTTTGTTCATTGTCAATTTGTAGTGTTTATTGTCTACCGCGTCATGTGGACGCATTTAAAGAAAATCTAAAAAGGGGAGGAGCTGATCTCCGAAAAGAAAAAGGAACGACAAAAAAGATGTCAAATCTTGCACATTGATAAATACACCTTACGGCACCATATCATCCGTGGGTGCTGCACTAGAAGGTGGTGGTGGTGAAGAAATATCCATGCTAGTAGCCTTGTTGCCGGGAGGATCGGCTAAAAAGACAGGGTCAGGAGGCGCAGATGTGGTCAGTGGATTAGATTCGGTCTTTTCAGTCTTTGAAAGAGTGGGGCTGAAATTAAAGTGGAGCTGCTGGGGAGGTGATAGTGTGCGTTGTCGTTTTGAGATACCAGATTTAGACAATCGAAAAGTAGGCGAATCCTTGTCGGGAATATCTGAGATAGCAATGTTGTTATTAGGCAGGGGTGCTGAACCATGGCGTACAGGGCAATCTTTACGAAGGTGACCGAGTTCTTGACAATGATGGCATCGTGGTTTGGGCTTGTTTGGACATTGAATTCTTGTGTGACCTTGGTGATGACAATAACGACAATATAGTGGCATTTTGGACCAGGTGGCATGCATACGGGAAGGGAAGGATCCATCCTTACGTGAGATAGTAATACAATGAGTCAGCTCGTTGGGGATGAAAGGGAGTGCTTTGTTTGAATTGGCGTCTGGGTTGGGGTTTACATTGATGTAAGCAAAACCTTTGCCGGTGAAAAAATTTTGCTCAAGGTAAATGCCGAGTTGAACGATCTCTCCAAAAGGCTGAAGGGCTGTTATGAGGGAGGAGCAGAGGACGTCACGAGTGTACAGAGGGATGTGATCGAGATTGAGTTTGACAACATCCCATTCATCAGGAATTGGGAAAGAACCGTAGACTTGCTGTGCATCGTTAAGAGAAATGGGAGTATCAAGATGTTTTTTGCATGCTTCTTGGCTGTTGAATGCAACTTCGGCAATAACGTGTTTGCGGGATCGATGTACAATGACACCATGGGCATCTTTGCTGACAGGGGACTTGCCCTGCGAGCAGGTCGAAATTTGAGCATCTGAAAGCTGAAGGTGACAGATCATAGAGTAGAGCATTTGGATTATCAGCACGGCGCCATACTTGACGAAGAGGGTTGTTGAGTGATGTGGATGTTGGCAGGATCAAGGTGTCACGTTCGTTGAGAGCAGAGGCATACGTTATGGTTTTGTCAGGGGGTGGTTTCTCACCCGGGCTAATCTGAACTTTATCAGGAGAAGACCCATTGTGTTCAGCTATCAGTAGAGTGGACCTGGCAAGACAAAAGATGCAGAGGGTCGTGTTGTGTAACACAGCTACGTTTGCATGAATGGAAGGGTCAATATTATAATTACTTTATGAATCATCTAGGAACAGGCATGTATTGCTAGCTAACGGCCACTTTTATCCAATCATCATTGCTCCGAGATCCACTGCATAGAACGATGCCCCTACTCCAGACATTCATTTCCATGATTAAAGTAGGTTGATCCGTGCTGATTTGACTGAGCTGCGGCCAAGAGGTGCATCACTCTGCACATAAAGCACGCTCGATGTAGCTCAACCGATGGAATCTTGTGTGAGCGTAACTCAACCAAATCAGCTCAGATCAGCCTACTGATGGAAATGGTGAGCAGGAGCATCGATCACCTACAATAGAATGCACAAAAGTTGGAATGCACAAAAGTGGCTATTAGCTGCCAATGTATGACATAAAAGTGAGGGTTGCGTACCTTTCATGCATTGTCCCTGAAGTCCTGACTTTTTGGCTGAGTTACCCAAGGTCCTTCTGCATCTTTTGCTCTATTATAGTCATACTACTTGCATTAAACAAAGACTACTTCTCATATAGCATCACGCTTACAAACATAAAAGGTGCCTGTATCTTTAAACTTTACAATCAAACGTGGGGTTTATTAGAGTAATGTGCTCGGCTTGGCCAACTGCACCTTGGGTGCCAGTTTCAAGTTCATCGTGGCTAATACCAGACTCGCAATCGCCACCAGCCAAACTGGATCTAGGGTCGACCTCTTGAAACTTTTCGACGACCAAAAAAATATTTTTTGGGCTGTTTGCGACATTGAACGCGAAGCTTTCACACAAAAGAGTGCTGTTGACCAAACCGAGCCCATTGCTCTATTAAAAATCTCGTTTCATTATAAAGTTTAGTGCAGGCGCAGTTATGTTTACCTAATGCTGTAAGCGTGATGGAGTTGCCTTTTCCTAGTGGATGGTGTCGGCTGCATTAACGGAAAGATGAAGAACTGAGTGAAACGGCACGTGGTGGTTACACAGACACGTCCTTGACAGGTTGCTACATAAATGGATGATGATGATGATTGCCTTTGTGAAGGTACGTAAGTAACAGCATCCAATAATGAAGGTGCGTCAAGGTATGCATCACATTTGCATGTAGAAGAAAGTCGAGCTGCATAAACCAATTTGTATATGTAAAAAGATACATATACATATTGAATGAGTCACTCATCCTGAAACTCAATGGAGGGATCTCTTCACTTTTCTCTTCCAAGCTCATCCCTTCCCACTCCTCCTTGTTATTGTCACAAAAGCCATGTACTTCTTAACCGGACCACCTTTATTATTCCATCTTTGAAGCAATAGTATGTAATCCACAAGCTAGTAACCCTCCAACAAGCGTGTAATAAATAAACAATGCTTTATTTCATCTAGCTATCTTGCTATGCTTCTTCATCGCCATCATCGCCAAACATGATTTCTAGTTCTTCTCTGCTTCTCTAAACAATACCAATGAATCACCATGCATGGGATAACCAATGTTGTACTTACTTGCTTCCTCAGCCATCATTTTTTCTTGTGCAATGTTGATCAAATCAGCATCAGCAGACTTCTTTCCTTTTCCACCACTCTCCTCCTCATCGTCTTCATCGGGTTCCTCAACAGCATCTTCAGCAAAACCCCTACATCCATCATCATTTAACAACTTGTTGATACTGTGGTGATGTGTCATTACTTACCAAGTAGCGCCTTCATCCTCTTCTTGATCCCGAGGCGCTATGGATTGCACACTAATAGCGCGCTTTGCCTCTTTTCTTACGTGCTCTTGTTCCAAATCCTCATCCAACTCCTTGTCCGTTTCAAAGATGCAGATGGCAAAGCTTTCACCAAATCGAAGCTGGTCACCAGGACGTAATGGTAAATGGATACGTGGAGGAACACGTTGCTTGTTGAGACGCGTCCCATGGGCGCTGTCCATGTCATAGATAAAGGCATTGCTGTCATGATTGAACTGTAACACTGCATGATAACGTGATATGCTCTAATCCATCATGGTGTAAGCAAGAGAATCCTACTGCAAACACATAGCTGATACGATCAACACTTACAGGGTGCTCCATTTGGAATGTCACATAGAGGCAATCGTCCTATTGAAAACGTTGAATAAACTTGTCGCATGGCTACCCATACCCACACGTCCACTTTTACCGATCGTGATCACGTCTTTCTTGGGACCTTTGGATCTTTCACGTTGATGCCTCCTTTGAGTATTTCAAAGCCGTAATCGTGAAGCGACGGCACCCCACTGTGGTTTCTCATATGCAAGAGGTGGAGCCTGAGGTGGTTCAGCACTTGTGGTGGTGGTAGTCGTGGTCGTCGTAGCAACATCTGAATCGTGCGTAGGCACAATCGTATCCGAGGTATGTTCTTCAGCCGTACTAGCTGGCCGGCGAGCAGGTTTCCTTGGAGCAGGAACAGCAAAGTTGTCGTTGTCTGACATGCGTGTGAGAAAGAGAAACAACTCCTGCAAGATCTCCTCCAAGTAGTTCCTAAATCCCGCTTGTCCATGAATATGGTCATTCACCACAACCCAACTATACCCATGCCTTTATGTAAAACGATTTTATCTTGTATAGCTATACAAATCATGAATGATTCAATAAAGCTAAAAAGTGAGGGCTGCGTACCTATCATGCATTGTCCCTGAAGTCCAGACTTTTTAGCTACCTTTGTTTTCCGCTCAGGTCCACCCACTTGACAATGAACAAAGACCACTCTTCATATAGCATCATGCTTACAAACATAAAGGTGCCTGTATCTCCGAACTTTACAATCAAACGTGTGGTTTTTATTAGAGCACAGCTCGGCTTGGCCAACTGCACCTTGTGTGAAAGTTTCACGATCGCTTCTGCTAATCCCAGATTTTCGGTACGTCGCTACCAGCCAACTGATCTGGGGGTCAATCCTCTTCGACGACGACGACCAAAAAAATATTTTTTGGGTTGTCATATATTTGAACGCGAAACTTTCACAAGGTGTTGTTGGCCAACCTGAGCCCATTGCTCTATTCAAAACCCCACGTTTCATTTATTGTCAAGTTTGGAGACAAGCACCTTTAGCGTTTTGTAAGCGTGATGATATATGAGAAGTGGTCTTTTGTTTAATGTAAAGCAGGTGGACCCTGGCAGAGCAAAAGATGCAGAGGAACCTTCGTGTAATCAGGTACTTTTGCATGGCTGCAAGGATGGAAGGATGATACTGTATACTGTTGACAATAGCCCATATACTGTCCGCTAGCAGCGCTTTTTTCACAATCAGCTTCGTTGCAAAAATCCACTTCATGTGAACGATTCTCCTACTCCAGCCGAGCATTTCCGTCATTCAAGTTTCTTGATCCGTTTCTCGATTTGGATTGAGCTACGCGGAAACAGCAAAACGAAATTATTGAATTCGTAGACCCTGCGAATGTCTCCGTCTTTTCAAACTTTTGGACGCTCCTCCCATTCAAAAATTCCCAAATGAAGCATGAAGTTTTTATTAGAAAAAGTTGATCAGGATGCTCGAGAGCACCCTTCTGACTAATTTTCAAGTTGAAGTGAGCAACTTCGGGGAAGTGTGTCGTCCGCTCTTTGTTGCCCATCATCCACCGTTTGGGCCCTCCCGCATTCAAGACATCCTTAATGAAGCGTATGGTTTTTAAATGAATGAGTTGATCAGTATGTTGCAGCGAACCTTCTGACAAAAGTTTCAGGTTCGAAATGGGGAATCCTTAAAGATAATACATAGTATTTCGATGAATCATGAATCCGGGGCTGACCTCATTCCCCTGACTTCATATTGTAAACCCACATTGCACCCACCCATTCAATATTTTATAATGAACATGAGGTCTTTTTTAAGACCATGTTGATCAGCATGCCCAAGAGCATCTTTGTGTGAAAGTTTTAGGATCACGAGGGATAATCTCAATGTCAAGGATTGATGTACAGTGTTCATGCATTATACAAGAGGTGTTGGACCTATTTAATTTCCACTTCTTCCACTCCCACAACTTCTTGTCTCTTCCTCCCATTCTCACTATTGCCCCATCTGGGCATACAACTACCACCTGCGAACGATTTGTCCTGCTTCAACCTATCGAGGTTGATCCTACACTTGTGTTGTTCCGGATTGGCCCTGATTGAATTTGGCAAGTCTATCCCCGTGTGCACCCCATTACAACACCCACGATGCTTGAAACTTGACGTTCTCTTGTACACTCCTCTACCACAATCAAACGTTAACAGCATGAATCTAGCAGCGATTAGCAAGGTCTTTACTCCATTGTCTTCAACAGCGTTCTTTACTTGCGCAACTTGCCTTACAGCCTTGTTTACGTGGAACAGCAGATAGCCGTTGTATAGAAGCAGCTTTATTTACGCGTAGCAACTTGCTCTAATACATACGACTTCTTATGAATATGGATATGGATATGGATATGGATATGGATATGGATATGGATATGGATATGGATATGGATGTGGATGTGGATATGGGTTGGTGCATGAGATGGAAGGATCATATACAATGCGCGGAAAAAGTGTGTATCCATTATCAACTTGATCTTCATTCTTCATCCTCAACGATTGGCGCATGCAACTATCATACTTTACTCGCTATTCCATAGCAGCTATTATCATCATCCAACTCCATGTTTTGACAACCTATGCATCCAATTGGCTACCATGCCGCAAGTGCATTCATCCACCTTTGCGCAATGCACGCTCAAAGGATTGAAACTTTTCATATCGATGTATATCCTATTGGAGCAATTCGTTGCATCTCTCGGATGTATCCCTTGTGAATGATAGTTGGATTTAAGGGTTACTTAGCGATAGGACATTGCACTGGCCAACCATTTCTATGTCCCATGTGTAAGAAATAAAAAGATTTACGGTATGACAGATGCAGGATGGTAGAAGGATATCCGCTTGTCAATGTAGTGATAAAGGAAAGGGAGGAAGTGATGGGGTCTGATTGATTCATTGTCTTAAAGGCTGTCTTCAATAGCATAATTCATCTTCTTTACTTTTGTGATTGGATTTTGTCAATAACATTGAAGTCTAGACCTTGCAAGATTGTTACTTTACTAGTACATGGCAGGAGCTTTCACGAGCATTAAGTTTAGAGGGACATAGCTAGTGAGCTTTATTCCTTTATTGTTGCATAATACATACAATTAAAGAACTATCATTGTATGATCTATGTTGCTCCTTTCAAAATGCCGATTACGTGGTAGCGTATGTCGTTAGCGAAGGTGTTTTAAGGCCATATCAGCAACGAGTGTTATCCAAATAGTGTTGCCTTCCCTTGATGAACCATTGTTCCTATTGAGAGTGACATCATCCATACAGAGCCGTGCACTCGTGTTATGCGAACTAAAAGAGTTTGACATGAACCTTCCTTGTTGCTTCACATGCATCCAATACTCTCTTCCATACCAACAAATGCCCTTCCATCATCTTGATCCGGTTACTGCTGATTGTTGATAATCAATGTCCCAGCAATCTCTCACCTGAGCATGGGTCAATACACTGAATTCTTCATATGGATCAGGCTGAACACCACTTGATTCATTGTTTCCTTGACGTGAGAAAAGGACTTTGAGTGGGGATAAAGGTGCTTCTAATGGGCTCCACAATGTCAGGTTATATAGCTGGGGCATTCACTGTGTATCCTAGCCTCTTGTCCTTTGTGAGCCATATCGATTGGATGGTTAAGGAATTGGATTGGGATCTCATTTACGCATTGGTGTCAAGTGTAAAGAAAAAAAGTGGGTTCCTCAACCGCGTTGTGCGTCTCCTTAATGTGTTTCAGACAACGACGCGCGACAACTGCATAATTTCCCCAGCTCTGCTTCACTTGTTTTTGGTTGCCATGGTTTTGGGAAATGAGGCGTGTGCTCCCAGTATGATGATATTTTCCATTATGGGATCTGGGCGTGTATTGTTGATAACATCATGACAATCATCGTGGTAAAATGATCGGGAAATCACGACACCTTATCGTTTATACCGTGAAACCATTCCATTGTGCAATCCTCGTTATTCCCGAAGTCTCGGCCAACATCAATAAATCATTATGCGTGCTTGTGTGGGTGTTATTTCTTATACAAAAAAGTCCAAACCAACAACTCGATGGGATCATTTGTCAACATGTAAAGGAATGATGGTAGGAAACCTTTTTGAAAATGAGCAAAGATTTTGTGCCGATAGCGTGATTGATGCGTGTCGTATGTAATGCAAGGAGTTAGTTCGTAGATGGCGCCTGTGTACAACATGCAAATCTCAGCTTATGCCGAGCTGACGGAGTATTTGATGGACGTATCTTTTCCCCGTTTCTTGTTTCTCACCTTTACTTTGCACACCTTTTTTCTCCTCTATTGATACCTCATCATGCCAGAAGGCTACGTGGCATTGCCCCAAGATGAGGATCCTGGGCAGACCTCTAAGCCTACCTCATTTATCGATCGCGCAAAACAATGGTGGCATCACCAAAACAATGACGAACGAGCTCCACTTTTGGATAGAAAGCGCATGACATTGCAACCACCCAAGCGAAAGACGCTCAAGGTGATCATTGTTACGGTAGTCATTATACTTGCGTTGTTGGCTGTTGGTGTTGTACTCGCATTGTGGATCGATAAGGATGATAACAATCAAGGTAAACATAATTAAGAAGCAATGTCGGGGTGATTAGATCATGGATAGTAACAAACAAACAAATAGCTGGCAAGCAACGACCACTCAGTGAAACGGAGCAGCTGATGCTTGACTTCCCATCCAAGGACAATATCCGCGACTACTTGAAATATTATACATCCGAGGCTCATTTGGCTGGCACTGAAGCTGATAAGCGACGAGCTGAATGGACACGTGACAAGTTTATCGAATTTGGCATCAGTGATTCGACCATTGAGACCTATTATCCATTGCTTAACTACCCAGTCAGTCGTCGTTTTGGTATCGTTTCCGGTCCCAAAGAATTCCAATACGAAGCCGAGTTGCGCGAAGATCCTGTTGAGGAAGATCCCACCAGCCACGATCCTGATGTTGTACCCACTTTCCATGGTAAAAAAAGGATATGATGGATAGTGATCAAAATATTGATGCAGGTACCCATAGGCTATTCCAAAAATGGCACTGCTCTTGGCCGTGTTGTTTATGCCAACTATGGCCGTGTTGAGGATTTCCAATTCCTAGTAGATCACGGCATCGATTTGAATGGCACCATTGCATTGATGCGCTATGGTGGTGCATTCCGTGGACTTAAAGTACGAGCTGCTCAAGTATTTGGTTGCGCTGGTGCATTGATTTACTCCGATCCCATTGATGATGGCCCAATTGACAAAGAAGGCTATCCCCATGTCAACCCTGCCAAGGGATACCCCGAAGGCCCATGGTATGTTCTTGTTGCCATGCTATTGTTTTATGATGATCATAAAGGCTAACATGAAATTATACATAGGCGATCACCTAGCTCAGCACAACGTGGATCGGTTCAATTCTTGTCATTGACAGCAGGTGATCCATTGACTCCTGGTTACGCTGCTACCAAGGATGCACCTCGTCTCAACCCTGAAGATGTTGAAGGTCTTGCCAAAATTCCATCACTCCCATTGTCTTATCGTGATGCATTGCCCCTTCTTAAAGCTATGGAAGGTCATGGTGTGCGTGGTGAACACGATTGGGCTGGTGGTCTTGAAGAAGTTAGCTACTTTTCAGGTCCTACTGAAGGCGATGCTTACCTTGAAAACATTGTGGACAACAAGATCACTCCTATTTGGAACACTATTGGTGTCATTGAAGGATCCGAGGATCCCGATCGTGTTATTGTGCTTGGTATGTTCTTACTCATCTCATTGATGCAATGTCTTATACGCTTTCTAAACATTAGGCAATCACCGGGATGCGTGGGTTTATGGTGCTGTCGATCCCAACTCTGGATCTTCATCCATGGTATATAAGCAATTATCATTAACCATGATGTGACAATCAAATTTAACAGCCATCGTTTATTGTAATAGATTGAACTTGCTCGTAGCTTTGGTGAGCTTCTTAAGACTGGCTGGAGACCAGCTCGCACCATTATCCTTGCTTCATGGGATGCAGAGGTAAATGTTAATGGAACGCATCATGGACCTTCCTCCTTACATTGCACTTTTAGGAATATGGTCTTGTTGGTAGTACCGAATGGGTTGAGGATCACGATTGGCTCAAGGATAAGGCTGTTACCTACATCAATGTTGATACGGCTGTGTCTGGTCCTCATTTTGTTATTCAAGCATCTCCTTCTTTGAACCAACTTATTTATGAAGTTACCAGCTTGGTGCAAGATCCTCGTACCGGTGGTAGTGTTTATGATGCATGGGCAGAGCTCACCAATCGTACACTTACCCCATCGCCTAAACCATACATTGGACAGCTTGGATCAGGCTCTGATTTTGTTCCCTTCCTTGATCACTTGGGTATCAGCTCAATCTCACTTGCATTCACAGGTGATTATGGCGTATATCATTCCAACTATGACAGGTTTGTTCTCCATACCCCCAATCCCATCTCATTGTTATTGTATTAACGCGAGTCATCATTTTAAAGTTTCCACTGGATGGAAAAGTTTGGCGACCCTGGTTTCCATTATCATGCAACGATGACCAAGATTTGGGGTTTGTTGGCATTGCGTTTGGCTGACAGCCCTATTTTGCCTTTGCACCCAGTCGACTATGCTGATGCTCTTGACGACTATGTGGACTACCTTGTTGAATTTACAACATCCTTGTCAACGGATGGAGCTGACAGCAGCCGATCATTCCCATTGTTGCGTAAAGCTGTCCACAAGCTTAAAAAGATTGCCGTCAAGTTTGAAAAGAATTTGCAATCCCTTGAAAGCCAAGTCTACAGCTACTCGCATCTTGCCAATGTACCAAAGTCGCTCACTTCCAGCTTGCGTAAAGTCAACGACCGATTGGCATTCTTTGAACGTGGTTTGATTGATCCTGAAGGTATCCAAAACCGTGAATGGTTCAAGCACATTGCCTATGCACCCGGCTTGTGGACAGGCTATTCCTCACAAGTGTTCCCAGCCATCACTGACGCTCTTGAAGATAATGATGAAGAGCTTGTCAAGCATAAGGAGGAGCGTGCAGCTCAATGCATTCGTGGAGCAGCTGATAGTTTAAGGTGATTAGGGATAGTCATTTGAGTTTTCATTATGTTACATAAACAATGAACTGAATAATGAATGAATGAATGATAATGTCAACACAAAGAATTGATACAAGCTATAAGGGGCATAAATTTATAACAAGCAACAAGGATTCAATGCATGCAACAAATGTAAGCCATTTATTTCATCCAGCTATCCGGTATACGCATTAATGAACCTTTCAATCAATGCATCGATATCCCATTGCTCTTCAACAACAGTGATTCTATCATGATGATCCCAATTGCCTACATAGACTGAGCGTGTGACACCAAAGCTGAATCCAACGGTGATGGCATGATGCTGATCGAGTGCATGTCTTTGGGATGCTTGGTATTTCCGCAACTCATTTAAGCGTCGATCGTATTCTTCCTGCCGTTGTTGTCGAGAACGATCTTGTTGATTCTCAGCTGTTGCTTCCCTTGTTGATCGTAAACCACCAAAATCAGCAGCAACAAAACGTGGCAAACGACGTAGTATATGGGTTTCAGTATGTTGTCCTCTCTCTTGGTCTTGTTCCTCTGTGGGTAATCGAGGTGCAGCCACCGTGGGTTGTCGAGATCGAGGTCGTGCAGTCAAATGATGAGGGTAAAGAAGGCTCGAATCACGTGAATTGTAAGAGGAAGGCGTATGAGATGATGATGACATTGTAGGTGAAGGTGATAAAACATGTGCGTCGGCAGTAGTGATAATTGTTGGTTGCTGTTGTTGCATGGTGCTGCTGCTGGTGGGTTTGGCTTGAGTGAGTGATGAGCTACTACTATCACCCCTTTTTGCAATTTGTTTGGCCACCTTGAAGCTACGTGATGTAGGTGATACACCACGAACCCACACATGCTGTAATATAGATCGACCAGACCCTCTCCCCGATGCATCTGCTGATGTGGATGTTGGTGCTTCAGCCGATGATTCGGATGATGATGGCTTTTTTGCATGCTTCCCATTCATGATGGCTGGTTCAGAGATACGTTCCAATAGCTTGGGTCTAGGTCGTATAGGTAATGGTTGTTGGGCGTCTAATGGCATGCTGGTGTTACTTGTAGTAGTAGTAGCAGCAGCAGCACGTGTCGGTGACAAAATCTCTCGATGTTGTGTTTCAGAGCTTGTAGAATCGGTCACTGTGAATACAAAATGATCGCTTGGTTGCTGTTGTGGTGCACCAATGCCATCGGGTTGATCAGAGTTGGGATCATTCAAAGTCTGCGTTGGGCTCATGGGTTGATTAAAATAATCAATCTCTCGTGGATGAAACATGCGCATGGGTGCCTTGCCCTTGATTTCAGACATGGTCCTCCGAGCCAAAGACGATTTGGGTAATTCCTCCATTTGTATCTTATCACCCGGTGTACTGCTTTTACTCGCACTTGGGAACAAGAGTGGATTATCAGGCATTTGGCTTCCAAAAGTAGAGCATGTATCCACCGTTTCTCCTCGTAACATACATGGCCGTATAAATTTGGGTTGTCCTTCACGTTGCAGCTGCTGTTGTTGGCTTTGTCGTCGACGTGTTGCATTCAAATTCTCTGACAATGACTCGGCCAAGGATTTCCTGTTGGGCATCATGTTCATATTCTCGGTCACTTCCACTGAAATATGATCATCATCATCATCCTCTTCATTCGCTGGCTTGATACGACATACAGTGACAAGGAAAAAATGCATTGCCATAGCAAATCGTGGATGTGTATAGGGTTCAACAAGGTTTCTTGAATCCTCCATGCTTCGCCATAAGCTACCGGACATGCTGGCACGTTTCCTTCCAAAGCTACGAGCTCTGTTGTTCTCATTTTCTGGTTCAAGTGGCCATTCTTGGTTGAGTTGTTGATCAAATCGATGATCGGATGATGCTGTGACACGATGCATTGGTACTGAATGGCTGCGTTTATGGCGAGCGGATCGCCTTCTTCCTTGTTGCTCCAAGTCTGGAGATGCCGAATTCGATGTTATGCATGAAAAGAAGCTAAAGCCAAAGGATGGTCGTTGTCGTTCCAAAACTGGCATTGATTGGATACCAGGTCGACGACGTTGCTCTGCTGGTTGTTGTGTATGCGTCATATCAAACACGGGTCTTTTACGAGGTCGTTGTGGGATTTCAAGTGTTGGTGATGGTTTTCTAATCGGTGGTGTCAATTGTGGAAATGTTGATCGACGTGTGGTGGATATTGTAATTTCATTTTTGGACATGAGGGCGCCCACCATAATTGTCTTTCTTCCTTGGCTGCTATTTGACGACGATCCATTACTACTCGTAGCTTCAGAATCAGGCGTACGTGGATGTAACAACATTAACGCAGCATCAGCACTAAATGATCGTTGTGATGTGATGCTGGTGCCAGACTCTGTATGCTTCAAAGTCTCTCGAGGATGCTGTTGTTTGTCATCAGGGAATGCTCTCTTGTCGCTCGTTTTGGAATGATATGAAACTTGGCCTGTGCCAAACTTCCCGCTGTGAGCAAGAGTGCCACTTGTACCAGTGCCCTCCTCATCATCCAGTGATCGTATATCCACCGAAAAGTAGTCATCCACGTATCGCCTTTTCAGTTGTACAGCAAGCTCGTGTATCACCGCTATTACTGATGGATCTGAAAAGAATACAATGCTCACCATGAACCCTATTCAAATAGTGTTGCTGGATCAATGACATGTCGTTATCATCCCATGTAGTATTTGTGTAAAGATTCTCTCACCTAAGAGATTCGAAAATAGCATATCGAGCACAAAGATGCAGAATGGAATATAGTCTTTTTGAATGGCTGCAATTTGAATACCCACACCCCACATCTTGGATATCAAAGGTACTACATTGTACGTTCAAGGGTGGTGAACAAATGGACTTGCACGTGATTCAATGAAGAACATACATACTGATGGGATATCCAACGCATCGAAGTACCACTTTACGAAAGACGACGGCTCTACTTTGTGTATTGCGTTGTTCTGGTGGTGGTCGTTGAAGGCTTGGTGGTCCAACAACTCCTGATTCAGCACTTCCAGCCATGTTTAACGAGCCGACAAAGTAACTTTTCTTGTGACGGAATTTGTTGATAGCGAGGACAGCACACACAGCAGAAATCACCGAGGCAAGCAGTAGCCATGAGTAATACCACATCTGTTTCATGAATAAAAAATGTTGTCAGTTGGAACGTTTGTCCGAGAGGTTCTATTGACCGCTGGTATGATCAACTTGCCCATTTAAACGTACGTTGAAGACGACCGACAAAGTAATAATGGTACCTGAAACATGAAAAAGGTCAACATCATGTATCCATGGCAACCAAAAAACCAAATTTTACCAGCAATTGTTTTGCCCAGAGTTCTTTGCCGGGGCTGTAGCAATAGCGAGTGGCATGACGGTTGCTAATACGGCGGATATGGTGATCAAAGCGTAATAGTATTTCTCCAACTTGACAGGATGCGTGACGCGGACAATGAAGATCATGACGAGGTTGAGGCCCACCATGGCTAGGCTCATAGTGCTCATTGTATCAGTGGCGATGAGGATATAGATTAACACCCGACAAGCTGAATTGTTGTCCTGGATAGCGGGAGTCGGCATTCCAAAGACGCAATAGATGATGTTGCAGAAGCATGAAAAGACAATCAATCGAAGAGAGACTCGATTCACCATTGGGGGTCGGTACCACATAATGAAAAAGAAGGTGATCAAGACCAGGATGTTGCATACGATAGAAACAATAGCACTGCTGACAGCTGATCCAATTAATGCTGCATTGCCACTAGGTGATTGCACTTGGTCAGCTATCTCTTGTGGATCAAGACCTCTCACCATAAGAAAGATGATGTTAATGGTATAGTAATAGTACAATCAAAAGGAAAAAGGGGTACTTTACCCTATATGTTCCCGAAGAATGAATATAAAAGCGAAACATTGAAGATTGGACTATGGCAAGACCAATATGGATGGATGATGTCTTCTTTCAAGGTACAAGTGGCTGAGGTTTGATCACCGGCGGCTCTCCTCCTCAATCTCTCTTTTCAAGCAGACGTCCCTCCACCACCTCCTCTTCTTGACAGTGCCGATTCCTTAACGCAGCAATGGAGCCTTTACGCATGCTTGAATTCTACTCAGGCATTGGTGGCATGGTATACAGCTGGCAACGTAATGACACCGCGTCCCCATTTTCTCATGGACTTGTTTCAATCGATCGACGCTTAGCATTTTGCAGCCACTCTTGCCAAGTGGGACTTTGAGATTGTGAAGGCGTTCGATATCAATAACGTTGCCAATGATGTGAGTGGATGATGTGCATAAAAAGAAGGTTTGCAGCTAATGGGTTGTGGATATCAGGTGTACAAACATAACTTTGGATCGAAAACGGTGGGACAGGTAAGTGTGTTTGGGGGATGATCAAGGTGCATGAATCAGGAGAAAGATGTTGACGTTCTTATACACAGCGACAAATTGAAGCCTTGACATTGGAGTATTATGATCGTGTGGCTGCAGATGTATGGACCATGTCACCGCCATGTCAACCTTATACGCGTGTGGGATTGCAGCAAGGAAGTCAAGATGCTCGATCAAGAAGTTTTCTCTACTTGTTGGATGTGTTGAAGAAGATGGTGCACCGACCAAGGTATATGCTTGTTGAAAATGTCAAAGGATTCGAGGTGAGAAATCTTGTACTACCCTCTTGTTCATGCATGCGAGGCTAAATCCAACATGTTGTAACCCAGGAATCGGATTCAAGAGACATGCTTGTTGAGACACTCAAGGAATGCGGATACATCTTTCAAGAATTCTTGCTCACACCTCTACAGCTTGGGATCCCTAATTCTCGTATGCGTTATTATTTGCTGGTAAATGTTGCAGTGATGTGTGTGGTGTAACCATGATGATGATACAGCTGCTCATCCTTTTATCAGGCAAAACGAGAACCAAGCAGCTTTGCATATCCCCCAACAGGCACCATCCTTGGCTTTATACCTGGATCAGAAAAGATGTCCAACGAGTTTATCGACAACCGCAATCGATCTTTAACCAACGAGGACCAATTGATCAACGCGTCTACATCCGCTGTCAACGTGGCCCAAGTGTCAGAATACCTCGATCCCTCAGAGGAGAATTTAGATGCTTATTTAGTGTCGGACAAGGTATGATTGCGTCAATGTGATTCTATACCAGGTTGGATTAAATGTAAATGAATAGGTTTTATTCAAACATGGACATGCATTTGATATTGTCAAGCCAAGCACAAAGCGTAGTTGCTGCTTCACAAAAGGTACATTGACTAGGAGTGGATCATTGAATGTTCATAACCTGATTCGAGTGCATGTTAGGATATTATCATTACGTGGAGGCGACTGGTAAGTCCTATCCTATGAAGGTGATATGAATAAGGATACTCAAAGTGATATTCTTCTAGGCTCGGTTCTGCAAATGAATGAGGATCTTGATGTAAGTATCGCAGCTTTGATATATGGATGAATGGCTGATACATAGCTGGGCACGCTTGTAGACCGATGACACCTTTGGAAAAGCAACTGCCAAAAAGGAACAAGGTGATGAGGAAGGAGCATTGGAACTTTTACGGCCATTACGCCTACGTTACTTTACACCGCGTGAAGTTGCCAACTTGATGGGCTTCCCAAGCACGTTTTCATTCCCAGAGACAAGCACCTTGAAACAGAAATATCGAACGCTAGGCAATAGTATCAATGTACGATTAGTAGCTGAATTGATGAAATATCTAGTAAAGCATGAGCAAGAGTAGTAGCATCCATGACATTATACATTTGAAGGAAGGATGTATGTACCAGAAGGCGTTGTTGAGTCTTTGTGTAAGATGCAATCGAGATCTTGTGTGTGTGAATGAACGCAAACGAAGGCTATAAATAACGAGAGCTTAAGGAGAACCATGATCAGGTGCACATTCATTTTCTACCAAGATGGATAGTAGTAATTACATCCCTGCGGCTGCGGTTGCTGCAGCTATCCAGCATTTACACAGTTTTCATTATTCTATCCATACGAATTGGAGCCATATTCATATCATCGACGTTATTACAATGTATCCATGTATTCGTCACAAGTGATGGTTGCCATGGAGATCCCACTAGCAGCGGCAGCAGCTTGACGAGTTGATTTGCCGATGCTGCGACAAAAAAATTTATTCACTGGAGGAGTACGATTATCTTCCCTCTCTCTCTCTTTCACTCACTACTACATCATGGTAGGTGCCTCGCCATTTCACACCTTTGCAATGCCCTCCATTTCAGCATGACAACGAATCACGCTTGCCTCTCATCTTCAACCCATCGACCATTGTGTGAATGGAAGACTCATGACGACGCCATAACAATACAATAGGGTAAAGTCCACGGTTCGCTCGCTCGTGCTGGTAAAGTCAAGTCTCAAACCCCCAAGGTTGCCAAGCAAGAAAAGAAAAAGTCCTTGACTGGTCGTGCCAAGAAGAGACAAGTGTACAAGTAAGTAATAGATATACATGACATGCAGCACAAGCATGGATGATTCACATTGGGATTATCTTTACAACAACAGCCGTCGTTTCGTCAACGTCACTACTGCCATTGGTGGCAAGCGCAGAATGAACCCTGCCCCCACTCAAGGTCCTTAAATGCCATCTTCATCCATTACGACTTTTGATCAAATAAAATAACAACACTTGCTTCAAAGCAACAACACCAACATGTGAATCGTTCATTTGCCCAAAGTGTCGTGGCTGAGTAATCAGTACTTTAATCCTTGCTGCTTCAGCCATCTCATGAGATACAACAATGGAAGGGTAGATATTATTAGAAGGTGATTAAGTGTGTTTAGCAGGATAGATATACTTGATTTGGATCATGATTTAAGGGACAAAAATACATATTACTTGGCTGCGTGCATAAGATGTAGACGTGGGGTAACCCAGGATTTTGAAAAGACGCATGATAGTGGAGGCACATGATCATTGTGATATGTAGGCTAACTTTATCAGACTCCTCACAGTATAGCTTAATATTCTTTCCATGGATAGAATGAAATCATTGATACTTGGAAGCATCTCTTTAGGTGGTAGTCATGGCGACGAGTAGGAGGGGGATGGGTGTGTGTGTTGTGTGTGTGGATCATTTCGGAGTTTGGGCTACTTCTCGGTCGATGGTGGCCATTGTGAACCACCCTCTTCTTTTCGGTAGGTAACGAGGATGGCTAGTGGGATGAGGATGGAGGATGAGAGACAAAGAGAGAACAAGCGAGGATATCAAAGGATGGATGATGAAATCAACGGATGAATCGATTGAATGGATGGATGAGATGGATGAATTCAAAGAACCTCTTTTAACCTAATGATGCGTCAACTTGCAGTTCGACGACCGTGATGGCTTCGCACAAGATCACTAAGCTCGCTGGAGCTAAACCCACTGACGAATTCGAGCTCAACGTTGCTCAAGCTCTTGTCGATTTGGAGAACAATGTCGCTGATTTGAAGAAGGACTTGCGTCCTCTTTCTATCACTGCTGCCAAGGAGGTACGAGTTATACAACCCACGCTATTCCACCACCACCACTACCAACACCACACACGACCCACCCCACGAGCACGAGAACGAATGATATTAATCATCAATTGATGCGACTTTATAGGTTGAGATTGGTGGTGGCAAGAAGGCTATTGTCATCTTCGTTCCTGTTCCTCAGCTCAAGGCTTTCCACAAGATCCAACAAAGGTAATTTGATATAGCCAATTGATAAGGATCTCTCTCTCTCTCTCTCTCTTTATTTACATGTGGATGATGATTATAGACTTACTCGTGAATTGGAGAAGAAGTTCTCTGATCGTCATGTTGTCTTTGTTGGCCAGCGTCGCGTTCTTGCCAAGCCTAGCCGTCGCTCGAACCCCAAGCAACCTCGTCCCAGATCTCGCACTTTGACCGCTGTCCATGATGCTATCCTTGAGGATCTTGCTTACCCCTCTGAGCTCGTTGGCAAGCGTACTCGTGTTGCTGTTGATGGCTCCAAGACCATCAAGGCGTAAGTAGCATTTGCAATGTGAGATAGAGATAACTTGGATACTGATGATGGGATGATTTTAGTTTCCTTGATCCCAAGGATGCCACCTCTTTGGAGTACAAGCTCGATACTTTCTCTGCCGTGTACAAGAAGCTCACTGGCAAGGCTGTTGTCTTCGAGTTCCCTACCAACGCCGAGCTCTTTTAAGCATTTGATTTCTTGTTGCAATACACACAATCCACCATACAAAAAAAAGTATAAACACGAGACATGTTCTTTTTTATAGTTGGGATGTGATGGGAAAATGATGAGTGTCAGTCGTTTCATGTAGTTAAGGTTGTGCAGGATGTAACCATGTTGAGTCTATGTAATTGTAGCACGACCTGGCACCCACTGGGTTTTTTTCTTCTTTTCTTTCTCGTCACTTTTTCTCTTTCCTCGTCTACTTGCTTCCCCTTTCACTTTTGCCATTTCGTTCATGGAGACGCAATTTGCGCCAATGAAGTCTCTGGGTTACCCTTCCCAGGAGATAGTATCCAAGCCAGCCAAAGATGTCAACCAGCAACTTGCCGACCAACGAAAAAAGCTACAAAAAGACACAGGCTTTGGTCTTTCAGTCAAATCATATCAACATTACAATGGTCCAAGGAAGAAGGTCAATATGCAATAGGCGTGTTCAATGTATATCAGCTCAATGTATTATTTTTCCTTTATGAACAGAGTAGTCGCTCCAGGACAAGGTCATCGCCTAATGCGCATGGCGGTGGTCATAGTAACACGGAGGAAACGGCTTCAAGAGCCGAGGGATGGAACATCTCGTGGATGGGTGTATACGGTCATGTTGTGGAGAGACAACAAGCCTTTTCGCCATTAAAGCAACCAGGAGCACCCTTCATCAGTGCATCAGCGAATGATCGATTACTACCACATGCTGACGCGATATATTGGCCACCGCCTGAAAATGAGTTGCCAAGACAAGATCAACGAGAGCTTGTGGATCTATTTTACACGCACTTTCATCCACCAACACCTGTCCTCCGACGCTCGGTTTTCGAGGCTGAACTTGAGAAATGCATCAACAATGAACAATCATCCTTTTTATCGCCATTCTTTTTCTATTCAGCATTCACCATAGCAGCACAATTTTCAGACCGATTGAGAGATACGAGGCAATCTTTTTGTATGCAACAAGCATTGGCTTTTCGTCAAGTCTATTTTGGTTATCCATGCATCAGCTCTATTGCAGCTTTGCTTATGTTGTCGACTTTTATGGAACGTACCAAGATCCACCCCTACACCAACTATTCTTGGGCATTGGCTGGAGAAGCCTTCACCATGGTGCAAGACCTTGGCCTGCATAGAATGTGTAACGTAAGCCCAAACCCGGCTGATCAAGAGCTGGCGGCTCGTGTCTTTTGGGTTGCCTTTGTATGTGATCGTTTGCTATGTGTGGTGACAGGTCGGCCTTTTACCTTTGACGAAAAGGACATGTGAGTTTCAGGCATCAATACTTTTTATTTACAAACAATGCGTAGCTGACAAAGCGAACCTCAACGATTTGGGTTTTTGATCTATTCCTTTTCTAGTGATGTCACACTACCTAAGCTCACTGAAGAAGAGCGGCAGGATCCCGGGGCTGAGGTGTATCTACGCAACTTTAACTGCTTGATCGACATCAGCAAGGTCATTGGTCGTGTCTTGCGCTTTAATTTCTCGGCTCAATCGGCTGATTTCCGTGCTCCTTCCCTGGTAAATAATAACAACGTTATTGACAAAAAAGTCCACTCACATACAACTCTTTTAGCATCAAGAGGCTATGCTTTCTACATTGGATTCATGGATAGCTTCATTGATGAAAGAATCCATGGTCGACAAGTATCCACAAGGCGTTGTCGGGATTCAGCGACTCTTTGATATCCAAAAGATGCTCATGTTGTATTGCATGTTGATTCTCTTACATCAGCCTTATGTGGATGAGGTGCAAACAAAACCTGGCTATAGCAGAAAGAACTCTGAGACACGACCCTCCTTTGAAATATGCTCAGCGTCAGCGACCATCATCATCCACACTGTTTATCAGCTTCCGCTTGTTGATTTGCAATACCTCGTCAATCGATCCGAATCCTTGTATGCCATATTGACCGCCACCAGATTACATCTCATGAATGCATCCTCCCAACATGACGCTGAAACTATCATGAATGGTGAAATCAACTTTTTACGTAGCATGGCCGTTCTTGAGAAGCTCCAATCACCGCCCAAATCATCCTTGACACAAACCATAAGTGCATTTCAAGAACGCTTTGATAGTCGACCTGATTCAATTCTTTCGGATTATGCAGCGGATCTTATACGCAAAGAAGCATGCACAGCACAAGCCAGTACACCTTTCTACTTGCAATTCACCCCTGTCTTAAAAGCAGCAGGCGAATCATCACCCGCCATTGAACATGCTGATACTATCGTATTTGAACAACACGTACCACCAACACCACAACCATCCACTGAACGATCCTTCAACATTAGCAGTAACAATAGCAACAACAATAGCAGCAACAACAATAACAACAACAACAATAACAACAACAACCATAACAACGCACGTGACAATAACAATACAAGTCGAACGGGTGCTGTCAAATTTATCCCATTCAAAAAGCCGCCAACAAAGACGTCAAGAAAACGACGCGCAGGTGCACCTGTACCAGCATCATCATCATCATCAACAACAACGCCAACAACACCAGCATCATCTTCAAGTACAGTAGTTTCAGAATCAAGTGGGTATAATGGCAGTGTCCCCATGAATCAATCAACACAACATCAGCAGCAGCAATATCCAGCTACCACAACAACCGTTGCCACGGATACGCCTTTGGCACAGCAACAATCACAGCCTCCATTAACATTTAATTCCACCTTTGATGATATCTTTGTGACAATGGCTTCCGAACAACAGCCTTTATTTGGCGCGGCTCCCTTTGACAACGCCCATGCTATGCAGATGGAAGGAATACCAAACATGTCCCTGACAACAAGTAGCACCAATCATTATGTGTCACCTGCAACTGTTGCTGCTACCAGTAATACAAGCAATGATCCTCAACAACCATGGGTTAATATGGCTAATGGAGGAAGAGATGATGAGGAGCAGACTTACTTTTTCCGTCAAGATTGGGCATTGGACCTACCTACCTTTGTTCCACTTGCACAGCAACAACAACAACAACAATTACCATTACAACAACCACAAGAGCAGCAGCAGCTGTCAATACAACCACCACATGACCAACAGCACATGCCATTACAGCAATCCCATGAACAATTATTACAACAACAACAACAACATTTGCTAGTACAACAACAGTTGCAGGACCAACAACAACAACAACAGCCGTCATTCCCACCACCATCAACATCAGGAATAGATCCACAGCAATTGCAGCCACAAATGACAACAGTAGCAGCAGCGCCTGCCATGGTATCTGGATTTTACCCGCATCATGCTTGGAATCAGCAACCACCGATTGATGTATGGGGGGCAGCATCCAGCGCATCCACTTGATAATGATGATGATGATTATTTCCCCGCCCAATCTTATTCCCAGCCTTATTTTGTTTGTGATACCCATTTTCATTCTATTGCAACCCCAATATCCATATATTATATAACATCATGCATCCTCAAATGTTTATTATTACTTAGTGTACAATATAAGAGAAAGAGTGAGAGAGGGCCATGTTGTGTAAGGACCCTGCAGTGCAACATGAAGAGGATTGGATGGGAGAGATTTGCTGATCACTTTGAGGTGGTACCAGTTTAGAATTCATTCTTTGGATTGAATGATATGTAAGAGTGTGTGTGTGAGAGCGTACGTGAGAGACTTTCCGATCACTTTCTCCTTCTTTTACTACTACTACAACTACTACTCAAAACACCTCTTGCACACCATGTCGAATGCTTCATTCCTGCGAGAGTAAGATGACATTTCCCCTTCACCCCATTCCAGTCTTGCTACATACAGGCACACAGTGTTGCTGACTCTCGAAGTTCAGGTACAAGATTGTCATTGTCGGTGGAGGCGGTAAGTAGTAGTGGTCCATGCAAACACACACACCTACACACATTCTATACACCCTTCTCATTCGCTTCATCAAAGGTGTTGGCAAGTCGGCTCTTACCATTCAGTTTATTCAATCGCACTTTGTGGACGAGTATGACCCCACTATCGAAGGTATGTAAGCAGGCAGTAGTAGCAGCAGTAGTAGTCGCTCTCCTTATATCATGTGATTAACGACGCGTGCATCTACAAGACTCGTATCGCAAGCAATGCGTGATTGATGATGAAACGGCTCTTTTGGATGTCTTGGATACGGCTGGTCAAGAGGAATACAGGTAAAAAAAAAGCATCATAAGGGAAGAATGATCTACGTATCTTACATGGGAATGCTTTTAGTGCCATGCGTGAGCAATACATGCGAAATGGTGAAGGCTTTATCCTTGTCTACTCTATCACATCCCGTTTATCTTTTGAAGAAATCAGTACCTTCTTTGAACAAATTCGACGTGTAAAGGACCGCGACTCTTTCCCCATGGTGCTTGTCGGCAACAAGTGTGATCTCGAATCCGAACGACAGGTGTCAAGTCAAGGTAAATCAAGGGGATCATGTGCACACACACACACAATGGGATGAGGAGTCGTGAAGGGAGCTTTTTGTATGCAGCGGAGGAGGAGGGGAGGGAAAGGGATAGAAGGAGATGGATGGATGAGATGATATTGATATCTTCTATTTCTCTTTTACTAGAGGGCCGTGATCTTGCAAAGACATTTGGATGCCCGTTTAGTGAAACGTCAGCCAAACAACGTATCGGCGTGGATGAATCATTCTATGATGTGGTACGCGAAATCCGCCGGATGAACAAGGATCAAGAAGCACGCGTCAAAGGAGGTGCTGGTTATCGGGACAATTTCGAGATGGAAGAGGGCCATGGTAGTGGCGGCTGTTGTGGATGTACACTCATGTGACGTTTATGCACTATGATCAAGGAGTCTTTTTTGGAAATGACATTGAGTTTTGCCAACCCCCCATTTTCTTTATACACATACCCATCTAGATGCTATAGTAATCAAATATATTGCCTTTTTGTATTCAAAAGCTTTTCTTTTATTGGCTGCGTACAAGCTTAATGAGACGATGGGTTTTGAGTTCTATGATGTGCATGGATTCCAAGCATCACGTTGTTGTTAATGTCAGCTGCCTGTTTTTATCATTTCACGCGAGTCACCTATCTTCGCAACATCATTAATCAACCCATACATATTAAGGTCCACTGCTACATGGTAAGTATGATTTTTTAGCTTCCATATGGGTTCCCCTTTTCTGAACAGCTTTGTATTTACAGGACGTTGCAGAAACGAATGCAATGATATTGCAAGATGCTTTCAACCGTGATAGTAGCAACGTTGGCAGTCAAAGGGCCCCACATCCTACCGGCTTTATTAAGAAAACATGGCTTTGTCCTTATTTTGCCGATACTAACATACCACCCTTCACATATTACTAGCAATTACCACCCGCGTATCCATCATACACTTTTAGTCGCACTCATCAATGATACTCCAAATACACTTTTGTGCTGTTATTAATAACGATATATACGTATACATTCTTCTGCCAAAAGAAATCTAAAACTGCCAAAAAAATGGACCATCGATGCTAGATACATAAGAGCAAATCGCCACTCTGTAAGTTGCATCGCTTGACAAGACACCATGTGATGACACACTCTCGACAACAAATGCCAAACGTAGGAACACTTCTTCAGATGATGCATAATTGGGTCGCCAAGCTGCTTAAGGAGAGACACTAGCAAGATACATGCAATTAGTTTATCAACAAAGCAATTCAAAGCCGAGTGTTTTTTGTTCTTACCTCGTAGCACAAGCTCTTCTTATGCCACGTATTCCAACAAAGCAAACGTCAAGGCTCAGGCAGACACACCATAATCACCATAATTGCCCCTCCGCAGCTTTATCGCTTGACAAGATGCCATGCTGGTGACACACTCTCGACAGCAAAATACCAAACGTAGGAATATTCTTCAGATGATGCATGATTGGATCGCCACGCCGCTTAAGGAGAGACACTGGCAAGGAGGTATCAACGGTTAGTGTATCTGCAAAGCAATCCAAAGCCAACACTTTTACTCTTACCTCATAGCACAAACCTCATGTATTGTATTCCAACAAAGCAAACGTCAAGGCTCAGGCAGACACCATAATTGCCCCTCCGCAGCTTTATCGCTTGACAAGATGCCATACTGGTGACACACTCTCGACAGCAAATACCAAACGTAGGAATACTTCTTCGTGATGCCAGTTGGATCGCCACGCCGCTTAAGGAGAGACACTAGCAAGAGGTATCAACGGTTAGTATATCTGCAAAGCAATCCAAAGCCAACACTTTTACTCTTACCTCATGCTTTCTATCTCTCATGTATCATTGTATTCCAACAAAGCAAACGTCAAGGCTCAGGCAGACACACCATAATTGCCCCTCCGCAGCTTTATCGCTTGACAAGATGCCATGCTGGTGACACACTCTCGACAGCAAAATACCAAACGTAGGAATACTTCTTCAGATGATGCATGATTGGATCGCCACGCCGCTTAAGGAGAGACACTAGCAAGAGGTATCAACGGTTAGTATATCTGCAAAGCAATCCAAAGCCAACACTTTTACTCTTACCTCATAGCACAAGCTCCTCATGTATCATTGTATTCCAACAAAGCAAACGTCAAGGCTCAGGCAGACACACCATAATTGCCCCTCCGCAGCTTTATCGCTTGATAAGATGCCATGCTGGTGACACACTCTCGACAGCAAATGCCAAACGTAGGAACTCGCCACGACACCTAGGGAGAGATACTAGCAAGAGGCATCAGCGATTAGTATATCAGCAAAGCAATACAAAGCCAAGATTTTGGTTCTTACCGATCATAAACTCTTCAGATTGTTACTTATTCCAAATAAAGCGAACACCAAGGCTCAGATAGACACACAATAATCGCCTCTCGGTACGATGCTTCGACACGGTCTTGATGGCAAACTGTTAACTTCGTTTGGGGAAAAAGTGTCGTCCGCAGTTGATCACCTTGGGTTGCCATTCGTTGGTTGCCATATCAATCTCAGCTGACCTAGCGACAGCACCATCCGCAGCCCTGATCACCGATTTATTGTCGTTACTCCTGTAGCCATCCTCGAAGCTCGAACCACTGTACTTCCAGTCACATCCAAATACGGTTATTCAAATTGAATAAAGAGATTCTGTAGCAGACGCATATGGGGCATCATAATTTTATACGATAGATCTCCAGGTCATTCATGGTCCTTGATAAGGATAAAATGCTTTAGCCAAAACGACTCTCGTGGTTTAATAGGAGGAGGTGTAGGTCTTTCAAGAGCTGCGGATGCTTGTGCTGGTGCAGATGCTACCATCATGGTTTTAGTGGCGGGATGATATGGTGATTCCACTTTGTCATATGAGTGAGCTGGTTGATGATGATAGTAGGATCCATCATGCATTTTTCCACCGATAGAATTGACCCTTCAAGTCCTGTCAAATGTTTTAATGCGACCTTTGACTGCTGTATGCTCACCCGCCCAAAGAGCTGAGCATCAACTCATGCTGTCTACTATCAGCATGTGAGATAGGAAGCTTGGGTACATGTAACAGTGTTGTGGCAAAAGAACAAGAGCATCTCGATACTACGACGATGTAAATGATCCAACCTCGCTTCCCGACCTTCTATTTCTATTTCCCCCCTCTTCAATCCAGAAACCAACCAAGTGGACCACATCTTGCTCATATCAGATACCCCAAGTATCCATTCAATGAAAAAAGTCGAAGAATAGTACATAGTAGCGTGGATGTTTATCGGGGATTGTATGATAAAGTTGCAAATTGAACAATATACGGGTGAATCACATAGAATGGGCAGGGATCATTGTACTATGTATTCTTGATTGCTGCCGCCATAATCATCCTTCATCCATGATTGCAAAATAGCTGCTGCATGCATTGAATTGAGTATCCCAATATCATCCATGGCTGCAAAACACCGTTCGTCCATTCCATTCAATCCATCATCATCCTCGGCCGTATCCACGTGACACGATCCATCTTCGTTCCTGCTGGCGACGCGCCAAATAACCAAATCAACATTCCTACCCCATCACTGCACTTGATTGCATCCATCCATCATAGCCATTGTAAGTCCAATGTTGCCACTCGTATGCTTCCTTTTCCATCCGGCTGCTTTGGTCAATCCCTTTCTTGGTCATTCTCCATCGCTGCTCAACAAAGTGAAGTTGTATCGTGATGTAGTTGATTGCTGATATGGCATCATCCGTTCGTATCCGTAAGTATCAAAGCAAGTTGCTGTACGTAAATCAAGTTGCTTCTATACAATGGCTAGCTGCTGTTTCACGTGAAAAGGCTGTAAGACATGTTGCTGCAAGTAGCTGAGACAATGAAATAGCACCTGCTGTCACGTTTGGTGGTGGCAGAGGAGTGTGCAAGAGCGTGTGTTGTAGTAGAGGGACAAGGTTGTGAATGCTGTTTGAATCAATGGAGCAAGACCTTGCTAATAGCAACTGCTGCAATGAATGCTGTTACGATTGATCGTAGCAGGAAGCGCGCAAAGGGTGTGGTGTGTCAAGAGATTCGTGTGTTGTAGAAGAGTAACAAGAAAGCTGTGTACATGCCATGCACTTGCCATTGAGTCAAAAGCTTTCGGATCAAGACAATCGCAGGATTGACATGATGGGTTGAAGCAGGACAATCGTTCGTAGATAGTAGTTGTATATTTGAATGGGGCAACAGTTGAGAATGAGAGGAAAAGGGAAGAGCTGAGAGTGGAAGAAGTGGAAATTAAATAGGTCGGACACCTCCTCTTGTATAAATGCATGAACACTGTACATCAAACCTTGATATTGAAATTGCCCCTCTCGAACCTAAAACTTTCACACAATATGCTCTTGGTCATACTGATCAACATGGTCTTAAAAAAGACCTCATGTCCATTATAAAATATTGAATGGGAGGGTGCAATGTGGGTTTGCTATGTAAGTCGGAAATGGAGGTCATCCCCGGATTCATGATCTATGGATACAGTATGTATTATCTTGGGATTCCCCATTTCGAACCTGAAACTTTGTCAGAAGATTCGCTGCAACATGCTGATCAACTTCATTCATTTAAAAACCATACACTTCATTAAGGGTGTCTTGAATGCGGGAGGGCCCAAACGGTGGATGATGGGCAACAAAAGAGCGGACGGCCCACCGCCCCGAAGTTGCTCACTTCCAACTTGAGAATTGGTCAGAAGGGTGCTCTCGAGCATCCTGATTAACTTTTTCTAATAAAAACTTCACGCTTCATTTGAAAATTTGGAATGGGAGCGTCCAAAAGTTTGAAAGACGGAGACATTCGCAGGGTCTGCGATTCATTAATTTTCAAGTTTGCTGTTCCAGCGTAGCTCACTCAAATCGGCTCGGATCAAGAAACTTGAATGATGGAAATGCTCGGCTGGAGCAGGAGAATCGTTCACATGAAGTGGATTTTGCAACAACGCTGATTGTGAAAAAATGGCTGCTAGCGGGCAGTATATGGGCTATTGTCAACAGTATACAGTATCATCCTTCCATCCTTGCAGTCATGCAAAGTAGCTGAGTTACACAAAGAGGTTCCTCTGCATCTTTTGCTCTGCCAGAGTCCACCTACTTGACAATGAACAAAGACCACTCTTCATATAGCATCACGCTTACAAACATAAATGTGCCTGTATCTCCAAACTTTACAATGAAACGTGGGGTTTTGAATAGAGCAATGGGCTCGGCTTGGCCAACAGCACCTTGTGTGAAAGTTTCGCGTTCAATGTCGCAACTAGCCCAAAAAATATTTTTTTGGTCGTCGTCGAAGAGGAGGTCCACCCCCAGATCCAGTTTGGCTGGTGGCGACATTGCGAAATCTGGGATTGGCAAGCTTGATCGCGAAACTTTCGCACAAGGTGCAGTTGGCAAAGCCGAGCCCATTGCTCTATTCAAAACCCCACGTTTCATTGTGAAGTTCGGAGATACAGGCATCTTTATGTTTGTAAGCGTGATGCTATAATTGAAGTGGTCTTTGTTTAATGTAAAGTAGCTAGACCCTGGAGAGCCAAAGATGCAGAAGGACCTCTTTGGGTAACTCATCTAAAAAATCAGGACTTCAGGGACAATGCATGATAGGTACGCAACCCTCATTTTCAGGTCATACATTGGCAGCTAATAGCCACTTTTATACAATCAGCATTCACGTGATGGGAATGATGCTCCTGCTCCAGACATTCATTTCCATGATTCAAGTAGCTTGATCCGAGCTGATTTGGTTGAGCTACAGTCGAACAAGGATTAATCAGCTGAGACATTCGAATGTATGCTGATGTATGGATTGATGTAATCTCTTTTTGACCGTAGCTCAGCCTAATCAGCTCGGATCAAGATAATTGAATCAAGGAAATGAATGTCTGGAGGAGGAGCATCGTTCTATTATGATGGAATGCACAAAAGTTCGGAATGCACAAAAGTGGCTATTTGCAGCCAATGTATGGGCTATTGTCAATAGTATGCAATATCATCCTTCCATCCTTGCAGTCATGCAAAGTAGCTGAGCTACACAACACGACCCTCTGCATCTTTTGCTCTGTCAGGGTCCACCTACTTGACAATGAACAAAGACCACTCTTCATATAGCATCACGCTTACAAACATAAATGTGCCTGTATCTCCAAACTTTACAATGAAACGTGGGGTTTTGAATAGAGCAATGGGCTCGGCTTGGCCAACAGCACCTTGTGTGAAAGTTTCGCGTTCAATGTCGCAACTAGCCCAAAAAATATTTTTTTTGGTCATCGTCGAAAGAGGTTGAGCCCCGGATCCAGTTTGGCTGGTAGCGACATTGCGAAATCTGGGATCGCCCACGATGAACTTCATACTTTGACACAAGATTCCTTTGACCCCGGCAAGCACGTTGATCTATTAAAGAGCCCACGTTTGATTGTAAAGTTTGGAGATACAGGCACCTTTATGTTTGTAAGCGTGATGCTATATGAAAAGTGGTCTTTGTTTAATGTAAAGTAGTATGACTATAATAGAGCAAAAGATGCAGAGGGCGTGTTTGTGTACCTTGAGTCATTCAGCACAGGCGATGCATGATTCTTGTACACTATTTAGGAATAGTTCAAAATGCCAGCTAATAACCTTAGTCCTCCCATTCTCCATTGTTGTCCACTCCAATGCATACGAACGATTGTCCTGCTCCAGCCGAGCATGTCCATCATTCAACTTTCTTGATCCGAGTGGATTTGACTGAACAACGCTCAAACACAGAAACATCATCCAATATCAGAAGAATCAAATTGGTAAGTTATTTGTAAACTGCCACTTGATACAGTATAAGTAAGAAGGGATCAAGACGCATACAACACTGGTAATGGAAAGTACCTAAATTTAGTTAAAGCGGGGGGTGATGGACAAGCTTTCTACCTGCTGTGTCATTGTTTTTCTCGTTGCCGTTCTCTGAACCTCGTTATCGTTCTCAATGCCAATATTCATTTGCTGATCGTCATCGCCTTTCAAGTGTTTCACACAAGATGCTCTCGACCACGTCGATCAACTTCGTTTTCACAAAGACTTCACGCTTCATGATGAAATCTTTGAATGGATGGATGTAATGTGGAAGAGGCTATGAACGGAGGATTGAATGCCATTCAACGACACAATCAAAAGCTCACAAGTGAAGCGAGCAGCCCCTGCTGCTAGCCCAAATGAGATTATTGGAATTGAATAATGAATGCAGATATATGTATTAATGCGAGGTGGGTAAATACATTGAACTTAATGCGGCTACAATGGGGGTATACATAATGAGTCTACTCCAACTGAACGTAATTGGCTGGGAACTACAATGGTGTAGAAGCAACCTGTAAGCAACTTGTACATCAAACGAAAAACTTCCCCCTCTACACAAAAACTTACCACACCCGTTTGGTTGCCGATTTTGCCAGTCCACCAGTCATCTTGACTATCGGTCTTTTCGATGATGACGATGACTTGTCCTTCTTCAAATGATAGATCCCCTGGTTGTTCACCTTTGTAAGGATATAGTGCTCTAGCCATGGGTTCTCGTGGTTTAACAGGAGGAGGCATTGGTCTTCGTGGAGCTACTGGTGGTGGCGAAGGAGCAGCTGCAGATGCTGGCATCATGTTTCTAGTGGGCGGTGATGATGGTTGTGCTGGTTCCATTTTGTCGTATGAATGAGCTGGTTGATGATGATATGCAGGTGGTGGAGGTGATCTTGCTTGTGCTGTAATAGCAGGTGGTCGTTTAAGTGTGCCTGGTTTTGATATAGTCGTACTTCGATACACCTTGCCAGTGCCTTGATCATTCCCATTTTCATCCAAATCACCACGTCGATAAGATGCCGCTGTGTTGCCCAATGTGTGAAATTTAGCACCCAATGCCCGATACAATGCATCCGCTTCTGGTGGAGGAGGAACAGTGCCATTGAGCAATTCCTTGGCTGTTACTGATCGACCATACATCTTAGTGTTGGCATCCGACCTGGTGATAATAACCGATCCTTCCAATGATACGCCTAACGAAAAAGGGTTCATCAATACATATCCAATCCATTCATCTCTTTTACTCCCTGTACCTGCAAACAATCCACGGGTTTTGCTGTAAGAGTAAATGGCAGCAATATGTTTCAGAGTAGCAGCCCCTGAAGCTTCAGCATTCCTTCCAATAGGTCCGGCAGCCACTAGATAATGCCTTTTGTTAAAGAAGATATCCTTTCAATCTCCCTTCTTTTGGATTTACCTGATATATTGGTTCCAAGTGTGATACTTCCAAAGTGGCTGAATGTCTTGACAGCTTCCTTGGTATTCAACACGAGTACAAAGTCGGTCAACTCGGCACCAATCTGACCCCCTGCCCCGATACCTCCAGTTGCAATAGCAGATGGAGCGGACCAAGCTATACAAAATCATCGAATGAGTCATTGTTGTCAAATCCACATGATATAGAATCACTCACAGCCATCAGGTAATCTAAAATTTGAATAGTGAGCCACAACTTATGCATACATGGATCATGTTTCTTCCTTTACATACCTTGCTACTACCAATCCTGATCCACCACGTGCCGTGAAAAGAAAACCGCCCTTTAATACCGTGTATATGGCAAGACCTTTAGCGTTGGCAAGGATGGATGGTGGGATGATCTTGTCAAAGCCTTCTCCAGGATCTATTACACACGCAAAAGGGCTCTTTAATATGCATATCCCCATCGTTTCCTTTTGCTTGATCTACTAACCAATAAAGCCGTTAAGGATACGGGCAGCTTTCTTGCACTCGCCTAAAGGTTTACAAAACCAAGTGTTAGTTGAGAACAATATGCTCATTGAGTGACGACCGTACGAGTAATGACACTTGCCAGCAAGCTTGGTAGGAATGGGAGAGTTGATGTTGAATGACGGGGTGAGTTTCTTTTTCATGATAGGTATAAGAGTAAAAGAAAACGATGGAACAGATCAGGAGACAGAATTGTGGCGCACCTTTATATAACGTGTGCTGCGCAAGCTTGGCACGGATCATACTCAGCTGTTGTCTTGTGCATTAATCAATGACGTATGTGCTCCTCATCTTGTGTAATGACAACATCAGCTGGTTAATTTTGGTTGTTGCCATCGTGTTAGTCAACCATAACCATCTCATCAACTTGACCTTTAACAACTTTTCGACCGCTTTCATCTCTTCTTCGTACCAATGAGACACACGCACACACATCCTCTTCTTCTGCATTACCTACAAACCTACCTTTGTGAACACTTTCTGATCCAATTCTCGGGCTGGGAGCAGCTTCAATTGTTACTTTGACGATGGTGTAAAGCATTGATCCCATCGTATCCAGGTAATATCATATCAAGCTGATAATATGCGTAGCCATGGAGACCTGTCGGATGGTGTCGTGATCTATACTTTGCTGCAACAAGGTAGGTGTAGAGCCATTGGTTGATAATCCCATGAGTCACATGCACTTGGCTCGTGCAGGCCATCCATGACAGCTTGACAGAGTCCACAGCTACTAATCATTGTGCTACTGCATGCTAGTATCCTCACTGATTGATGCTATAAGACGCACAGAGCTATAAATGTACATACAAGCACCATGACCCGTACATCGTTAGCAACCAACAAGGTACCTAAAGCTCCATGTTTATAGAATGCAATTTCCTTCGACATAATAAAAGTGCATCATGTATATTACTTTCCAGCGGATAACGGTATATCTCTTACTACATCATCAAAATCAATAAAAAGGCTCATGGATGATAGATTTTGTCTAGAATGGTTTAAGTATGAAACAGATGAACAATGTAATCAATTTGAGAAAGGAGCTGTGGAGTACTATTGGGTATTTCTCACGGCTGACAGGGCGGAGTGATAATCCAAAGCATCTTCATCCCTGGCTTTTTCTATCTTTCCGGTCAAAAAATAATTCTTCTTCCCCCAAATCGCCGTTTGGCTCATTTGTTGTTGTCAATGTCTGCTTACCGATCGCTCTTGTCATCGTCAGCTCGTGTGCGTCTGACTCCTCGTGTTGCACAACACACTATGCCAGTGCGTCACTACAGCTCGCCACTCAAGGTCTTTATGGATACGATTCGAGATCAAATGAAGAAAAACAAGGACCTGCAAGAAGGTGTCAAGTCATTGCAAGACGAATCCGGTAAATTGGCCGAGAGCGATGCATTGAGAAAGGCAAAGGAAATGTATGAGAAGGCAAAGGTAAGAGGAAGTAAAAAGAACAAGAGAATGTGTATATGGATATTAACGACAACCATCATTAGGCCCAACAAAGTGAACAAAACGTGCGTCTTCGTGAAGCTTCTGAAAAGATCTCGCAAGCTGCAGGCAAAGTGGGAGAATCCGTGAACAAGCGTTTCAAGGAAGCTAGCGAGACTGAATTTGCAAAGGAGACCTCTGAGCGACTCAAGAAGGCAGCTGATAACATCAACAAGTCCACCGAGCCCCTTCGTAAGAATGAATACGTTGGCAAGATTGGTGATTCTTTCAAGACCGTTGTCAAGGATGAGAGTGGTCGATACACTGGTTTTGTGGATAAGGAGGCTCGTCGCAAGATGCGTGAGGAAGCTCAAAAGGCTGATGCTAGCAACCCTGCCAAGCGCACCGTTGCCGAGGATCCTAATGCTGGTGCATCGATTGTCATTCACAAGGACTCAAAGTGGAAGGAAAGCTGGAACAAGTTTAAGGAAGAGAACCCTGTCATGCAAGGTACGGCATCTTTTTACTATTTGATGGGCCCATCAATCTAACCTTTTCACTATCTAGGTATCTTCCGTGCTCGACGAAACTATGAGGAATCGGATAATCTTTTCGTCTCTTATACCCGTGCATTCACTGATCGCGTCTCGGAAACTTTTGGTATGTGTATTTTGGGTACAACAACAACGAAAAAGTCAACCTAATCGACATGTTTTATTACACAGGCTCCATCTTTGAGGAATCTGAACAAGCTCAAACTGTGCGTGCTCTCCAGATGATTGATCCCTCGTTCAACATGGACAAGTTTTTGCGTGAGGCCCGTACATACATCATCCCCGAAGTAATGGAAGCTTACCTCAAGGGTGACGTTGAATCTCTCAAGATGTGGTGTTCTGAAGCTGTAAGAATGAATGATTAGGGTGATGATGGCATACAAGGTACTAACATGTGTATAGACTTATAATGTTTTGACCGCTGTGATCCAAGCTCAGGTACAACAAGGATTGATCAGTGATTGCCGCATCCAAGATTTGCGTGATGTTGATGTAAGCATGGAAGGGAGATGGGGGATGGGTTACCAAATTGGGATATTAACGATGGGGGGTTTATAGCTCGTGGCTGCCAAGATTCTTGAAAATGACATTCCCGTGCTTGTGATGTCTTTCCGTACGCAAGAGATTATGCTCTTCCGCAATGCTAGGACGCATGAGATTGCATATGGTCAAGAGGATCGTATTGAACAAGTCACCTATGCATGTGTAATTACAAGGGAGCCTGAGGATTTGCAAAACCCCATCACCGGTGGTTGGAGAATAATAGACATGGCCAAGCACGACTCAAGACCCACATGGTAAACCAACCCTTTCATACATACGCACTCTCTACCCATCAACAACAACAACCCCCTTTTCCCCAGTCATTGTCGAATGTAATCTAGTACTATAGACTGTATAGAATCGCACATATACACCACCTCTCTCTCTCTCTTTGTCTCTCTTTGTTCAATATATAAAAAAGAAAACGAGTTTTTGCATGTTGAATTATTAGATCTATTTACTGTTGTCGGGTATCTTGGTAACCATTCACCCAACTTCCTCTTTTGTCTCGTTTCGAACGGAGCTAAAAGAGCACGCCTGTTCCTCTGGTGGTGTTCCCTTCTTGCAACTGCAACATCTTATGCCATCCGTCACACTACCCACAGCCCAGGACAAGAACATTGTTCGGAAAGCGTTGCCAACTTCAGTAATTGTCGTCATGGTCTCATGTCGCAACACCCTTTTTTCTCACATACATGGCTTTAGAAAATTCTGACGGCAGCTGTGGCTCGTCTTTATGTTGCCTCGCCAGATCCGAGCAGATGGTCGTATAGCAATCTATGGGGTGCTGCTGCATTCTGCAAGGACCGATCCAAAAACGACTCTTTTTTTATTCGACTTATTGATATCGAGGTACATTGACACGAGACGAGTAAACGATATGGGAGAGGGAGAATTTATTATGCTTGGCAACACTAACACATATGGACATTGTCTCATATATAGAATCACAAAGGCGTCATGTGGGAACAAGAGTTGTTTGAAGGATTTGAATATATGAATGACAAGCCATTCTTCCATACCTTTGAGACTGATGTAAGTTGAATTGGGGATCTCGGGCAATACTCGGTTATTCGCTATACTCATCATCACGTTGTTCAATAATAGGATTGTCTTGCTGGATTATTATTTGTGGATGAAGGAGAAGCTGAGACGTTTTACAAAAAGGTGATGCATCGAGATTCAATAAAGGTGGATGGTAAGTACAAATGACATGTATAGCTGGGGTGGGGAGGGAGGAAACAACCCTTGCTGATACAATGAATGATACTAGGTGACCAAGGAAAAGGTGGATTCATTAAGAAAATGGGACATCGAAAGTCTCGAGGTATTGACAAGAATCAAATCAGCGTTCCATCAGAGTTTAGGTTCGTCAAGTGACAAAAGGAGAACATTTTGGGATTGTGGCGTGAATAGGGCTAACAAGATGTTATTATTATACAGGCATGTTGGCCATATTGGATATACTCCCGAGAAAGGATTCAGCATTGAGAACAATGATCCCGAATGGAATGGTGTATTTGAACAGTTACGCTCTCTTGGTATCACTGCAGATGAAATCAATCAAAACCAGGATTTCATTCACGAGTTTTTGCAGCAACATAAAGGATCAGCCCCTACCAAACGCACAACAGGAACTCCACCTCCACCTCCACCTCCGAGTCGTGGACGTACTGCTTCAACAAAGAAGACTCCACCACCACCTCCTCCTCCACCTTCAAGTAAGTTACATCATCACTCTATATTGAATTTTACTCATTGTTCTATCTTAGGTCGTCGTGCACCTCCACCACCTCCACCTCCAAGACGTACTGCTAATGGTCGTAATCCACCTCCACCACCATCAAGAAGTCCAATTCCACCACCACCGCCACCAGTTGCACGTCCTTCAATTCCTGCAAATCCACCAGCTCCTCCTCAATTACCATCACGTGGTACAAGACAAATGCATCCATCTTCTCGACCCAATGTACCACCACCACCTCCACCTCCTCAACCTGCAATGGGTGCAGGTGCTCCACCACCTCCGCCACCTCCACCTCCTCCACCAATGGGCAATGCTGGAGCTCCACCACCGCCACCACCTCCTCCACCTCCTCCAATGGGTGGTGGTGATACTTCAGCTCCACCACCTCCCCCAGCCAATGTTCCACCAAGTAGTGATGGTCGTTCAAGTCTTATGGCATCCATTCGAGCAACAGGTGGTTTCTCATCTCTCAAAAAAGGAGGTACATTACGTTCTGTTCCAGCTGATTCTTCACCATCCTCATCACCTGGTAGTGGTGCAAGAACTGCAGCAGCTGTGGGTGCTGGTGCTGCTGTTGGTGCTGGTGCTGCTGCAGCTGCAGGAAGTGGTGATTTGGCATCAAGTTTGGCAGCTGTACTTCAACAACGCAAAACGGCTATGCAAAGTGATGACGAGTCTGATGAAGATGATGATGAATGGGAATAAATTAGATTGCATCTTATCCAACAATAATCACACGACTACTACTGCTATGGCATGCTTGTTTTTGGCTTGAAAGATGTTGTGTGATGAGCATAGCAACTGCTCCTTTCATCGAGATCGGTTATGTTTAACGTGAAGGCCACTTAAAAAAAGACCATTGAGTATCACTGGGAATGGGTTCATACATAGGACTTTTTGAGGCATACATGACATAAAAATCTCAGCCGTCGCTTTTTCCTGCAGACACCAACCCACTCTTTCCCACTCTATACATCATGTTGCGATTCAAAAAGCACGACAAGGGCAAGTGAGCAAGAGCCTCTTTTATTCAAATGGCAATGTGAAAAGTCTAACATGGGTATCAATAGCTGACAAGGATAGTGTTGAGAGCAAGCATCGCGACAAGGACGATCGTGATGACAGCCATCGATCCCGCCATCGTCACCGTTCTCGTTCAAGATCACCTCGTCGTCATCGATCACGGTCTCCAAGACGACGTTCTCGATCACCAAGAAGACACCGTCGTGATGATAGGAGTCGCTCTAGATCACCTAAACGCCGTCGATCCCCCAAGCCTGCTAGCAGCAGCAGCAGCAAAGATAAAGACAAGGTAAGCATTCTTTCTCTTTCAACCATATACAATGAGGGACTTGGATGGTTTATTGATGCAAATGATATTTAGCCCAAGAAAGTTGCCAAGCCTACACCCCAATACAATCTCATCGAAGTGGAAGTCAATGATCGACTGGGCAAAAAGGCGCGTGTCAAATGCAGCCCCAAAGATACTGTGGGTGATTTCAAGAAGCTTGTCGCAGCGCAGATTGGTACGGATCCCGCAAAGATTATTCTCAAAAAGTGGTACAAGGAGTACAAGGACCATATCACTTTGGATGATTGTAAGTGTTGGTTGCCATGGGGATACACGCAACGCAGTTAACTCATTCCATTTTTATTAGACGAGATCCATAATGGCATGAATTTGGAATTGTATTATCGTTAAATACACACATTGATATATATTCTCAAATGGGGTTATTGGGTCTTTGCCTTGATGTTGGGTTTGGGAACATGAAGTTTAGAGTGAATGTAAGCGCCTAAGTGTGTGATCATGAGTTCGTCAGTCTTTGTTATGTTGTTGTGCGTGAGTCAATCAATGCTTTACCTGCTTCATACATGCCGGCACAAAGGTTACCACAGCACATGAAAAAGGTCATGCGTCCGACGGTAGAGAATTCAGCAAGGAATGGGTATACCCAAAAGCCATTGCGAGTAAAGCAATAAGTGGACCAGCCAAGGTAAATGACAGTGAATACATAGATGGTGAGCACATGGGCCTTGGATCGTTTAAACTCGGCATCGAACACCAAAAAGTCGATCCATAACAACACAGCTGGCCAAAAATGCAACGCCATATCCAATGTCAATGGTAACTCAAAAGGCATCTCTTGGTCTGCAAGTAGGTCACGGCTGTAGAGTACCATGGGCCAATACAACAATGTGATTAAACCTTCCATCTATCATAACAACACAATGAGCCATCTAACTTTTGTGTGCCTTTCAATTCGACTTACAGGTGTAGCCACATAGGCAATGTGACGATAGAACCCTGAATAATGTGTTGTTCCCCTTTTAGCATCATCACCCTACTGCTGCATGCATGCATAATTACCTTCCAGGGCACCAGGAACAGCAAAACGCAAGATTTTCAATGCAAACGCCAGCGTTGCCACGCTCAGACCAATCATGGTAAGGAACTGTATCCATGTCAACGCGATGAACAAATCGTCCTTGTTGCCATTTGGCTTCATTGTGCTTACTTGGAAGATGCCACCAAACCCAATTTCGGGTGGGAAGACGCCAACAACCGAGAAACCATAGCAATTGGAAATGAAGCCAACGATATTAAGAGCAAGACGTGCCCACGGCTTGTCTACAATAGCCATATTGTACAAAAAGAATGAAACAAGGAAAAAAGGAGCAAGTTCGCACACCCAAAACCGATATGGATTTCGGCCCGATTCATCCGTGTGTGTGTGTGTGTGCAACATTTTGGTATTCATCACTTTTAGGTTGTCTAAATAATTTTGTAGTGTATTCATATATGAGTAAAAAAGAGAAAGGGATTAACAATACATTGTATAGATATACATAGATGCGGGGAGATGTTTGTATATGTTTGTTTCAATGGAGGTGGATATACTTGTTGTTAGCGACCTGTAGCAGATGTATCGGCCACCATCTTGTCAAGCTCTGTCAATAGTGTGTGACCAATGCTTCGGAACACTTTGGCATAAGGTGATTCATCACCCTCTCTAATTTTGACACCCAAGCGACCACCAGCCAAACGTGCTTGATAGACCATGATCGTGAATCGCAATGTCTTTTCTCCCTTTAATCCTGCAGCTGTTGGATCCTCAAGAATATCTTCATCCTTTAACAACTTTGTCCAATCAGGATAATCGCATTCACACGTTAATGCAAATGGATCAGAGGGTACGGGCTGTGTGCGCACATTTCTCAACCATAATAAATTGGTAAGATCATCCAAGAGCCGTTGGGGGGTACTGCGATAGAGATGGCGTCGGTTGAAATTGAATAAGCTTCGTGGTTGTTGTTGGGGTGATGATGGTGAGGGTGTCGTATGATGACTGATACCACTGCTACTGCTATGGCTCATAGCATCTACATCTCGATCCGCTGATTCGGACATGCGTCTTCCAGGTGCTGAAGTCGTTGTAGCTGATTTACTCATGGTAGGTGTTGTTGTGCTACTGCTACCACCATCCAATGAGGGTCGAGTATAACGTGATCCTCGGCTAATGGATAATCGACGCCATGATGACCTTGGCTTATCACTGTTATCCTTTGGATCCACTTTGAGAAATTGTTGAAAGGTGCTCTTTTTCCCTGTATTGGAAGGTGATGATGACTCTTGTGATTGATGATAAGGCGAAGAAGAAGAAGTAGCAGCTGCAGCAGCAGGGTGGTTATGAGGTGAATTGGTAGGTAAAGGCGGTGGTGATTGAGGATCCTCCATGGATTGTCGATGGATGTTTGTATTGGGAAGCATAGCACCAAGACGACGTACAGCACTTCGACTACGTGCAAGAAGAGTAGATGACATACTGCGTGCACTATTGGAACGTGAAAGCACACTGCCTGATCTTCCAATGCCAACAGAGCTTGCATTGTTGGTGGTGTTATCAAGTCGAGAAGTACTTGGAGCACGTTCAGTCTTACGACGCACAAGACCTGGTTCGGCACGTGATGATGGAGTAATAGTGCTGTTGGAACGTCGAAGCGTTGGTACAGATTGAGTGGCTGTATTGGCAGTTTGTTGACCACGCTTGAGATGACGTTGACGCTTTTCATATTCACGTTTCTCCTTGCAAAGATAATACACCGACACCAATGGATCATACATGGCTGGCAACGACAATGGATCATCTTGTATCACTGAGGATCTCTTTGTACGAATATTGAGTCGCCAACGTGATCGTGACAATTGATCTTGATTCATCAATTGTTGCTGATAGTTGTGATCGATTTGTGCAGCGGCTTGTCGATAAGCGGGATCGTTGATCTTTTTCTCGAGCTTTGCATAGATCTCATGCTCTTCCCCAAATCCAAATCCACGCATTCCTTGAACAATATCCATATCAATCGAATCAATGGGTTGTCGATGTGGAAGATGGTTCACAATAGGTTCATCATATCCTCGCGTCATCCATGGGTGCGTCAATATTTGATTGAGCGTTGCACGTCGTTTAGGATCCACCACCAAGATACGAGTCAACAAATCAACACAATCTATTCACGTGATGTTAATGACACTTTTCCCCAACAATCCCATTTTTTCCCTTTTCTTACCTCTGCTTAAATGTTCTGGATAGCCGTCCACTTGACCAGCCTTGATCTTTGCATGAAGAGCAGGGAGACTTGTATCATCAAAGGGGACTCGACCACATACCAAGACATAGAGAACCACACCAAAGCTCCAAACATCGACTTCAGGGCCGGTATAAGGACGAGCGCGAAGTAATTCGGGAGCGGCGAAATAGAGGGAGCCACAAAAAGTGCTGAGGAGGCGTGATGGAGAATAAATGTTGGATAAGCCAAAGTCAATGATCTTGACATCTTCGTTCCGGGTCAACATGATGTTTTCTATTTTGAGATCTATCCAAAAGTGGCAAATCCGAACATGGATGAGATGTAAATCCTCCATTTACATGAAACCCAACTTACCCCGATGTACAATGGAATTGCGGTGGCAATAATCTAATTGAATTGGGATGGGATGTAGATCGCCCATCATCATGAGTAAATAAATCATTAAATCCTCCTCCTCCTTCCTTGTACTTACCAAGGGCACTGGCAATTTGTCTTGCAAACTTGCGGGCTTGTTTCTCACGCAATTTGCCATGATTGATAATGTAATCCAAGAGTTGACCACCATCCACATACTCCAAAAACATGTAATAATAGTCGCCTTCATTGATCCATTCTCTGAGTTGACAAATGTTGGGATGTCGTAGGAGTTGCATCAAGGCCATCTCACGTATGGTCCGCTGTTCACGCTCTTGTGGTGTATCCTTGGGATCTTTGGCTTTACTTGTATCGACATCGGCTAAAGCGGCTAGATTGATCTTGGGCATCACCTTGACTGCATACTGGACATATGGATCATCATCAATTGGGAGTTGTACGCATAATAATAACAATGAAAGTGTGCGTACCTGTTGTCTGTCGCTATCCGTCAAGCAAGTTGCAAGCTTCACTTTGCCCATACTACCAGCCCCAATGGTCTTTCGATTGATTACATAGTTGCCAATGCGAATGACTTTGCGTCTTTCAGATGGGCGTCTCGATGCCGAAGTGCTGTCTTGGTTCTGCTGCTGCTTTCGTTTTTCTAATGCACTTGTTTGACTGCGTGTGCTGCTATGGCGTTGTAATGAAGCGTCATTGGAGGGTTCAAGGGTGTTTGACCTGACAGATGGGGTTCGACGAGGCAAGATCTCGGGGTCTCGTGTGGCTGTTGTGGTAGGTGCGTTACCACTAGCTGCAATAGGCGGGGCAAGTGTAGCGGCGGTCATGGCAACCGAAAGGAAAGGAAAGGGAGAATAAGGGGGTAAAAGAGAAGGGGGGAATAGAGAGAGAGAAAGAGAAAGAGGTGTGTGTGATATGAAAGACTCTTTTTTACTTTCTTTCTCTCACTTTAACAAAGACCCCTCTCGCCTCTCTCAATGATTCTCTCTCAATGGCATGTGTGTCACGCTTGTGTTACTGGAATGCATCAGCCTTCATGTAAGAAAATGGTAGCCCACCTTGCTGTATCTTGTCATTTACTGTGGTACACACTCTACTCCTCTATTTATGCTACACGTTCCTTGTTTATTGACGCTATTTGCTACTTGTTAATGGCTAAGGTGGTAGTAATGGATGATGGTACAGGAGACGAGGACACGGGTGAAGGGGGTGGCTGCTGTTGTCGTAATTTCATTATTGCCAAACGCTCTATGGCTTCCTGTTCGTTACGCACCGCATTATTCATATACTTGTAATGCTCGAGATAGCGTTGAATAAATGCACATGTTGGGATCACAAGCTTGTTGTTCTCCTCTGCCCATTGAAAGGCTCGTCGTGCCAATAGATCACCCAACCCCAATTGTCGATAACTTTCAGGGATTTCCTAAAATCATGACCAGAATCAGGCTTCGATTCAAAGATCCATCATCATCATCATTATGATTACTTACCGTATGATAAAAATCGACTAATAAATGCAATCGGGTTGGAAGATAGCATAATGCAGCTAATTGACACTGATGAGTAACAAGCACTCCTACTACTATTCTCCGCCCGCCGCCCTCTTATTGACATTACCAATTCGACCTTGAGAATCCAACTTTATCTTGAACATGCATGCATTGGTATCATGAATAATATCGCTGGATCGAAAACGAACATTGGATGTGGTGTTGCTGGATGCGATAATCCTTGTCTTTTGAGGATGCTTGATGGGGCTATCTTCGGGGTTGATATTACGCTTTCGTCCAGTGCTTGATGATGAAGAGCTGTCAATTGAATGCTGTGGATGATTTGATTTCAACCGTTGACTCAGTGTGGATTGGGCATAGCGTGGTAAACGTTGACTTGCTGCTGCTGTTGTTGTTGAAGGAGGTGTAGGAAGAGGAGGTACCATAGTGTGTGCAATGGAGTCAATGGACGAACAAAGATGCCGATCTGGGATTCTTCTCAAAGTACGATCAACGGCGAATGAAGCCGAGCAAGAGAGTTTTCTTCTCTTTGGGCCTAGTGGCCTGGAATAGCGATCAGTGTGAATGGTCAAACCGGGGTATGGAAAGAGGAAGAGAAGGGTAATACGTATGGCGTAATTTTCGATGAGAAAGGGAGTGGAAAAAGAGAGAAAAAGAGAGAGAGAGAGAGAGTAAGAGTGAGAAGGGGGAAAAGACAAGATAAAGGGATTGGGTGACTAAAGGGGTGTGTGAGTGTGTGTGTTATTCAATCAACAAACACCACCACCACAAGCTTGACGACATGGTTCTCAACATGTGCTTGGTCTGCATAAAAATCAAGCTTGGTGGTCTTTGACTACCTCTTGTGATACCAACAATGATATATCAATATTGACATACCCGCATCAGCGACATCCATTATTCCTGCATTGTATTGTAACACCCCCACTTGTGATGAACAATGGACACCCGCCGCTCTCAAGCCCGACATTAGCAAATCAGATCTTGAGCTGCAGCTGCCTCGGGAGAAAAAAGCCCATGCATTTAGTTTCATGATTTTCTTTTTTTCTTTTTTCTTCTTCTTTAACCATATCTCATTCTTCTTCTCATGTCCAACTCGGAACAAAACAACTCTTGGGCTGATATTGCTGCTCATCACAAAGACAAAGGAGGAAACAAGCAACGGGCTACTGATCCATCATCATCAGCTGCTTCCACTACGACGAACCCTGAGCAACGTGTTCCATCCATCGATGACGCGCCTGGTGGTAGTAGTAATAACTTTCCTCTTCCTCAAGAAACCGTAAAGGATAAATCACCTTCTTCCTCGGGTGTCAGTGATCTCTTGAACCAATCTGGCGAGTTGATAGATGAGGAAGAAGCAAACAATACCCTGTCTCCCGAAAGATCTTATGCTTTTGTCAGTGATTTTCCATCACCCCAGGAAGCTGCTCGTCGTGAAAAAGCAAAGAGTCCAACACCCTCCCATACTTCATCCACAGGCGTAGGTGATTTACTTAACAACAACAACAACAATGAGCATAAAGGTACATGTGATGACACATTATACATAAAAACGACACACATTCATTGACACGTGTATATAAGCAAACAAAGAGGACACCACAATCCCACCTCATCCTGCTCGCTCTTTTGCCAATGTTGCTGGTAACAAGGATTTTCCCAATATGCCGGCTCCAGAGGAAAACACCTTGTCGTCTTCCACTGATAGTTTATCCGATCTTCCTGATGTAAAGGAAATGCTATCATCGCCATCAGGTAAAAGAAGAAGGAACATTGGGAAAATGATGGTTGTTTACACGTTTATTATGTAGTCAAAGTGCCACCACCACCAGCATCACAAAGCTTTGCAAAGATGGCTGCTAAACCAGCACCTGTTGAAGAAAAGCCTAGTGAGCGTCTTGAAGCTATTGAGCAACAGAATCGACAACAACGACAACAACAAAAAGATGCTTTACCACAGCATACGCATGACGACTTTCCTACCTTGCAACAAGCCAACCAGATGGCTGAGAACAATGTGGATCATAATCAGCCCAAGGAGCGTGCTATGTTTACAGAGATTTCGAAGCTCTCCGAAGCTGTGGATGCAGCTGCTGCCGATAGGCCTCAAGAAGAAGGTAAGGTGGTGGTGGCTCGAGCTTTTCTTTCTCTGATGTCATGATGTTGACATGCGTGCGACATGATGTCATTTTACTAAATCCGACAATCAATTCCCCGCCATAGATACAGCAACGGCTCCAAATGATGTCAAGGCCTCCTTTGCCAGTGTCACTGGTAGCAACCTTGACGTGGCACCCCCTTCTGCATCACCTCAACCTGTACCACAACATCCTGTGTTTGATGAAGAAACTGTCATGCTTGAAAATACGCGACGTGAGATTCGTCGATGGCGTCAAAAGGAACCTGGTGAAGGTAAGAGGGATCATTTTGGCGCACACTCCTACCCTATGCTAACATGGATTTATCTATAAAAGAAATCACACCTGAAATGAAACCAATGGAAGAACAACGTGAAGAAAGGGTCAAGGAACGTGAAGCAGAAACGGTGGGACCTGCTGAACTCGAACAACGTGTACAATCCTTTGACAGGTCGAAACGAGGCAAGATTACGATTTGGGATACGTTCAGAGGTAAACAAAGACATGCTCCATTGAGGGGGGTTTATTATTAGTATACTCATCCATGATACATAGCATTGCGTGGTTTGGGATATTCGTGCTTGACAGCCCTCCCTGCTACATTCCTACTTCATTTACGTCTATCACCACTCACATCGCCTTATCGGTTCCCATTCTTTTATCGATCCATTAGCGATCTTCTCACGCTTCCCATTTATGTGAATCGTGTTCCTGCAGCATTGACTATCGGTAGTCCTCTTCTTGGTGGTCAACGTTCACATGAACTCGTTCGCAAGTATGGTAGTGAAACTACAACACAAGGCAAATCCATGCGTGGTCTTGGTTTCTGGGCTGGTATGCGTGGTATTGGTGCATGTGAAAATTTACGATGGTGGCAATTTGCTCCTCGGTAGGTGGTCTCATGGATGATGGATTGAACATAAAGATACTTATACTATCATGGTTGTAGGATCATTCATCGTCTTCAATGGTTCATGATTTACACAATGTTGCAGGATCCACAATCTCATTTGGTGAGTGAAGGCGTCCTTGCAAGTCTTCCCTCCTCTTCCACCTCCTCGGCTTAAAATAGACTGCCCACCCTGCTTCCCATCATCAATCCATTGTACAGACATCATCATTGTTATAAATAGGAAACATCAACAACTAATGTGTATGTGTAATAAAAAGGCCATCTGTTATTTGCATAAAGACTATAGCAACGGGGGGTGTATCTATTTTGCTATGGCAACGGCTGCTTGTTGTAATGCAAATGCTAAAGTGACACCAAAAGAGCAGTAATGTACGCATGTGTGCAACCACCTCTCTTTATCCCAGAAATATCCACAGCGCCAGCTCGCTTCCCTTTTTTCATTGACGCCAACTTCGATTGAACCATTGCCGAGTAATGAAGCTGTCAGCGTCCATCTGGGCTTGCGTTCTCGCTCTCTTCATTGCGGGATGGCGATCTATACAACTCTATCGTTCTTCGACTGCTGTTCTTTCACCCAATGCATTGAAGGATGGGTCGACATTACCGAGCGAAATACACCCTCCTCGTCGTTACAGCAAAGACATTGATGAAGATGATATCATGAAGGATAATACAGAAAAGTTGTTCTATTTTGTTCAGGTACAACAAGGATGTCGATGATGTGTGTATGTCTTTGTACCAACACGCTAGCTGATAATAGATATCAGACCTTCACTTGTCCAAATTTCGATCTCATGGCTACACAAACCACTTTTTGCATTTCCTGCAGTCGATTCTTCCAACAATGAGGTATAGTAAAAGAGCTCATAATGGATCATTGTTATTGACATTGAATAGTCCTGAATTCGTAGTGGTGACAGGTGACTTGACCGATGCAAAGGATGCCAAGGCCATCAAGACGGGCCAATACAAGGAAGAATGGGAGATGTACAAGGAAGCAGTACAACAAGGTTCTTTGGGTATCCCTTGGTACGACATGAAAGGCAACCATGACTCGTTCAATCTCGCATCCCACAATGCATCCACCGATCTATACCGTGACTATGGCAAGAGCGCCAAATTACTTGAGAATGAAGGAATCTACAGCTGGGATATCGTCAAGCCATTTGGAAAGTACCGATTTGTTGTAGCAGATGCCACGTAAGGATCAACCTATATATACATGGAGGCATTGAGCTGATGATGGTGATGGTGATGATGTAGCCCTAAACGTGGACCAGCACGACCACTCAATTTCTTTGGTTATCTAACATCGGCCGCAATGAACAAGTTGGAGGAAGCTATCTTGACCCCAGAACTATACAATCATACCTTTATGGTAAGTGTGTGTTGTTGTATGGCAAGAAATGGATACCAACAATGGATGATTATAGTTCTCTCATTATCCTACAACGACCATGATTTTTGGCGAATCGGCTCGCGGCCACAGTTACAAGGATCTTTCCCATCGTCTCAGTGTTTATTTTTGTGGTCATCTGCATCGACTTGTGGCGGGTAAGGATTTCATTTGTGGACATCACGAGGATCGGTAATAACGACATTTGACAGGTTTGGGGGATGTATTGAAAAGATACAACTATGGCACTGATCATTTGGAGCTTGAATTGGCGGACATGAAAGACCATGGTGCTTTTCGTATTGTGGCGGTGGACCATGACATGATTACCTTTGTCGACGCTGAGCTACCTATTGACCAGATTCAAGATGATGACAAGGTGCTAGAACTACCACCTGATAAACGAGTCCCATGGCCAAAGCCGATCACTACGCCACCTGTGGTCATTATCACCAATCCAAAAGATGCACGCTATTTATTGGCAGACAAAGAACCCTATCACTTGCCCAAAAGGAGCACCCATATTCGCTTCTTGGTGTTTTCCGATGCCGTTCCCCAACGGCTACGTATACGTATCTTGGTCGATGAAAAGCGACATCCATTCCCTGCCAAATTTGTCGGCACCAAGGAACTACCATTATGGGTATCTGAATGGGATCCTAACGACTTTGATGATATGGAATCGCACGTGATCCGAATTGAAGCAGAATATGATGGTACCGGAGAGGCAACGACGATGTTCAGGATGGATTCGATGCGACTTAGTATTGCCGGTGGTTTTGGTGAATGGTTGATTGGAGCCCATATGTCCTATTTGGTAAGCAAGCAGTAAGGGAAACAAAAAAGAAAAGAGTACAATGAACTCACCTTTTCTTTGTCTAGTTGCGCACTCTTTCTCTTTTTGGCATTTTCGTCATGGTGTTGTTATTGTTGGGACCGCCATTATATCGAGGAATATGGAACAAGGACCAAGGACGCATTGCCAGTAGCCTTTTATGCAAGATTCATGAGATTGATCAATATCCCACGTGTGGCCCGTTCGACTTTGTGCAACGTCAAGTGCTACTGTGGCTCTTGCGATTTATGCAACTTGGACATGATCAACCTGCCATTTGGTACACAACCTTTTATTATTTGATGATCCTGCTGATGCTACCATGGTTCCAAGCCGAGTTCATTCCGTCAGGTGCAACCGATGCTGAACGCTATGGCTTATTCTACATTTGGGGCCTCGCTTTTGGCAATGATTGGGTCCCGTTGGCGGATTCTTGGAAGTATGCCTTTACTCAATTGGTCTTTGATTTGGGTGTCTTTCTTTTGCTGTTTGCTTGGCGTGCGACTGAGGCTGTGGACCTTCATTGCCGTGGATCCTACAAAGGACGTCAACAAAAACGCCAATTGAATGAACACGCATGGTTCAAGGGCTTGGAGGTGATTTACTGGTTATGGCGTATGTCCCAACATATCACACTTGGATCATTTTATGGTGGATTGTACCCGACTTTGATCTTGAATGTATGGACTTGGTGGTTACTTTTTGTTGGTGCAATGCTCCTCCAGGGTAAAGGTGGATTATTCTCTAAAAAGCGACAACGTATACCCATTGTTGTACCTGGTTGTGCTGGTTGTAGTAGGGACGCTTCATAGAGATCACACTATTCTTTTTACATTTCCCTCCCCTTTCACCTTCCTAACGCATCCCGAACATTCATGCATGAGAAATAAAATAGAATTCGTCGCATATAGAAAAGCTCCATCATCATCTCCATCATAAAATAAACGATTGTTGATAGCTGATATTCGTCACGTCGTGTGCGTATATATCACAAACAAGACATCCGCAGGTTTATTCGACGAGTTGCATACGATACACAGTTTAGAAAACGAGAGCAGCACCCTTGGTCTTCTTGTCACCACCCAACTCGAAGTGCTTGCAACGCTTGATGGGGAGTTGCATCTTGTACTTGCAGGCTATGAAGAACATTATGCATCAGCCATTTTTTCCTACCCTTATCGATATCTCCCTATGATACATTACCAGTGCATTCAAGACGAAGGACAATCTTCTTGGTAGTCTTTGCCTTCTTGTGGAAAACGGGCTTGGTTTGACCACCATAACCGGATTGCTTACGGTCGTAACGTCTCTTACCCTGGGCGTAGAGCGAAGCCTTACCAGTCTTGTACTGGGTAACCTTGTGGGGAGTGTGCTTTCTGCACTTCTTGCCCTTGCAGAACGTGTTTCTGGTCTTGGGAATGTTAACCTGTCATGGGTGGTTGGAAAATGGCGGATCAGCATGGTGCCTCGTTCATATAAATAGCGTCGTTCGGGCCATCTCCTTCAATCTCTCATCCCATCCATCCATCGATTCATTCATTCATCCATCCATCGATCGTAGTCGTTGATATGAATCTCTCTCTTTCCCATTAGTGTCTTTCTATATCCTTCAACCTACCATGATGAACCGTCAATCAGCAAATGAGGAGGAAGTCTTGGTGGTCTGCCATCCAGTACAATTTTACCCAACCACGCCCGCTCCCCATCCGCTCAACACCAAATCCGGTAATTGGGCGGCGACTGCATATTAGTGTAATAAACTGCCTTTTGGCTCTTCTATTATTGAGTATCAGGAACGGCAATCAATGCACAATTCTCTAAGCTAGTTGATCTATCCACATAATATACAAGCTCTGCTTTGAAACCATGTTCCTCTAGATATCGCACACGCCCAATATCAATCACTCGTTTGCATTGAAAACCAATATCCTCTCGTTCTTGATGATCACGACCTGAGTAATGATTCCTAATAAACGATACCACCATCAATCAATGAACCCTCTTCCCTTAATTCCCTCACTAAAAGCTTACGTGCTTGCATCAGCATCGCCTTCTTCTCCTGCTATGCATGCATGGTCATCACCACCATCTTGCGTAGAGTTTTCACCATTCTTATCAGGTAAACCGCATATAGCCCAACTGCTCATCTTGCATAATCTGGCAAAGTCGATCTTTTCAAATCCGCTTGTTGTCAAGTAGGGGGTGTTGGGATACATTTCATAGCGACAAAGCTGATGGCAACAAAGTGCAATGATAATCCCGGATATAGGTGTCCTATGCATTCAATGAGTACAAGCTATATAGAATTATACAAAAGTCTTCCACTTACTTGTTACCATTGGCTCGTTCTTTTTCGACATAATTCATCAAGCACTTTAGGGTGATATCGGTTGCACTGCCACACAAATGCTTGGAAAAGGCCACCACCGGTTTACGTTGTCCTTTGTCGTCGGATAATGCTTGTACTCGAGACAATTCCAAATCCTTGATATCAATCGTAATCCGTTGCACAGTCGACTTTTTCTCTGAATGGCCCAATAAAGCATTATCCACCTAAATGCTCATGACAACATCTTAGTATCATCATTGCTACTACAACCTTTGAATATCATCTACCTTGTTTCGCACCAGTTTTCGATCCACCAAAACATAGGTCGCTTCACCATTCACCTCACCCAGAGCATTCTTTAGGTAATGAGAAGTCTCACCTTGTTCATGTCAGCATAGGATCATCTCCTTGCATGGAAAACGTCCCTTACCTTTACCAGCACCAAATTCAATAAAACATGCACTCTTGTCATCCAACATGCCACATCGCTCCATATGTCCAAGTAAAGATGACTACATATCTCCTGTGTCAACCTATGTATGGGTTGCATCGAGTCATGTATCATACCTGTTGGTCAAGATGTTTGGTTCGCTTCACTTGCTCTCTAATCCAAACGTGAAGTGTTAAGTGCATGAAGCCTTTTAAACCACCCACGCATGCCAACCTACCTTTTGCTTTCAGCTGTGTCATTTTTCAACACCATCGTTTGAATGGGCGAAGGCAATTCCTGGTGATATGTCTTTTGGGTCTTGTCGATAATGGTATCCAAATCCTCCTTTGCAAGCTCGGATAGCTGAACGCGTACAAGCCAAGGTTGTGGATGCATATTCTTGTGTGAATAAATGGTCTTTTGAAACTCGAGTTCCTCGGTCGATAGTGGAAGGGAGCAATTGACATTGAGTGCGTGATACTGTTCGGGAGCACGTGGACGGGCATTGCATCGGCTCTTCAAATGTTCCTCCAAAACCTTTTCATACACTGTGCTGTAAGGTAGGGGAAAGTGGTCAATGCAAGAGGTATTTTTGTGACCTTTTACGACACGTACTGTGAAGGATCATATGGACAAGGAATACGGCGGTTGGATGTTGAATCAAGGTCATGGCTCAAATGCTCGCCACAATACTTGTTGGTCTTCTTGGCTAGTAGGCTGCAATATTTTCCCTTGTATGGAATCCAAAAGTGACCTATGCGCATTCAATGCTTAGATCCCACCCCAATCGATTGGCCATGCTGCCCTTGATCAAGACTTACATTGACCTGGCTTGTCAGGTGGTGGTGGAATGGGATCGCCTGGTCTTATCTTTTTCTTCTTTGCGACTTTGGATGGCTTGGCATGTGGCTCCTTGGGCATGGCAGATCGTTCTGAAATAAGGTGGCGGGAGGATAAAGAAGTCGGCGGCTGCACAACACACTCTCATCAATTTGACAACTTTTACACGTATAGCCTACCCCATATAATATTGCATGGCGACCATTCCCAGGCAACCCATCTGCTATATAGATACCCACCCCAACACACACAATCAACGAGATTCCCCTTTCAAAACATTCCCACAATGAAAAGATGTACAAACAATGAGCCTCATGCTGTACTACATGGATCTTGGAATCCCCATTTTATTCGATACAATCCATTTAATCATTCTTTTTTGCTAATGCCTCGACAATGGCATTGGCCACTGCAAACGAACTAGCTGGGTTTTGACCGGTCAACAAACGCGTGCCTTGACCAACGACATGTTCACCCCATGGTTCAGCAGCTTTGGAATATTTACCACCATGTTCACGAAGGCGGTCTTCAAGCATGAAAGGCATTTGGCTGCTAAGTTGGACTTGATCCTCTTCTGCATTGCTGAAACCGGTAACGTTGTGACCATCCACAAGATAACGTTCGCCGTTATTGATTTTGACATTGACAAGACCAGCTGGACCATGGCACACGGCACCCACAACACCACCACGTTCGTATACCTTGGCGACAATGTTGGCTGCATCCTTATTATCGGCCAAATCAAACATGGGACCATGACCACCCGGGAAAAAGACGCCCACAAGTTGATCAATATCGGCTGCTGACAAATCGCTTAGCTTTTCAGTGTTCTCCAATGCTGCGGTGATTTGCGCGTTGTTGAGGAACTCTTTGCATGTAGGATCGTCACGGAAAGCTTCTAAAGAGCTTGGGTCCAAAGGAGACTTGCCACCCAAAGGTGTCGCGTATCGGATGTTGTAATGCTTGGATAAGACATGGAGAGGATGAGCGACCTCGGGCAAGTAATAGCCGGTGGTCTTGCCCGTAGTGCCAAGTTGGCTGTGCGAGGTAAGAATGAATAGCAATGTACCCTTGGTTGACATGATGTTGATGATAAAAGTGATATGTATGGAAAGTAAAGAGTTGCTTGGTAACGCGTGTAATGCCCTTAAATACAAAAGCTAAGACATGGAGATTCAAACTTTCAAGGGATAAATAAAATGAATTCGGGTAACCCAACCACCTATCATCATCCACATTACACGAGCCATTTTATCAGATGACGTATGCACACAAAGCATTTACAGACACAGCACCATTAATGGATTAGTAAGCGTATTGTAGTAATGATATGGAACATGGAGGAAAGCCTTTATAGAGATAGCAGAGGGAGAGGGAGAGGGAGGCTACTACTTTTTGATAAGGGAAGTAACACTCACCACAAGGATTGCATTTTCATGCATCATGCAGCAGCCCCGCTACTTTTTGGGTCGACTCAAAATGTCTCGCGTTATTTCAATGCTGTTGAATGGAATAGCTCATGTTGACGTGCGACGATAAGCATCAACACCAATAATGCATTGAATATCTCGCAGGGTATTGGGATATTGACAAGGGTTTTGGTAGTGTGCGTGTGGTGTGGGACAAACCGCTTCTAGTTATGCGTGTGTAAAAAAAAAGTTTGTGGCGGGGGAGCAAAGCTCTGACGGGGGCAAGGTGTAAATCGGGGCAAGGACACTGATTGCATTTGAGTACATCCCTTCCTTCACACTCAAACGTCAAAATGGGTATGTAAAATCAATGCATCCATCACATGCACCCATCCATCATCCATCCATGGCCATAGCTGTGGGATGAGCACATGTGTATCTGTGGGAAAATGTACTAAAACTTTATTATCCTTCTTTGTTTACTTGTTGATGCCTGATTAGTGGTAAGTGTCTATAGATAGCCTGCCTGCCCGGCCCATTCAATGACATGGAAACTCAATTCGCTACTTTTCTTTGAATGAAATAGAACTTTACTGTTGAGGAGATCCGTGGTTTGATGGTAAGTGTCGCATTACAACCCTTGTGGAAGCGCCCCAGCAGGTTTACTCATTCTATCTATAGGACAAAGTTACCAATGTCCGTAACATGTCCGTCATTGCTCACGTCGATCACGGCAAGTCTACTTTGACCGATTCCTTGGTGTCCAAGGCCGGTATTATCTCTGCTGGTCGTGCTGGTGAAACTCGTTTCATGGATACCCGTAAGGATGAACAAGAGCGTGGTATTACCATCAAGTCCACTGCTATCTCCATGTATTTCCCTCTCGCCGACCCCAAGGATGTTGAGGAAATCAAGGGCCAAAAGGTCGATGGTATGTTGCTTGTCTATGTGTGTATAAAGGATGGTATGAGCCATTGATTGACTAATGTATCTCTATGATAGGCCACGAATTCTTGATCAACTTGATTGATTCTCCTGGTCACGTTGATTTCTCTTCTGAAGTCACTGCTGCCCTTCGTGTCACTGATGGTGCTCTTGTCGTCGTCGATTGTATTGAAGGTGTCTGTGTGCAAACTGAAACTGTGTTGCGTCAAGCCCTTGGTGAGCGTATCAAGCCCGTCATCGTCATCAACAAGATCGATCGTGCTTTGCTCGAATTGCAATTGGAGAAGGAAGAACTTTACAACGTATGTATATTATTCATCATCTTGACGATCAATGATGAATGGCTTTATTCATCTTTTATTCTTTCATTTAGGCTTTCTCTCGTACCATTGAATCCGTCAACGTCATCATTGCCACTTACTTTGATGAAGCTCTTGGTGATGTGCAAGTCTATCCTGAGAAGGGTACCGTTGCTTTCGCCTCCGGTCTCCACGGTTGGGGTTTCACTCTTCGTCAATTCGCTGTCCGTTACTCCAAGAAGTTCGGTGTTGACAAGGAAAAGATGATGCAACGTCTTTGGGGTGAGAGCTACTTCAACCCTAAGACCAAGAAGTGGACCAACAAGGGCACTGATGCTGATGGCAAGCAATTGGACCGTGCTTTCAACATGTTCGTTTTGGACCCCATCTACAGAATCTTTGATTCTATCATGAACTTCAAGAAGGACCAAACCGCCACCCTTTTGGAGAAGCTCGAGATCAAGCTTACCAATGAAGAAAAGGATCTTGAAGGCAAGCAACTTCTTAAGGTTGTTATGCGCAAGTTCTTGCCTGCTGGTGATGCTCTTTTGGAAATGATCTGTATCCACTTGCCTTCCCCCGTCACTGCCCAAAAGTACCGTGTTGTCAACTTGTACGAAGGTCCTACTGATGACGAGTGCGCTGTTGGTATCCGTGATTGTGACCCCAACGGTCCTCTTATGATGTACGTCTCCAAGATGGTTCCTACCTCCGATAAGGGTCGTTTCTACGCTTTCGGTCGTGTCTTCTCTGGTACCATCCGTGCTGGTCTTAAGGTCCGTATCCAAGGTCCTAACTACGTCCCTGGTCAAAAGAACGATTTGGCTATCAAGTCCATTCAACGTACCGTTCTTATGATGGGCCGTAACACTGAAGCCATTGATGACTGCCCTGCTGGTAACATTATTGGTCTTGTTGGTGTTGATCAATTCCTGGTCAAGTCTGGTACCATCACCACCTCCGAGTCTGCTCACAACATGAAGGTCATGAAGTTCTCTGTTTCTCCTGTTGTGCAAGTTGCCGTTGATGTCAAGAACGCCAACGATTTGCCCAAGCTTGTTGAAGGTCTTAAGCGTCTTGCCAAGTCCGATCCTTGTGTCTTGACCTACACCTCCGACTCTGGTGAACACATTGTTGCTGGTGCTGGTGAACTTCACTTGGAAATTATCTTGAAGGATCTTGAAGAGGATCACGCTCAAGTCCCTATTCGCACTGGTGACCCCGTTGTCCAATATCGTGAGACCGTCACTGCTGAGTCTTCCATGGATTGTTTGTCCAAGTCTCCCAACAAGCACAACCGTATCTACATGCGTGCTGCACCTTTGGATGATGAGCTTGCTAACGAGATCGAAGCTGGCAAGATTGGTCCTAAGGATGATTTCAAGGCTCGTGCTCGTATCCTTGCTGATAAGTATGAGTGGGATGTTACTGAGGCCCGTAAGATTTGGTGTTTCGGTCCCGATGCCACTGGTCCCAACCTTGTTGTTGATGTCACCAAGGCTGTTCAATACTTGAACGAAATCAAGGATTCTTGTGTTGCTGCTTTCCAATGGGCTACCAAGGAAGGTCCTCTTGCCGAAGAAAACTTGCGTGGTACCCGCTTCAACATTCTTGATGTCACTCTTCACGCTGATGCTATCCATCGTGGTGGTGGTCAAATCATTCCTACCTTCCGCCGTGTTGTGTATGCTTCCATGCTCACTGCTCAACCTGGTATCCAAGAGCCCATGTACCTTGTCGAAATCCAAGTTCCCGAAAGCGCCATTGGTGGTATCTACTCTGTTCTCAACCGTCGCCGTGGTGTTGTCTTCTCTGAGGAACAACGTCCTGGTACTCCTATGATGACCGTCAAGGCTCACATGCCCGTCAACGAATCTTTCGGCTTCACTGCTGATCTTCGTGCTGCCACCGCTGGTCAAGCTTTCCCTCAAGCTGTCTTTGACCACTGGTCTGCTATGAGCGGTGATCCTTTGACCCCTGGTAACAAGGTCTACGACATCATCCGTGCCGTCCGTAAGAGAAAGGGTCTTGTTGAGGACATTCCTGGTCTTGACAAGTACTACGACAAGTTGTAATAGAGCTTTCCTGTATGTAAATAGAAGTATAAAAAAACCACAAACGCACACAATGCAATGCCAGCAATATATAAAAAAGTATCATCTTTTTGTTTCAACTTGTGTAAAAAGAAACATCTATATCGTTTTCTACAATATGTGTATATAATTGTTGATCCTCTCCTTTTGATTTTGCGAAATGCATTCAGCGATCCATACGATATTCCTAATCTCTTGCTCTCTCAGCTTGACGTATGCATAAAAGATGCCGTAATTGAATTGCTGTTGAAATGCCAATCGATTCAAGAAAACTTCATGCTCGAAAAACTTGTCTTCCACGGTCTTGTCACCAGTTGCAGTATCAAAGAAATCACGATATTCCTACCCCATCCATCAATCAATCCATAGTCCATGCATTGCACCTGTATCCTCCTTATCTCATACCTGGAATACTTCACATGCTGCTTTTACTTGCTCATATTCATCCGCTGCTGCCAATCGTGCATTGCCTTCTGGATAAAGTCGACCAATGGTGGGAAACAGATTCCTGCGTTCATGTTTTGGTAATTCGGTGCCAAATGAATTGATGGTAATATTGATGGAGCGTCGATCCGCTTCAAACTAGGGGATTGCGTATGAGTGAGTGAATCATTATCCTCATCCTCCTCCCCTTCTTTGTGTTTTTCATTTACCTGCAGGATGTCTCCCATCACTTCAGCTGTTGCTCCTCCCAATTCCTGACAATAATCATAAAAGTCTTCCAAGTAGGCCTTGTATAAAGTGTTGCGAATGATTTCAATGTTGAGTTCATCCAAATCTTGAGCACTGAGACAGTTGGCAACATAGGGCGCAAGAGGCGTTTCCACCAACACGGTATTGTATAATTCAGCGACCGTTGTTGCCACACATAGTGCCGGCATTGCATCAAATCGACCCAAAGGATGGCATCGGGCTAATAATTCTTGCGTATTGCGTTCGTGCAGCGTACCGGTAATGAGCAAGATCACGTTATCAATCATGTACTGATATCTATTAACCCATCCCACCCCTGAATATTAGCCACATCACACATTCAAACCTTCTTCCAACATGTGTCTTCATACTTGCGTAATATAGTCTAAAAACTTGGAGAGTGGTGCTACTGCATTGTCACGAATGTAGTTGAATTCATCCACCAGCCGATCCGTCAAGCGATCCGCAAACGTCGATGTCGCGATAGGTGAAGGCTCATTTTGTAATAGGTTGCCGTAATCTGTAGCGCCAAGTTGCAAACGTAGATCTTTTACGTGGGAAGGAGTGTGTGTTAAAAGAAAGAGTGGGAAAATAGAACAAAGAAAAGGGATAAAAAAGAACACTCACCCTCCAGTGTCTCACATTGAGTAAGATTCATGTATTGGGTTGTCGTCAAGATACCGGAAAAGAATCCACGCAACACGCCATCAATGTATCCGTTGTTCTCGTTATAGAATAACATGAAAGAAAAGAAGAACGAATAATGCAGCTAGAACACCACTTGAATCTCAGGAGATTAAGGTAACACAAAATGAAATGCAGCCAGCAGCTCTTGTTTATCGTGGTTGAAAGAATAAATTCCTTTTTGATGGTCCTTGTTCTACTTTGGGTCTTTTCACTGATCCTACTACATTCGGTTGACTAGTAGCCCTCTCTTCTAATTGTAAATCTAATGCAAAATGATAATCCGTATGCTCATCCACCTCATCAATGGGAATTGATTTGAAACACTTGTCGCACTTCCAATATTGGCCATTGTCCTCATTCATGTCTTGATGGCTCCTTTTACAAAAGTGATCCAAAGGTCCTGATTTTCTCTTGTTGGGTGTGGATGACGATGATGATGATGATGATGATGATGGCGATGATGACGGCTGTTTTTTGCTGTAAAACTCCAAAATGCTTCCTTTCTTAATGGCCGCTTCATTGGAGAGTGAGGATGATGACGATGATGATGGTGGAGGTGTCTCTAATCGTGGTGATGATGGTGTTGTCAATTCAACTTTTGGGGTATTTGATGGTGGTAGTGGTGATGAATGTGCGTTTTTGCTGGATGACGATGATGATGATTCTCCATTCTGAATAAAGAACTGGGAAATGTCGCAATGCTTTCCTGCTTCATCCGCCACAAGCCCAGTTGCTTGCAATGCAAAGCCGATGCATGGATACAATCCTTCAATCGATGATAGTGCTTCGGTCACTTTTTGCAATAGCCTCTCTATTGTCATGTTTTAGCCCATATGTTACAATAGGAATGATGTTGGAATACGAACCTGGATTGCGGAAATTTGCTCGTGAATACATTGGTAACGACTTGGTTCGGTAGATTGTGTCATGCGTGGCTCGAAAGTGTATCTAGCAAAGAAGTCAATACGGTGATGGTACATGGCATGGCCTTGATTCACTTACTGTCAATGTCTTGGGCCACAACGAGAAATCCTCCAAATTTGTCATGATGCGGTTGTGAAGCTCTGCGCTCATTATCCCAATCCAATTTTGCATTTGCTTTGCATCCTTCACTGGCTTTACAAACGACTTGGCTGCCATCAATGACTTGGGTGCCTTCGTAGGCAAAACTATGATGGTATACACTCTTTAGCATCGAACATTTGCTTCCCTTCCAAGAGCACGTCTTACCTTCTTCATCATCTTCTCCTCGTACAATATTGTAAATCCATGTCCCTGTCGACTCTCCAAATTTCCGCCGAAGATCCTCAAGGCTAAATTGCCTATACGATAACGGTAACGGTTATGAACCAAATCCAAGTACCTCTTTAACGCCCACATACCATACATCACCAGCCGTACTTATACCAAGATCAGCCTCCACTTCATTGCCAAGCTTGCCACCCAAATTGCGTATATTCATGAAGGGCATGTCGTGCATGAAATCTTGTACTCCACATGTACGCACCACCGTCTACACAACATACAACATTAGCACGTGATTCGCTCATCGTTCTTCATCACTGATTTACCTGGTTATTAGGCTTGTTTTGGCTTGATCCTAACTTTGCAACTACCTTGTTGTGTGCAATGCCTATAGTAAAGTATTAGCCTATCGTATAAGGCCCATAGAAAAAATACATATTACCTGCTGAGCAAGTATAATGAAGCTCATCATACACCTCTTGACGAATTTCTTTTGCAATCCTTGCACCCACGGCTAGCTGTAGATCCTTCCATGTGGTTGTGGTCTCTTCTTTCCCAATGGGCACACCAAGTTCATCCCAATCGATATCCACGCCGCATACTTCATCATCGATCTTATCCGAAAGATGGGGTACATATTCATCGATGATCTTTTTGTTGACGGTATCAGTCAAATCAAGGAATCCTTCATCCAATCCTATCCTCTGAATTGTCTTGCAGTACTTGCGGAAGATCTTGAATATATTCTTGGATGCCGCACGATAAGGATCAAGGGAGACTTTATGAGTGGAGCGACTTGGTGATGGATAATACTGGGGCTCGATATCTCCAGGGCCATACGTTGCCACGTGAAGGAACTTGATATCTATCACAAACACAGTAAGAGAACCATCGCTTTGAGGATACCATGACTTACCAGGACATATCTTTAGCGCTTCAGGAAGAGATGTACGTTTCTTGACACCTGCTCGTCGTGCTGGGTAATTCACTACACCACCAAAAAAATACATTCATTACACACACGTCTATGTACATTATCACCACTCATACCTGCTATAAGAAGATCCCATTGTCTCACTGCAGCCGGCTGCTCTGGTGGTATGCCGAGTCGTGTCATTTCTGTATTGGATCGGTCATTAGCGACGTGTTGCTCCCTTGGTTACAAAACTACTACTTGCCCACTTGACAGTAAAAGCAATCTATGAAACGGCAATGGTGAGTACAACATTGGAATTGCCTTTCTCCATGAGTACGCCATAACACTCACCCAAGTCGATATGCACAATGCATCGTGATCCTTTGAGACTGGTTGGCAGATCCGACATTTGGAAGAGGAGATAATGCGCAGCCAAATATCGGGAAGGCGAGTCGTGGTACAAAACTCAGTGTGGCGCGCTCATGCTTGTGCGTATGGCATCAATGCAGGTTGGCTTTTACACAGGCACAGATATCGAAGCAAGTGAAAGAAGGAATCGTAGATGTACATTTACTTATTGAACAATAGACACGGCTTCATTATCCAAAAAGGCTATCTTTGTGTTCAAGAAGAATGAGTATCCATAACCATAATAAAGGCTGTCCATTGTTGTCAACCAGCACGAGTATCTTCTTTTCTTTGTCCCTTTGGCTTTGGCTTTCTTTTTGAGCTTGTTCACTCTTTGATTCGAACCATGTCATATGACTTTGGCGTCTCTACGCAGCAGCATACATCCTTGATGTATGGGGTTGATGATCAAACAAGAAATGAGGTATCGGTAAGCAACCATAAATGAGATTCAACAATGACATGATCCAAATACTTTCAAGGAAGCAAAGTGGTATCGATTCTCTTTATTGGGGGAGCATGAAATGATTCCCTTGTCTATCACAAAATGCAACGTCGCTATGGCAACCGTTATGCTGCTATGTCCTCGATACGATCAGCTACCCCTTTGTCTGTCCTTTACATACGTGAACAGGCTATCATCCATCTCCTGATGCAAGGTATTATAACGTCAAACTCTAATGTCCATAACTGATGACCTACATTATACAAGAGGCTTGTGTTACCAGCATGGCAACCTTATATGAGGTGTCTGAGGACAAGATAGCAACGATTTTTTCTTTCGATCCAGGTCAGTGCGGCCCACCATCGGAGAGAGTAATGCCACTGGCAACACTTTGAAGCTGCACCAAAGGCGACCTTATTCTAAATCATGCACTTGGAATTGCACCTTTCACATGTATTGTTTGATGGTTGATGAAATAAATGGCAACGTTGACAAGGAGAGAAAGAACAAGAGTTTTATGGTGGACTCGACGCGATGCTAGTAGTACTAGTATATCGTTATCGTAGGGAGCACAAATTCTGACACTGCCGTATCCAATTTGGAAGTAAGAACACCTCCTCGAATATCCAAGATGCCGGATGCATCATCTCAGAATGAACGAAAAGGAAATAGAACACATTGCACCACAAGTCAAACATAACAAATGAGAAGTGACCACAACAGAATTCAATAAAATGATCTGCAAAGATAAAAGTGTAGCCGTGTGGGAGTTTAACCCTATCTACGACATCATTGTGTATCAATAGGCTATTTCTTGCAACGACAAAGCATCCCCTTTTCTGCTGCTGCTGTAATTCAATGGCGTGGATACAGGGTGTCTGTGTGTTGGGACATTGCTAAAATGGCCAAGTTGGTCAATGTAGAGCTTGTACTTTAAAAATTTACAAAAGAAGTGTCATATCATTCATTGCGCTCCCCGCTCAATGAAACCGTGAGATTTACATCCACATCCATGAGCTGATAAAACGTGGCTCTGAGGAGAAAAACAGGGCCCTGAACATGGGTTTTCATGCGTGGGGGATGTTCCATGACATGACACATAGTCAATCTTGCATATGATCCAGGGGCTGGGGATAGCCGAGAAACAGAAAAATGATGCATTCCGACCTTCCGGATACTTGTATGCGTTTTTGCTAGAACCAGACCAATGTCATGTGGTATGTGTGTGTATGTGTATGTTTTCCTCACTGCGCCTGCATAGTATCGTTTTGGTGTGCGAAACTCCTTTATCCCTGTGTGTGTGTGTTGTGCATCCCCACTCCCATGGGCCATAAAGTGTGGCTCTGTTCTTTGACGGTGTAACGCTCTTGCCATATATCACACACACAACAACGGATATGCTTCCGGTATGGCCGACTATAACACAACGCTGCACACCCATACACAATCCACTCTATGTCTTCATTACACCACTTTTTCTAAGCCTGTTGCTTTTGACAGATATGGATTGGTAGCTCTCTAGTGGTGTGTGGTGTGACAGAAACATAGCGGACATTGGGGGCAGGTTAGGGAATAGATGGTAACACCAAGTGAAGCTGGCTCTTGGGACAATACTATTGGAGATGTTTCAAATCGCAAGGTTCGACGAGGATGCGCTCAAGGATGAAAAGTAAGAGGGAACGGGGGAACCATGTCAACTTTGCTTTTTTCCTTCTTCTCTTTTCTTTTCTTGGCCCCAGCTTGGGTTTATGTCCGACAAGTCATAACTGTGCTTTGCAGCAACAAAAAGAAGAAAGAAAAAGCCGTGTCATTGTTGTTGTTGTTGAACGATAATAGGTGTGTTGTGTGCTCCCCCCAGGCATTTGGCAGCAGCGCCCTCCAAAGGATCCGCACTCTCCCCCGCTGCCCCTTTTTTCTGTTGCGTATATGATCACCAATCAAATTAGCTCTCTCTTTTTACTCTTCAACAGGAAAATCAATCCACAACCATCAACAAGCGAATATTGCTGGCATAACCATCGTCATTTCAGCATCCTATAACGATACGTAAACGCCGTGTGTTTGTGTATATATATATATGGTATCGACCCAACCATGTCAAGCGAATCGAGTAGCCAAAAACCGCCACAACAACGTCAAGCTCAGACGAGTACGACAACAGAGAACCCGGTAGGTGTATACTGGGGGGTGGATGATAGGTGCGCGATTCGTGTATAAAAAGTGATAATGGGGTGGTGCTCCAACATGTGCTCCTTTGTGCTTATCCAAAACAATGTATGCGTTCGTTTGCGTGTATATAGCTCGAGCCATTTTACGAGCAGCTGCTCAAACTTTCCTTCTCAGACAGTGTAACCGCCATCGAGCATTGTCGTGATCTATGTGCACAATATGGTTTCACTGTCAAGCAAGAAGCAAGTGCGCACAGGGTATGAAATCATTGTTCCTATATAAAACCTTGATTAACATGTGCTCTTTTAGAATATTTACGTCTTTTGTTCTCGTGAAGGTCAACCTGATTCACAACGCAAAAAATCCAACCCAAAACGAAAACGACCCTCCAAACGATGCGACTGCCGCTGGCGAGTGGTCCTTCATCAACAAAACGGCAATTGGGAATTTCGAAAGTCACTTAATCCAGAAGCTGCTTTCCATAACCATGAATTATTGCGCCCTGAAGAAGTCGATCGGAGCTGGCCACAAGATGTCATTGATATGATTTACGAGCTTGCACGTACCCAATTGCCGACTGCAGATATCCGAGCCAAAGTACAAGCTGAATTTCCTGATATTAGTTGGAATGAACGTCGTTTTTATAATCGTCTTTCGGAAGAACGACAAAAGATTAGGCTGCGTGAAACAACGGCACGCACGCGTAAGCTATCGTCGCTGTGGGCTCGCATTTGCTCAGCTGCCGCTGGTAGTGAGGAACTTACAAATTACGTTGAAGCCGAGCTGTACAAATTATCATTGGCAACATGTCAATTGGGTCGATTAGATCCACAATCCCTGCATGATCCCGTCATAGAAAATGAAGAGGTAAATGGTTGACAACAATGATGCAAAAGTGCAATTTAATTCATAGCCGTATCCTAGACTACCACATCATCCTCATCAGCATCCTCATCAGCACAACAACAGCAACGACAACAATCTCAATCAGCAACCACTACCACAACAACCACTTCTTCATCTGGCAACAACACCAACACCAATAGCAGCAATAAATTACCCGAGGCACCTAAAGGATTTACATCCGTGGTGATTCCCAAATCCACGTATTTCATCAAAACGCACAATCAACGTGATCGAGCATCCAAACGTCAACGTATAGCAGCGGTATCCACACCCAATACGCAAACGACATCTACGACCACAGCAGCACCAGCAGCAGCGGGCTCGTCTCATCTTGCACCTCATCCACAGCAACAGCAGCAACATCAGACAGCCACCACCCCTTTTGTTTATCAATATGGTGGGATGACTTTACCGACAACCACCGCTATGCCCAACTATGAATTCCAATATCAGTCGTATCCAGCAGCAGCAGCAGCAGCCATGCAACATCATGTGTCAGGTCTTTTCGATAATAGGACACCACCTGCTCCATCCACAGGACCAACAGCAGGCGAAGCAGCAGCAGGTGCTGATCAACAACAGCAACAACAGCAACATTCGGCGGCAGCAGCAGCAGCAGCAGTAGCAGCAGCAGAAAACATGCGACGAGGTAGTCATCATGATTTATACCAGCAACATCCCTTGTATCCACATCAACAACACCATCACAGGCTCATTTTACCAGCACGAACTCCTTCCAATACGACCAATGAATTACTCTTGCATCATCATCGACATCCTGAACATCCCCCAGAAACACCTATGCCTGGTCAACCTCCTCCGCCTCCTCCTCCGCAATGATATCAAATCAAAATAAAAGAAATAATGCTCATTTGCTTTATCATGCATTCTTCCCAATTCCTCATTGTATGTATGTGTAATGCATCACATGGCCGTTTCATTGTCTCAGAGTCGAAAAAGGCAATTCTTTAATATATATACAGAATATTTTGACCAAGGCCAAAAGAAGGTAAAACGAGAGCGTGTGTGTGTGGTTTGGTGAATGGGGGGTTGGTGTGGGTTGGGGGTGTTGGCATTTGGTGTATGCGTAATGTTGTGTGTTGTAAAAATGTAGGTCGTTGTTATGGTGCTTGAGTTGTTGTCATTTGGATGTCGATGCGTCATGTGATGTGTCGTGGAGAGATGATGCTGTTACGCATTCGTTTTGTTGGTTAAAGCAGCCATTGGGGTCTTTTGCTTTTTAGCCTCTCTTTTTTCTTGCTCATAAGCTTTGGATGGAGGTGGCACGTAGGAATGACGATTGCGACCAAGCTTGGGTGGGATCTTCCAAAAGTATTGCTTGTCCTGAAGTGTGCATTTACGTGCACTACGACCCACATGCGTGTACTCGGCTCGTCGCCATTCGACAGGATCAGCTTCACTGTTGTAGTAGTATAGGTTTTCTTTGGGTGATCCATCAGCTGTTTTGCCCTTGCGCACAATTTCACCAAAGAAAGGCTTCTCCTTCAACACCTTTTGTATACGTTCCTTCCACATCTCACGAGGTTGTGATCGATACATGGGATGTGTACTCATGATACGCGAGCAAATGTCACTGATAGGCATCGAGGATTTACGCGAGAATACTATAGATAGAGAGATAGATATGATTGAGTGACCTCCAATTCAGATATAAAACAACATGATCCACTTACCCAAAGCATCAATAATAATCTCGGCAAAGTCAATGCCATCATTTTCATTGTTCTCCTCATTCTCCTTGTTCTCTTCAATATCCACTTGTTCAACCTTGCGCTTCTCATTCAACTGTGGCTTCTCCTCTTCTTCTTGTTCTTCCTTTTTCATATCGACATCCACAGGTGATGATGCTGGTAGTTGTGGTGGAGGCGTTGTATTGACAATATCCACATCCTTTTGTTCACATGCAACAACGTCTTCTGTTGATTCAATGTTCTCGTTCTTGTTGGTGGACACAGCTTCTTCCTCCTTCACATCATCATCCATCACGGGCTTTTGCTCCACGACATGCTCTTTTTCTTCGAATGGTGGTGGTGACAAAGGACGTTGCTGATGGTGCAATTCCTTGTTGTTGTTGTTGTTGTTGTTGTCTGGGAAAAGCATACCCAAATCAGGATACATAAAGGTGATTTTGGAGCCGAGAATGTTGATATTAGCACCATCTTCAAGTTCGATACGTTCATGCTGACGGTAGATGACATTGTCGACCATGGCACCATTCAAACCAACAACGATGAATTCATAGCGATTGATATCAGATTTGAATTCGATACGGGCATGGATACGACTAATTTGGCGGTTACGCTTGCCGATTTTGATGGTTGCGTCGCTACCTCGTCCAATCGTAATAGGTTCAGTACCACCCAACAAAATAATGGGTTGTTTAGTGGGTCGTTGCTGGAAGACCACATCCACACGCTGTTGCTCCTCTTCATAATTCTCTTCATCGTTGGGATTCAATCGAGACGTGTCAACCAAGTCATCCGAGCTGAAATGCTGCTGCTTTTCGACAGGCGAGTCAGGGGCCATGTAGCACTGATTGACTTCTTGAAATGGTGCGCGTGTAGGTGATGACCAAGGAGATGCTGAAAGGGTGTTAGTCTTGTCATGGGTTATCATATTACAAGAATGAAAGGATGCTTACCTTGGTTTTCCATATTGTTCACTTTGATGGATACACAAAGGAAAAGGGAAGAAAAAAAAGGTGAAAAATCAAACTTTGCTATCGACGCGTCTACCCTGTTTTACTTGCACCCAATCAAATCACTTTTTCCTGCCGGCGACTCAATCACGCTCGACTTTTTTTTTCCTTTCTCCTCATCTTTTTTTCCACTCTCCCTAAAAAGCGCGCGTGACCCCTCTACTACGCGCGTCGTATCAGCTATTTTTCTCCACACAAATGACAATAAATGCTTCAATCCTAAAACAAAGCTGTTCCCATTCGATGTGCTACTCTACTACTGCTACAAAGGAATACCATGGATGAGTAAGCCTAAAAACGGATCATCAAACAAAATCCATTTCTCGTGTGTAGGTGATGATAAGACCCATTTAACCACAACAATGCTGCTTTTCTCTCTTTCCCATCACGCCATTTCCCATTGTTTGACTGGCTGTAAGTGATCATGTATACTTGCCAACCTGCAGCAGCATACACGGGATGAAAGTAATCAATGATACAAGAGATAGATGGCTTGTCCACATGGATCACGCATAAAGTGTATTTGGTCCCGCATATGTAGTACTTCTACTTTTGCTCCTCTGGGTCTTCATTAGGATTTGTGTATAGTCATGGAGCCTCTTTTTATGTTCACTTGTATTAGAGAAGCCACCTATTCGAATGATGGTGATAATAAAGCAAGAGGTTTACTCTAATATCGCGCTAAAAAGGGGCTCTTAATTCGAATGTATATATATCCTGGGCTTGAATGCTTGAGCGATGTGGAACCTATGAGGGAGCGAGGCTTGTGGTCGCTGATTAGAAATGAGGGGATGGCTGTGTACGTCCCCGTTATTGCTTTTGGTGCATTGCAACAAGACTAAGGATGATAGATCGCACTTCTAGAACCTGGTATGTGGATGACAGATGAAGAAGAAGGGGTAATGATCCTGGGAATGGAAAGATCCCTCCTCCTCGTCGATTATGGACATGCCAAATTTGGACATTGATGTATGTCATCCAAGAGATCTCAAATACGACTTGTCGATGTTGCAACCCAAGTTCATTAAACAAGGTTAAGCGCCGTTGTTATATTATACCAGCGATCTCCGTAGTAATATCCAATATTTTGGGTACCCGAAGAAAGGAAAGAGAGTTCTCATTCGAGTTATTGCATGCAATTTTATGTAGGTACACGCCACTTGATCATGCTAACATTGGCTGTCAAGGTCCATGTTGCCCAAGGTAGCAGTGATAAAAATAGTGATGGTGTAAGCGTATTTTCTCATTGTAGTAGTAACAATGTTGATGTTGTGATACGAATGGCTTCCTTGTCCAGATCCTCGGGAGGAGGAGGGAGGTTCCCATGGTTAATGAAAAGAGCGACATTTTCATGCAATGGGACACCGACAATAATTAAGGCGAAGACTAGTATGTGAAGAAGAATAAAAAGGGGGTTACGCATTACCGCACGTGGCGAGTACTTTATGGATAAGGTGATCTTAAAGATAGGGCTTGAGTGACATTGGAAGAAAAGAAAGAGTATGTGTGTACAAGGACGGTCGATAACATTTGCCATGACACAGAATGTGAGCATTTGTGAAGGATGTTGGGATGGGCGGGTGTGGTTGATTGAATGAATAGAGTTTTCCCAGAAGGAATTTGTGAACTAAAGATGGCAAGGTTGCACATCAAGTAATTGCTTCTGGGAGAAGATAACAATTTTCACGTGCTCCGTCTGAACTACGAAAAGAGACGTGTTTTGTATGATGCTGCATGTTTCGGATAACGTTTGTTGTCCTTGTCGGAAGGGGAAATCAGTATAGGATGATAAGGGTGTCTGTGCACCAAGAGACATAGGGCAAGGGGGAGTGTTATTAATTGATTTGAAAGAGACAAAAGATGAAACTGTGATTATTGTTTTGATCCAACAACAACATTTACACCAATCCAATGGTGCTGTGGGGGATGGACCGTGTAACATGTATTCTCGAGTGAGCGCGTGAAAATGAAACGGAATGCCGGTGTTTGAATAAGGTGCACCCACACAGACGCACCCACACACATACACACACACCCACACACTCTCTCTCACTCACCTACTCCACCGCTTCCTTTTCACTCTTTCCCTTCTCACCCTACTTTTTTGTTCCCTTAACTTTATATTCCAAATGGCCTTCTCACAACATCACGACCCACATGCAACACCAGCACCGGTCCATTCAACACCGGCTCCTCCACAACCAAGTCAAGATTGGTTATACTCAGGCCATGGCTTCCAGTCGAATTACGGCCATAGTGCTCCTCTCCAGGAACCTGTCCCTTTCGAGGGTAAGCTTTGCTTGGCAATTGAACTTGGAGTAAACTTGATCATTAAACACACCCATTGTCTCTTTCAGACTTCCAATTCAGCTTTGGGTTAGATCCCAACTTTGCTATTCCAGTGCCTCTCGATATCCCACCGGCACCTGTAACCGAAGACAACTCGGGCATGTTGTTTGACGACTCGTTATTCCAAAGCATGGCACCACCAGCACCAGCACCTCCAACTGCATCCAACAATGGCAACACAAGTCTATTGAACGAGGATGATCAACGTATCTTTACGAGCTTCTTGGACAACTTTTGTATGGACCAAGATGTGGAACCATTGCCGAATCATATGCCTTCCTTGTACGATTTACCGCCATCCACCACCAATACATCATATCCACCACAAGAACATGATGATGCTGAAGAAGAAGAACGACGGCGAAACTCGATTTTGAGATCATTGGATGAACAAAAACGTATGCGCCATCGTATACTTGCAGATGCTGCTGTGGCTGCTCATCATCATCAGTCAACAAATACCCCCATTCCTTCATCATCTTCAACATCATCATCATATCATCATCATCATCATCAACACCATCACCACCATGCATCAACAATGGAGTCCTCTTGGCCGTCATCATCATCATCATCCACAACACACAATCACAATGGTAGTGGTAGTGGTGGTGGTGGAGCCATCTTTTTGAAAAAGAGTGACAGCATTGCTACGCCGTATGTGATTCCCTCCAAGCGAAGTGATAAGAAAAAGGCATCGTCACCGTCACTATCACCCTTTGACGATCATCAATCAACACGTCCTACCCCTGCACGACGCAACAAACCACACAAGGAACTCTTGACAGAGGCCGAGAAACGAGCAAACCATATTGCATCTGAGCAGAAGCGGAGGACAACGATTCGAACCGGATTCAAGGATCTGACAGAGATTGTCCCAACACTCAAGAATATCAACAATAGCAAGAGTACCGTTCTTTTCAAAGCTGTGGATTACATTCGATATCTCGAGAAGCGTACCAAGCATTTACATGACAAGGTCCAAACACTTGAGCTACGTATGCAAGTGGAAGGTCGATCCATGATGGTCCATCCCACGGATGGTGCTGGTGGTGCTACTACTACTACTGCTGCTGCTACTGCTGGTGGATATGACGATAAATCGGCTATGATTCGTCAAAGCGAACGAGGGGATGGAGGAGCTATGACCAATGACAAAGGTGACGTTGGCAACAATCATCACAATAGTAATGGTGGCAACGGCAACAACAATAGCAGTACTGAGCAAGCCCTAAGACAGCACAGCATGCAACAAAAGCACCTTATGCAGCTGCAGGAGGAACTTCAAAAGAAGCTTTTGGCACATCATCGAGGATTTACCCGACCCGTACAGGAAGAGATGGATGTGGATGAAGAACCACTCAAAGCTACTGTCTCAGCATAAAATACCCCCCAATCAACCTCTTGTTGTTCTTTTTTTTTCCTTTGTGTCTTATATCCTCATCTGCAAACCCTTATCTCTCTCTCTTCTTCCCCCCACACCCCTCACTTTTTTTTTCCTCCTTCATCTCTTAATCATCTATACGCACACACACACTCTCACACACAATTTTTTTCTATATGATTTTCTATTTGTATTATGTACATTCTTCGGGTACTCTCTTGGTGGATTGGAATGTTGTAAAAGGATCTGATGATCACTACTCTTCTATATATAAATCATTCATTGCTTGAAAGAAATGCAACGTAATCTCTTTTCTTTACTCTTTTGCTATTATAATCATGTTTGGATCTGTAAAGACATTTACATTGATGGCGGTGATGATGGTGTGTGCAGTGAATGCAGGCGTCAGTCCAGTGGAAAAGTGCACCCAAACAAAGCATCTCAGCGCTGCTCAAGGCATGTGTCAGTCTCATGGCGTTAATGATAAGAGCGTTGCATGCGTGTGTACCGAAGCGATGCCTATTTGCGTCCAATCTGATCTCGATCAAACCAAGAAACCCGAAAATTGCAGCCCTGCCATCCATGAAGCTTGCGTCGGCTCTTGTGCATCGGGTGTCTTGGCTGTGAAATGTGCCGGTACCTCAGCAGCCACTTGTATGAGCATTGATCCTGCTGTCAAACAAAAGCTCGCTCAACTTGATCTTTAATTATTATTATATTTAACAATCGGCTGTCTCTTTATTTATTCCTGCTCATTGTCAGCTACACGAGCGTACTTTTTCAATAAAGCAGAGCGTCTATCGTTCCAATCTTCCTGAGACTGGTTGGTATCTGAAGAGGGTGATGGTGAGGGTGGTGGTCGGTTCCATAAGTAATAGGTTGGTGTCCTTTGAAGGTAACGGGCTCGTAAAGGTTGACGTTGTTCATCTTGATCGTCATGGGCAGCATCCGTAGTGTGGCGATGACGATGGCAGCAACAGCACCAGCAGCAGTAGATTGTCAACAAGCCAAGTAGTAAAAAGACGACAGCACCACTCGCAGCGGCAAGGGCCGTGGAAACCATGTATAAACGTTCAAGTTATAAAAGAGAGAAAGGGTCAAGTGCAAAAAGAAGTAAAAAAAATGATACAAAGAGAAAAAAAGGAACCAGCGGAAGGACACCTGAACAATGTCGTGCATGTAAAAAGAGAGGGTGTGGGTGATGTGTGTGATATGCGTGTGATGTGTGTGTGTTGCATGACAACAAAAATCCAATTCATGTCAAGCGCGTGCTCGCTTTACTTTTTCTCTTTCCTTTCAACCCCAATCCCACTACTACAACGACTACTACTACTAATACGCTTTTACTACCATTCTTTTAACGCCTATCTCTTTCTCTCTCTCTTTCTCTTTCTCCCTTTCCTTTCACCACCACCACACACACACACACCATGAGTACTATTATGGATACTGCTGTACGCAAGGCAACTCGTCTTGATTATCAACCTCCCAAAGTCAAACACCTTACAAGTAAACAACCTTTCACTTTGACCACAACCCCAATCGCTCCCATTTGCTGACATTGCCTTCATTCAGCTCTCAATGCGTGGACCTACCAGTATCCAGCTTCGGTGGGAGATATTGTGGACGTGCTCGAAAAACGTTTACGGGAAAACTCTTGGATTGTATGTACCATTCATCTGGTTTTATCATTGGCAGTATTAGAGTATTTATACTATATTAGGTAACGTTCAAAGTGTTGATTATCCTGCATACGTTGATGAGAGAAGGCAATGGAGACCGAGTCATTACATGTGTGGATGCACGACCTTCAGCATTGGATACCAGTCGTTTACGAGAAAAGTCTTCAGGTAAAAGGGTGTGTGTGATGAATGGCTAAAAATAAGGGGAGGAGGTTGGGGGTGTGGTAAAACACCAAGTCAACGACGACGATCCACATTTTTCATTTCCGTTATTGACATGATCATCCGTTCCTTGTTCAGGTACCGCCCACATCCAAAACATTTACGCATACTCGGCCTATCTTCAACAAAAGATTATGGCGTTTCGGGAACTTGGTGTCGATCATGTCAAGTCCACCATGTCTAATAAGACAGGCAGGTTGCGTCGAATGACAATTGATCAGGGTCTCTTGAAGGAAACGGTATTGGTTCAAAAATTGATTGGATCGCTGTTAAAGTGCAATGTAAGTTGGGGGTGTGGTGTGTGGTGCAGTACAGGATGATGTTGATGATGATGGGATCGTCGTTGTCGTCTTACCCATGTTATTTTCCTTATAGTTCCAATTTGATGAAGGCGAAAATGGGATCGGATTACACGCATACCGCTTGCTAGTGGAGGACATGCTGGTCTTGTTTCAAACCGTAAATGAAGCCATCGTCAACATTTTAGGTAAGGGCTTTTTTTAAGGGATTTTATCATTGCTAATCTCTCTTCTACTACTAGAGCATTACTTTGCCATGCCCAAAATGGATGCGAGATTATCACTCGAGGTATACAAGCGCTTTGCAAGGCAAACGGAGCAAATTGTGAACTTCCTTAGCCGAGCTAAAATGCTAGAGAGGGAGCTGGGTATCACTATCCCCATTGCACGTCATGTGAGTATTGCTGCTTATTAATTGACACCTGCTAGGAAGAATTAACCTTGGCATACCTAGGCACCCTTATCATTGGCATCCGCTTTGGCAGAGTACCTAAAAGATGCAGAGGATCGGCCAATGCCAGCTAAACCAACTCCATCTACACAAGGTGATTTACAACAACCCTCTTCTGTTATTCACACGACTCTAATCATCCTTCATCATGTAGATCAACCTGCTCAGCAACAACAGCAATCAACAGCAGCTATCCAACCCCCATCATCATCATCATCATCAAATGCGACGACGTCAATGCTAGTACAGCAACAACAACAAGCACAGCAGCAACAGCCAAAGGAATTGATTGACTTTTTTGCCAGCTTGGACAATGAGACTGTAACAATGGGTACACCTGCCCCTCAACAACAATCAACGCACAATCCTTTTCGAAGCTCGACAATGCCACCTTTGACGCCACCACAGCAACAAACATCCCTCGTAGCGCCAGCACCCATGACACCTTCCATCTCAACGGGTGTTGCACAGCATAATCCCTTCCGTATTGTACCACAATCCAGCACATCAACGCCTACGACCACTGCCTTCAATAATACACCTCTACATCAACAATTCCAGCAGCAACAGCAACCACCACCTTTTATTAATACTAGCTTCCCATCCGCAACACCTACAACACCTCTTCCCATTGGTATTCATTTCACAGGTCAATCAGCAGCAGTATCATCACCCAACAAGTTTAATCCATTTGCAGCATCTCCCAACACAGCTCCACCACAACAAAGCAATCCTTTTGCATCAATGTTTTAAGCTTCATATCCCTGCTGACCCCCATCATTGTACTCTTCATAATAGTAAAAAAGCAGCATCAGGGTTCTATAATAAACAATACCAAATCACCCATTGAAACATAAAATGCTTCATGTTGTATCAATGTTTTGTTCTTCTTGATAGTCCACGTATATCACCATCACTGAGCTCTAACATGTAAATGGCATCCTTACCTTGTCAAAAGCTACATACATATTGCTTTGGCCATCAACTGAACCCATTTGCATGTCCCTTGCCTTGTCAGCCAATAGCATGACATACTCAAGTGTTGTTATTATCGTTTCTCGTCGACAATGAGGCTCTAACATATAAAAAAGATCAAGATAGGAAAAAAATCAACACCCCACCGCTTAATGGTTGTTCCGAAGTGAAAATCCAAAAAACAAAAAAGAATTCAACAACTCGAACCGAGTTGGTTGAGTGTTCCCCCACCGGGAATTGAACCCGGGCCACCGGTGTGAGAGACCGGGATCCTAGCCACTAGACCATAGAGGACGTTTTGCTTCTTCTTATTTTTTATATCGCTCCGCACTATATAAAGCCCCGGAATTCCTAAAAAGGCAGGTCCGAAAATTCAACCGAAGGAAATACAATTGACGCAGCCAATGAAACGGCGTACTGAGTTGTAATCACATCCGCGGATGTAGCACGTGACCCAGCATACTGCTATGGCGAAGACGCTATCATGTACAGGCTTTAACATTGCATTTGACCATTTATTACTGAATCCTACAAGCTATCTTTGATAACTATTATGTTTCACAATTAGGTAAGCTGACATTGGTTACATCCATCGCGTCGCAAATGATAACAGCTTCATCAAGTGGCCCTCCATGGACATTGTCAAGTACATGGAGTATACGGTTCAATCCCCCAGCCTATATGCATGGTGTATAGGATACCTTATAAGATTGACTTGAGCATAATAAAGGGTGTTATAATACTGCTAGTTGAGGCTATGCCTTATTTGACTGTGGCGATTGTAAGCATATGATACCAACGAGTCCATAAAGATGACAAAGGCGCTATTATTCCACCTACACTATCACACTACTTGTATAGCTCTCACAGCCGTGTTGAGTGTTATCATCGCTCAAATATGATTCACCCGGTACCACTTTGTTAAGTACACGTTTTTGTGTTTATACAATCAGCTCCTCGTTATCACCATACACACAATAAAGCCAAGCCAAATGAAAAAGCATGATCCATTTTATATATTTCAACCATTCCTTCATTCATACATGTTTTAGCAACAATCCTTCCATTCAACCCTTTATAGAAAAAACAACATGAGAAGAAAAAAGGGACATTACATAGTACACCAGCCGAAGCAAGATGGATGTTGTTTGTCCTGGCAAAGCTTCATTCTGAAAGGTATGGTTGCCACTGGAGCCCACCGGTCTGTATAATTCTCAGTGCTCGTTCATCAATGAATATCCACTTGTATGCTCAAAAGCTGCAACAAGAAAACCATTTCAAGTACCTTGGGATTACTTACACAGGTGAAGAAATTGACGTTGATCGAATAGTGTACAAGCTATAGGTCTCCTTCCCAATATTGGTGCATACACGTGTGCGTTTGGTCTCGGCGTATCTCTTCAGCTGTATCATACATCATCCTCGCCAATATCAAGCACTTGGAAAACCCTGGAGGCTGTTGCTTGAGAATGACAATGTCACTCAGCGTCATGGACCCTGAAACCCACACATCTACCTGCCATTCAAGCAAAAGTTATGGCAAACCTATTCAATTCATTCTTAGCACACATACACAATGAACGATGTTATTCATTGTTTTACTATACTTGCCTCTTGCATATACATAAAGATCCGTTGTTGCTGTTGGATACTGGAAACTGAAAACCATAGTGTAGTGTTGTCGAGCCGACACGAAGAGCCGAATGAGCCAACGTCTTTGCGATCGAATCTTGCCGCCTATACATACAAGCTAACACGTCGATGGAACAAGTTCGGCTGCAACATTGGACTCTGAATGTACCTGTTGACACCAGGCGTAGAGCGGGAATAGCAACGAATAAGAGGAAGCAACGATATCGCCATGGCAACAACCAACCACCCACCACGCTCACTCTTTAGCACTTGGACACACTCATTCCCTGACAACGCATGTTCAGAACTACATTAATACTTCACAGCCAACAAGAGCACTCTTCTATAATACATTACCTTGATCGGAATGTCGTGAATGGGGTAAAAGTAGAGGAGGGAGAAAGAGAAGAGAAAGCGTTGTCTCAAGTCGTGGAGCTACCGTCCCCCAAGTTTAAATCCCCTACTGCTATTACACTGAGGCCACTCAATTACCCCACATACACCATCCACCCATCGTCATCATCACCCTCACGATAGACAATAGGTAACGTAAATAAAAGAAATGATGATCCTCACGTATAGCAAAAGGGTGTGTGCCATTTTACACTTTACATGATAATGATGATCCAACAACAGCCATTACCTTATTACCAGGTTAGCTCGAGGAATCATGAAAGTTAAATGATGGGCATGCTGGGCTGGAGCAGGACAATCGTTCGTATGCATTGGATTGGACAACAAAGGTGAATGGGAGGAATGGGCTGCTAGCTGGCAGTTTACAAATAACTTTGCAAAATGATTTTTGTGAAATTGGATGATGTTTTGTGTTTGAGCGTTTTCCAGTCAAATCCCCTCGGATCATGAAAGTTGAAGGATGGGAACGCTGGGCTGGAGCAGGAGAATCGTTCACATGCATTGGATTGGGAGACAAAGATGATTGGGATGAATGGGCAATCAAGTGGCAGTTTACGTATAACTAACCAGATAATGATTTTGGATGATACTTCTGTGTTTGAGCATTTTTCAGTCAAATCCCCTCGGATCAAGATAATTGAATCATGGAAATGAATGTCTGGAGGAGGAGAATCGCTCACATGTCATACAGTGGACAACAGTGCCGATTGTGAGGAAATTGCTGTTAGCTCGCAATGTATGGGCTATTGTCAATAGTATACAGTATCATCCTTTCATCCTTCGAGTCATGCAAAGCAGCTGAGTTACCCAAAGGGGTCCTTCTGCATCTTTTGCTCTGCCAGGGTCTAGCCACTTCGCAATGAACAAAGATCACTCTTCGTATAGCATCACGCTTACAAACATAAAGGTGCCTGTATCTCCAAACTTTACAATCAAACGTAGGGTTTTTATTAGAGCAATGTGCTCGGCTTGGCCAACAGCACCTTGTGTGAAAGTTTTAGGTTCAATGTCGCAAACAGCCCAAAAAATATTTTTTGGTCGTCGAAGAAAGTTTCAAGAGGTCGACCCCCGGATCCAGTTTGGCTGGTGGCGACATTGCGAAATCTGAGATTGGCAAGCTTGATAATGAAACTTGCACCCAAGGTGCAGTTGGCCAAGCCGAGCACGTTGCTCTAATAAAAACCCCACGTTTCATTGTAAAGTTTGGAGATACAGACACCTTTCTGTTTGTAAGCGTGATGCTATATGAAGAGTGGTCTTTGTTCATTGTCAAGTAGGTGGACCCTGGCAGAGCAAAAGATGCAGAAGGACCTCTTTGGGTAACTCAGCTAAAAAGTCAGGACTTCAGGGACAATGCATGACAGGTACGCAACCTCACTTTTATGTCATACATTGGCAGCCAATAGCCACTTTTGTGCATTCCCAACCTTTGTGCATTCTATTGTAGGTGGACGATGCTCCTGCTCTAGACATTCATTTCCATGATTAAAGTAGGTTGATCCGAGCTGATTTGGTTGAGTTACGCTCACACAAGATTACATCGGTTGAGCTACATCGAGCGTACTCTATGTCCAGAGTGATGTAATCTCTCTTTGACCGTAGCTCAGTCAAATCAGCTCGGATCAACCTACTTTAATCATGGAAATGAATGTCTAGAGCAGGGGCACCGTTCACATGCAGTGGATCTCGCAACAATGATGATTGGATAAAAGTGGCCGTTAGCTAGCAATACATGCCTGTTCCTAGATGATCCATAAAGTAATTATACATTGACCCTTTCATTCATGCAAACGTAGCTGTGTTACACAACACGACTCTCTGCATCTTTTGCTCTGCCAGGGTCTAGCTACTTTACATTAAACAACGACCACTTCTCATATAGCATCACGCTTACAAACATAAAGGTGCCTGTATCTCCAAACTTTACAATGAAACGTGGGGTTTTTATTAGAGCAATGTCTGGCTTGGCTAACAGCACCTGTGTGAAAGTTTCACGTTCACTGTCGTGTAACTAGCCCAAAAAATATTTTTTTGGTCGTCGTCATGGAAGAGGTCGACCTCCAGATCCAGTTTGGCTGGTGGCGACATTGGTGAAATCTGGGATCGGCAAGCTTGATCGTGAAACTTTCACACAAGGTGCAGTTGGCCAGCCGAGCACGTTGCTCTAATAAAAACCCCACGTTTGATTGTAAAGTTTGGAGATACAGGCACCTTTATGTTTGTAAGCGTGATGCTATATGAGAAGCGGTCTTTGTTTAATGTAAAGTAGCTAGACGCTGGAGAGCCAAAGATGCAGAAGGCGTGTTTGTGTAACTCTGCTCAATATGCATGACTCGAAGGGGCAATGTATCATATTCAGTAACAGCCCATCATTGGCAGCTAATAGCCATTCCCTCCCCTTCACCTTTGTTGCCCAATCCAATGCATGTGAACGATTGTCCTGCTCCAGCCCGTCATCTCCATCCTTCAACTTTCTTGGTCCGAGCTGATTTGGCAACTTTTTCATTTAGAGCGTTCTTTACTTGCAGCAACTTGTCTTAAAGCCTTTTACGTGAACAGCATGTAGTTATTGTTGAGAAGCAGCTTTATTTACGTATAGCATATGGATATGGATATTGGTTTGGGTGCATGAGATGAAGGTCCCGGATACAACGCGTGGAAAGAGGGCCTTTGTTCTTGTCTATCCAAAGTCAACTTGATCACCATGCTTGATGATATCATCGTGAACCATT